TTTTACTCACACTTACTCTTCTTTCCTCAAGTTGAGAGCCATTTGTTCTTTTTAATTAATTGATTATTTTTACTTGAAAATTAAGTAAAAATAACCCTCTGCAACATGATAACCATCATCTACTGAGAGTTTTAGTTATAAAATAGTATTTTTAATAAAATAGCAATTCAATTTTTAGTCATAAAATAAAGCCAAGCAGAGCTGGGGGGGTGTGAAATTACTCTGAAACAATGCTGCCATCACTGAGTTTAACAAAAAATTTCCACAGCATCCTCCCAGGCCTTGGCTTGAGCCCAGTGTCATGCTGCTAATTAAGATGTTAATGAAGACACAGAGCCAACCACAGCAGCCTGGGCTCCGTGTGGAGCTCCCAGCTCTGGGATTTGGCTGTGGTTTGGAAAGCCCAGTTGGGATCTGGGGGGTCAGGAGAGGCCTCAGGCACAAAGCCCAGAAATCCGTGAGGAAGCCCTGTGGACACGGGAGTCTCTAAGTGCTCAGAGCTCTGTGAGGTGCTCCAGGGTTGCCATAGAGACTCACCAGGTTTGACCAGGAGTGAACACAAAATATTCCGACCCTGAACGTGCCAAACATCTGAGACAAAACCTGTGGAAGATGCTCTCTCACTCCCTGTTCTTCCAGTGGGCTGGGGATGAAAGCTGGGGATGATGTCTGGAGAGCTGCTCTCCACAGCTCATTTCTTGTCACACCTGGGGAAATCAGAAAAATCAGAAAAATAGAAACTTCCACAGACACTGAAGGGTTTGATCTGCAGCCTTGGAAGAAGCTTGGATTGATGTAAAAATACAATACACAGATATTAAGCAGAAAAATCTTAAATGTGTGTTTCTGTAGTTTTAAGTAAGTATATGCCTTAAGCAAGTGAGAAACTGCACTGATGAGATGGTGAAGGGTTTCCAGTGTAGGGGTGGGGTTGTGTGGCATTACTGAGAGTTCAGAAGTTATAACAGAAGCAGATGTGTGCCTGTGAGACAGAAGCCCACTGGACAAAAGCATCCTCAGTGCAGCAGGAGTGAGTAAAGGTGACAGGTCAGAAAAGCAAAATAAACCCTGTGGCAACTGTCCATTGGGGTAGAAAGTTCTGTATTGCCTTGTGACAAAGAACTTGTGACTGCTCTGAGCTATGGCCGAGTGCTGGCTCCTCTGAAATCTCACAGCCTCTGAGACTGGTGTTTGTCTGAGCAATAAATCGTTCTTAGCCTGAAAATAGTCCCATCCCTTCATTTCTAGTGGTGACAATGATAATAACACTGAGCCCATACGTGTGCTCCGGAAGGTTCACACCAAGAAGTTGACAAGATGGGTCTCAGCTGATCAAGCTTTTAAGATCACTTTCTTTTCCAGCATCATCAACCCCGTGACTTCAAATCTGGGAAGGAATTAGAAGAAAAGTCTGCCTACCTCCACAAAGACAGAAACATTTCCCCAACCCCCAAAATTTCTCTCTACCCCAGCCCCAGAGTGATGTTAGATCTTCAGCTGTTGCTTTTTCAGTCACCAAGGACCATCCTCACCTCAGCTGTTCTCACCAGCCATGGCCCATTGGGGTAGGACAGTGAATTCCAGCTTGTTTCCTTAAAGAAAAATTCCTGCCAGGCTTCTTCACTCCCAAAAATAAATTTAAATATGGTGAGACTGATACAAGGCATATCTTTGACATTTTTTCAGTCTTTCCCCAAACTCTTTCAACATTTAAGCAGACAGCTCATCAATGACATTCTGCATAAATGCTCCATGGTTTGAAGTAATTTTCCATGATGAATCAATCTTTAAAGTGCCAGACTCTCTGATAAGTTAAATTTTGATTTTTCTTTATATGACAAATGGTTAATAGTTGTCTTAGAGCCTTTCTGCACAATGATTTTTATCTCTCTTTTATTATGGTAATAATAACATCTAATATACTCTCTCATATCTGTCTTGTTCTTTCTTAAGGTCAAAATTATACCCAGAGTTAAAAGCAGCAAGAGACTTCTCCCTTTCTTCCTCTTGGTATTTTCAGGGAATAAATTACCACATACAGGCAAATAATAGCAAATTAGGAAGCCTAAATGTGATATCCATACTTTAATATGTGCTGGGCAATCACAAACCTGAGTATTGGGATGTCATTACAAAGAGGAATTTTCAGGCTTGCAAGTTAATTAGGTGCTATTACATCAGGCAATTTAATTGCCTTCCTTGCCAATAATCCGGGAAGAAGAAGAAAAGTGTTAATTCCTCTTCTTGTCTTTGGGCAGACTTTGTTGGTGGTGTTTTATGGGACTTGTTCCCTTCAGGTTCACCAGTAGGAACCTCAGACCTTCAGAGGCAGAGATGGCTTTTGGGGAGCAGAGGAGCAGGAGGTGCCATGTCCTGCTCCTTGGAAGGTGCCATTCCAGGGCTGGGGATGGGATGGGATGGGGATACAGCTCCCACAACCTCAGGGTAGCATCAGCCCAGCCCCAGGGCCCAGCACAGGCTAGTTTATAAATTATTTAACTTATTTATTATCAATTGATTTATTTAGACACAGCTGGATCCGAGGAGCCACATTTCCTAATGGATGGGTTCTCTTTATGGCAATGATATCATGGTTAAAAGGACTTTAATTGCTTCAATAAATGTCAAAATAAAAGTAATTTATTCAGTAAATCTAGGGAAATCTGGTTTCTGGTTTGAATTAGGCTCAAAGCTGGCTAAATCGAGTTTGGCTGCTCCAAACAGTGATTGCTGAGCTCAGGGATAGTTCTCACAGCCCAAAAACCAGGAATCAAAACTGGAAATTTATGTCTAAAGCTTCCAGAGGTAGAAACAAGTTAGAGCAAAGTAAGGAGAGAAAAAATCCTTATGGATTCAGGAAATCTTCATGTCCCGTCCCTCAGCATTTCCAGCTATTGAAATGACCCTTTTCTGTCTCAACACAAATCCATCAGTCAGGACACTGCTTAGTCAAGATGGCCCAATGAAGGCAGTTCCTTATTTTTCAGATGGGGAAATTGAGTAGAAATTATTTTTCTAAAGTCACAGACTGAATTGCTCAGCCAAGACTGGCCAGAGCATTCCCAACTTACTCCTCAATCCCCACACAAAGCATCACTCTTCTCACCATCTGTACCCTTTATCTTTACTCTTTGTGTTAGCCAGGAAAAATATTAAAGAAATTCACAATTTATCTTCTCACAGCATCATGAATCCCTGTTCTCCAGAAAAAAATAAAATTAATGACAACACATTAATTGCGGTGCAGGTTGGCAGGTTGGCATAGTTGTTCCCATGTTCACTTTTTACTGAAAAAAAAGATATTTTCTGCTACATTTCCATTTCCTATCAGCATAAAAATTAACGTGCCTGGTAATGGCCCCCTCAGATCCTTATTTCCTGACAGAGCTCACTCTGTTCTCTCCAAAACAAAGCCACCTTTAAAGTTCAGAGATGAGTTCAGCATTGCAGGGTGAGTCTTCTGTGGGCTGAGCTGGCACATCAGCCCTCCAGTGACAGAAGTCTGAAAGGCAGCTGGACAATCCTCGTTTTCCAGGCTTGCCCTGGATTTAGGCGATTTCGGTGACTTCTGGCTCGTGGTGTTCTCCTGGTCCCATTGTTTTCTCCATGCAGATCCCTCCAGCTGGAGTGTGGCCTGTCAGGGACCAGCTAAATCATAAAGAGGGGGATTTTTACAGCAGCCAGTTTTTCTTGAATCTCTTATTTTTGAAAAAAGGGGATGAAGGTTTATGGGAGCAGGACACCAGCTCTGCAGCCCTCTGGAACGTGCCCTGCCCAAAGACAAATGCCAAAACACTAAATGAGTTACTGTAATTCCTGCACAATAAATGAAAGGGAAAAGCCTGATTTTCCAAGCTCCACGCAGAGTTCTGTTGGCTTAAAGACAACCTTGCTCATCCCAGGTTACCAAGGCAGGAACATATTTGATCATGTAGGAAAATGTTAACAAAAACCGATCTCAAAGGCAAATCTGAATTAGTTTGGGGTTAGTTTGGGTTTTTTTGCTTTCCTGAAAGACAGTTTGGGTGGGGATATGAGCAGGACAGAGCCCTGCCCTGGGACAAAGCACCTCCATCCCCACAGCCGTGAGCAGATGCAGAATGGATTCATGGAATTATGGAATCATGGGATCACAGACTGCTTTGGACGCAAGGGACCTTGAAGCTCCTCCAGTGCGACCCCTGCCATGGCAGGGACACCTTCCACTGTCCCAGGCTGCTCCAAGGCCCAAAGTCTAACCTGCCCTTGGACAGTTCCAGGGATCCAGGAGCAGCCACAGCTTCCACGGACAACCTGTGCCCTCAGGACTTGTTTTCTGCTTCTGTCACCAGCCAGGAATCATTCCCAGCCCTTCCCTTTTCCATGGCCAAAGGCAGTGAAGTTCTGCTCCTTGGGGAGTCCTGGAGTGACCTGGAGAGTGTTTGGGATGGAAAATTTGCAGGACATCTGGCATGGGTGAAATGCCAGCAGCCAGGAGTGACACAGGGCCATGCCCAGCTGCAGTGTCACCACGGGCTTGCTCCCAACTGAGAGCACCCAAGGATAATAAAACTCCATCACACTCCTCAGGCCTCTTCCATGGTCCTAGGATCCCGTGATTCCTAGGATTCCATGGTTCCTTAGATTTCATAGTTCCTAGGTTCCATGGTTCCTTAGATTTGATAGTTCCTAGGTTCCATGGTACCTAGGATTTTATGGTTCCTGGGTTCTATGGTGTCTAGGATTTTACAGTTCCTGGGTTCCATGCTTCCCAGGATTTTACAGCTCCTGGGTTCCACAGTTTCTAGGATTTCATGGTTTCTAGGATTTCATGGTTCCTTGGTTCCATGGTTCCCACTCAACTCAACAACCTCAAAACGACCCCAAAAGAACTCAAGTGTTTAGGCAACTTTAAAACCAGGATGTGTTAAACTTTTCAGCCTGGACAAACACAGGCAGGAATGTGTTTGATCTCCTTGCATCAGCCAGAAATCATCCAGAAAAACCTGCTGTCCCACCAGCACAGCTCCATGCTGGGCTCACTTTCCCCCATGAGCTCAGGGAGGGCATCACAGAGGTGATGACACCAAACCACCTCATTGTAGGGTTAAAAATGATGACCAAACTATGATATTTAACAGGGAAATATTAGAAAACATCCATAGAGTGATTTATTATAATTAATATCACAGCTTTGACTGCAAAAGGCATTGCAGAGACACTCTGCCACATTTTCAAGCCAAGGGCACAGCTTGTTACACTCAGGGGACACGGCCACAAGTAGAACTCACACGTGTGTAACTCAGCAGGTGACCTTTCCTCCACACCACATTTACATATTTCACATCAAATTACTTTTTCCTTGTTTTATTTTTTTTTTCCAACAGGAAATTAAAAAAAAATTCCCAGATTTGGCACATTTCATCAGCTGGGTGTTGCCTACCTAAGTCAATTAATTGAGGCACAGGGAGCAGTGCTGATACCCTGCCTTAGAGTGATTTCCCAGGATTCTTCTGGATATGAGATGAGACATCTCCAGAGACTATTTCCTGTGAAAGTAATTTTAAATAACTATATTAAAACGCCAGTGGAAGTTACAAGTAAGGCCTGATTCTTTCACCAGTGGCCCTTCATATCACTTGAAACCTGAAATGAAGGATACTTTAAATCTGTATTAAAATTACCAGTTGTCTTCAAGTAAATGTGATTTGGGATGGGAAAGCACAGCAATGCCTCATGCCTGGCAGAGAGGAGGGATTTTGGGAATACTCCGTCCTCCCCACAGGCTGTGTGCACACATCTCCTCAAAGCACGGGATTATCTCTGTACTAATCAAAGAACAGCTCGATTAAAACCTGCAGCCTGGCAAAGGAGGGAAATTAAGCAAATGAAAACACTGATTTCGAGACAAAACTTGATGCCACTGTAACTTTGGGAACAAAGCCCTTCCCGAGCCAAGAATTTGGAATCTGCATGGAATTTTGCTGCTCCATCTGCTCCGCTCGGCTCGCGGCGCTCGGAAAACGACACCTGGGGACTCTGTCAGAGGTGGCTTCCACAGAGAAAAGCATCAAAAGGAACTCAAAGCAAGAACTTTGGACATCAAATGTCAAAACTTGGGCCGGGCTTTGGGGCATTTGCTCAGGACTTTGCCCTTCGGAAGGAAGTTTTTTTAATTCCCGCTCCGACGCCGTTGCGGAAGGACCTTTTGTGGAGAGGGGACTCCGGGAGAGGCTTCCCAAGAGGCAGCTCCTCACCCCTGCCCACCTTGGAGAGGCAGCTGCTCAGCAGCACCAGGCACGAATCCCATTGCCCATACAGCTGGCAGGTCAAATAAAAAGGGTTGGTGCTCTGGAGATTGAAGGCAAACAAACAAACAGACAAGGAGAAAAAAAAAAGAGATAAGAGAAGGTAAAATTATGGATTTGTGTATTTGCCAGGATACAGAGCAAAGCAGAAACACAAAAGCGATTTAGGCTTTGAATGACAGGGATGAGCTGTTATTTTCTAAGGATTTATCTTGTTCAAAATCAGATTTTTTCATAGTTTTTTTATGCATTTCTGGTCTAAAATACTATTACAATTATGTTTAGGGTATGATATGAATTGTTTTTGCTGATGCTGACCAGCTGTGACACAGTTTCCTTGGAACAACACAGGTGTTTATTGCTGGGAAATGAGATTTTTTCAGGGAAAAATGAAATACCAGCTTTGTATAACCTGTGTGAACTTCTGAGGCTTAAATTACAGGTAAGAGAAAACAAAAATACCTGTAAAGCTAAAATTTGTATGATGCCTTCCAGTAGTTATGGCCAATTCTGGAAGGAGTTCTGAGTAAGTTTAATAATGACAAAATAGTAATGGGAATTTTAAAAAGTCTGCATAAAAATCCAGGCTTGGACAAAAATCCAGGGTTGCACACATTCCTTGTAGTTGCACTCTATAGGACAAAAAAAAAGTCAACTACATAAAAACTTTCACATATTTCAACAGCTCTTAAAATAAACTGCATTTAATTACTGCTGAATTATAAAACAAAACCATTTCCTGGCATGTCTGTGGTTGCTCTGTGCATCTTTCATAATATCCTGATTTCCCAGCTGATTTTCCATCTAAAAGTCATCTTCTGTAATCTCTAAAAAATACATGCAAAGCTATAGGATTAACACCTGGAATTGCTGGTAAAATTGCCATTAACTTCATTATGATTTGTTTTAATACTGCGCTTACTTGCTCTTCTTTAATACTGGTTATTAAGTTAATTTTTTTTGTTTGTTTAATGACTTTTTCTGCAACCAACACCTTCTGCCACTGACAAGGCGTTTCCCAGACTGAATTTTCTCCCTAACAAGAAAAATACTTTTTGCAAGGAAAAAAACCTACAAAAAAACCAAAAAATTGGACACAGAGAAATTCTCCTCTTGAATTTTTAGCTGCTATTTCACTCAATTTCCTGAACAAATAACTTTTATTTTGACATTTATTGAAGCAATTAAAGTCCTTTTAACCATGATATCATTGCCATAAAGAGAACACATCCATTAGGAAATGTGGCTACTCAGATCCAGCTGTGTCTAAACAAATCAGCTGATTATAAATAAGTTAATTAATTGACAAACTCACTAGCAATAAGTTAAATTAGTACATATATAGCTAATTGCACCTCTTTGAGATATGCAAGGAATTCAGATTAAATGGAGATTTGTGATTTTTTCTCTTCCATCCAGGATTTCAGCTCCCCACACTCCACATTAAATATGCACTGAGTTGCTCACATGATTATTTCAGAGGCTTGCATATTTTATTAATAACACCAGGAAAAATTAGGCTATGCTCCAGGAAAATTAGGTAATAATATTTAACCAATAGCTTTAATACAAGAAAGTTCTTTCATTTTACAAAAAATAAAAACACAGCAGCAAAGAAGCAACCGAGCAAACAAAATTAATTTAAATAAAGAAGTAATTTAAGAGGAATGAAACAGATCTGGGAGTAATTAGAGAATGGGACTTACCATGGAAGGGCCAACTGGGAAACCCGAGCACACCAATGTCATGGAAATCCACAGGATGAAAACCAAGTTCAACCTGCACAGACTTCAAAGAAAAGCTGAGATTAATGAAAATTTGGACAAAAATCAACCAAAGTATGAACAGAGAGCATCCCGTGCACCAAGGACCCCGCAGTGGCTTTACCTGCTCATTTTTTACCCAGCACTGTGAGCGTGAACATGCAGCTCCACATGCAAATTCCTCACATATCCTCTCAGTTCTTCCTCAGGTGACCATTTTATACCAGAGTTCAGGAGGGAAAATGTCATCAAAGCTGATTTTATTCTGACTAATTGCTCCTTGTTTGGCCTTTTCTTCTTGTTAAATGGGAAAATGGCAAGAACACGTTCAGCTGCCATCACCAACCCCGGGGATTTCATTTAAAGTGTCCCATTAAATGTCTCTCAAGTGGTTTTATTGTTACCTCTGTGTCATCACTGCAAGCCTGGTCAGAGGTCTAAAGATTTCAAAAATCCATCTCAAGAGTTTGTTACCACTTCCAATATATCAGGTGGAGACCTTGCAAAGCCTGGCAGCGAGGGAGAAACATTAAAAGTGCATTTTAAGTAAAAAAATCCTCAAAGAGTCTTATTATACTCAAACCAGCCACAATACAAAGAACAATATTTTTTTTCCTATCTTTCTCCCCCCAACATTATTTTTTTACATGCTTAGTTCTAAGTACACCAAATGAATTTTTTTTCCTGACAATTAAAATTCTTTGGACATTAATTTCTACCATGCAGCCATATCTCAGCCCACACTGAGCTGAGCCAATCCAAACTTCTATAGGATTAATAAACTCTGTTAATCTCATTAATAAACTCTGTTAATCTCATTAATAAACTCTGTTAATCTCCAGCAGCCCAGCAAATGTTTCACGTCAGAGAGGTTTTGACCAGGTGAGAAATCACAGCCTGCTTTGGAACTGAAGAACAGCAGCATCATGGAATAGTTTGGGTTGGAAAAGCCCTCTGAGACTGAGTCCAACCATTCCCAGCAGTGCCAAGGCCACCAGTGCCCCACGTCCCCAACTGCCACCTCCACAGGGCTTTAAATCCCCCCAGGATTGGAACTCCTCCCCTTCCAGGGCTGGACAGCCCTTTTTGGGAAGAGATGTTCCCAAAATCCAACCTGAACCTCCCCTGGAGACGCAGATGGTACCGAGGCAGGAGTCACTGAGACATCAGCACGGGGCCCAAGGGCTTTGCCCTCCCCTCACACACACACAGAGGGATCTCCTGAACATTCAAACCCTCCCATTTGCTCCTCCCTCCTCGGAGGATATTTTTTCCCAGCTTTTCAGGATGCAGTTTAACACAAGACACCTGTGATTTGTGTGATGAAGCACAGATGGAGAATGAGCTCCATTGCAGATATTCCCACTTCAGGTCTGGAGGAATCAGGTTGAACAGAACAAGTGGCAATTAACATTTCTGTCTCCTGCTCTGTCTCCAGAGGCTCTGCTCCCAGGCTGGGTTCACTGGCAGCTATCAGAGGTCAAATGAATCATTAAGAACAACAATAAAACCTCCCAGCATCCATAAAATTTGTATTTTTTCAGAATAAATCAGCAGCAGTATCAGCAACAAAATCACCTCTTCCCTCCTGCTTGACTTGTTGGAGGGATGCTGCATTGAACCTCAATGCTGCTTTCCTTTGGTTTTCCCACAAAAATCATATGGAACAACACAAAACTCACAGCTGAGCCTATCAAACCTTGCAAGCTTTTGAGGTTAATAAGCCTGTAAGCTTCAGAACATGATATTTCCTTCTTCCAGCCCAATAGTCAATCCAAAGTGTTTTAAATTGGCATTGTGGGACTTTGCTAAGGGATCAAACAAAAAATGAATGAACACATCTCAACCTGTCCATTGGCATAACCCCAAAAGTTGTAAAACCACAGCTCCTGATAAAGGCAAGGCTCAAAATCTTGTTTCCTTCTGGGATGCTCCCAGTGAAACCTCAGCACAGCTCTGCTGGAGAAAGCTGCTGGGATATTTTGTTCCAAACTCAATTGTTTGTTGTTTTTTTTTTTCTTGCTTTCAAGAATATCAAGAAAGCCAGGAGCCAGAGTGGTTTGCTTTCAGCCCACTGCAAGGTGTGAGCTGGAAATCAATCACACTCCCAGCACACAAACCTGCTTCTGACTCGGTGATAATAGAAAATCCCAGCAAGACACCAAGAGAGAAGAAACACAGAAAGCAGAAAGTTCATTCCTTGGGTCATTCCCTCTGTGCTCTCACTGCTGCAAGGGGACACAACCAAACCCTTCACCTGCACCACGAGATCTCATCTGCAGAGGCACAGGGAGCTGCTGTAGGTACACCTGACTGATTCTGGGCATTTCCTTGCCATGGAGATCTCTAATCCCCCTAAAACTGGGTATCAGGAGGCTGCCCCATCCCTGGGAGTGTCCAAGGCCAGGCTGGACAGGGCTTGGAGCCACCTGGGATAGCAGCAGGGGCCCCTGCCCATGGCAGGGGGTGGCACTGAGGCATCAGGGGGGAAACGATGCCTCAGGTTTAGCTTTTCTCTTTTTCAGGTTCTGAGCTGCTTCAGTGTGTGGGTCTGGGTTTCATATTAGGGGATGGTGAGCTCTGCACAGAGCAGGGAGACAAAACAATTCCTGCTCCAGCTGGGCACCAAGGACAAATGATCCCAATCCCAGCCCAGGAGCACAAACCCCGTGGGCTGCAGAGAGAAAAACAAGCAGGGTGGGACTGCAGGGGCTGCAGTGGGATTGGACACTGAACTGCAATGTGCACATGGAGCAGAGCTGAGCCCAGGGAGAGACCCCGGCAGCGCTCGTGCATTTTGGGGCCATTTGGGTTCATCCTGGGGGCAGCCCTGGCTGGGCTCTGGTGCTGCCCAAGGGGCATCCATTGAGGAGATCCTTTGAGTAAATCCCTGCTTTACTCTGGAACTCTGCCCAGCCTGTGTTCCAGGGCAGCCTGCACAAGGCATCAGCACTGAATGGGATTTAAGAGTCCCCAAGCCATTCCAGGATTCTCTGATGGAGGAGGAGAATGGCCCTGGCTGGCAGGGGTCAGGGGCCCTAAGGACAAGTGATGCAGCCTGGGGGAGGCTCAGCTCTTGTCCCCCTGCTGCCCTCAGCCATTTGGGCAGTGCCTGCCCACCTGCAGTGTCCCCCAAGCAGGAGGCACTCGTGCCCAGGGCTGTGTGTCCCCTGTGCCAATTCCCTGCCCCTGAGCCACCCAGGGGTTGGCACAGAGCTCTCTGGGGAGGATGATCTCATCAAAGGTCAGGGACACATTTTCTACGGCCTGTGCTGGCTGCTGTGGCTCCTGTCCCAGCCTCAGAGCTCTCCAGAAGGACAGAGCTGTTTATTGAATTCCTTCCTGGCTGCCAGCGCTGCCGAGCCAAGCCCTGTGAGTGAGACACTGCTCCAGCTCCGTGCAGGCAGGGACAGCTCCTCTGCTGAGCCCTGGCTCCGTGCCCTGCCTGGGAAGATGCATGGCTCCTTTTTAAAAGCCAGTTTTTAATGCAATTCCACTCAGCCGCCGCTCCCCTCGCAGCCTGAGCCAGCAGCAGCTCAGGCTCCAGCCAGGCCCCCTCTGACGCTCAGGTCTGAGCTGTGAGAGGAGGAAAATCAAAAGGCATTCAAGGCACAGCAGCACTGCCAGTCCTGCCCCCCTGCACAGCTTTGCTTTTCCTGGATGGATGCTCAGCAGGCAGCAGGGGAGCAGCAAGGGCTGCCAGGAGATGGAAGGAACAGGGCTCAGGGTTTGTGGACACTGTGAACCTCAGGATCTTCACTGGCACCTGATTTTGGAGCACTCCTGCATCACTGGGGCTGTGCACGTCACCGTCATGGCAAGGGGGACGAAGCTGCACTTGGATCCTCCCATGCCAGGGGGAAAAATTAGCTCCAAAATCCCATTTTTGATCCTACATCACACAGAAATCGTGGGCTGTGTCACAGTCACCATCCCCAGGATTTTAAAGTCTACATCATCCTCTCTAAATATACCAATTCCTTTTCCTGGTTACAGCCAGGGCTGGTGTGGGCAGAGGCAGCACGAGCTCCTTACCCCACTCCCCAGCACGTGTCCCAGCGTGAATCCACAGTGGTGATGGAAAATGTCACCACTCCCCACGTCCCACAGCACATGGCACCTCCTGGGCCTCGTGCCAGGGCACACAGCCCCTGCTGATGTCACCCGGCTCTGCTGATGTCACCCAGCCCTGCTGATGTCACCCGGCCCTGCTGATGTCACCACGCTCGGGCTGGAGCCCACGGGAAGTGGCAGGAATGAAGCTTTTGGCCAAAACATCTTGGAACACGTCAGGAAATGTTTCTAATTTACGGATCCCTTGCTTTGTTTTTGTAAGGTTCCTTAGCACACCTTCAGAAAAACAACCTGCATGAAGCACAGCATGAAAATCAAGCCCTCCCTGCACCAAGTGTTAAAGCCCTCTGAGAATTTGTCTGAAAAGAAAGAGCAGAGCAGACAAAAGTTGCTCAAACCGTCAAGGGGAGGCTCAGCAGAGGCAAAGTGGAGGTAATTAACATTTTTGCTACGCTGATTTGCGCGTGCCAACGTAATTTATGCGCTCAGAAATCTCTCAAATAGATCCTGCAGGAAGTGGCTGCTGAGGAAAAGATGTCAGTGCTGAGCTAAAAAGACACCTGTCAAAGCCAAACCCAAATTCCTGCTCAGATGCAACAAAGATCTCGATGATCTGAGAAAGGCTGAATAATTGTTGAAGGAGAAGGCAGAGAGAGAAAAGAGCCTGGATAGACAAGAAAAGGAGAAGGGTTTTGAGGAGAGAGAGGAGAAAAGGATGTAGGAAAGTCTGATGTGACTTTAGAGGAAGAGATCAAACTTTAAAGGGATCAAACTTTAAAGGAGTCAAGGAAAGCTAACACAAATATTATAAATAGCAAGGAATAGGGAGAAGGAGCTGGGTGGCTCTGAGGGGCACAATTTTTATGGATTTTATGGCACTGCACCTTAAGTTTCTCCCATGGGAAAGGCTAAGGAAAGACAAGGAAAACATATCCAATATTTCCTATTGGGATAATCTGGCTCAGGCAAGTTTCATGCTTTCCCCTACAGAATTCCAGCACCAACCCATTTGTTTGTGCTCCCCAGTCCTTGGGATGTCACCAACAGCCCTGTGTCAGCTGGGAACGGGAAAAAGGGAGCAGTGCAGGGAAAACTCAGTTCTGGCAGCACAAGGAATGATGCTGGGAGGTTTTGGGACACAAACCTGTGGATCCATAACTGTCCACAGGGGCAGTGAGGGGCACAGGGCATGCTGAAGGCTGCTCAGATACCCAGAACTCACAGGCTGGACACAAAAGGGGCAATTGCTCACCCCTGAGCAGCTTTTTATGCAATCCAGAGTGACCTTTCCCTGGAGAACAGCTCCGGTGGATGCAGAGCAGCTGCCAGGAGGTTCTGTACGCCTGCAAACACCCCTGGGCTGAGGGACCCCTCATCTGGCAGCAAATCTCCAGCTCACAGCTCAGGGTGACTCCCTTTCCTGCATCTCAGCTGCTGCTCGGGTGAGCTCTTGGCATTTCTGGAGAAGGGCAAGATGCCAGCTTGAATTTGTGACACGAGACCCAAAGAACCTTTAGGAAATGAGTGGCTACATCTGGAACAGCACTCATCATGTGGAGGAGGCGAGAGGACACACCTTTTTTTCTCCAAAATGCTGAGTGTTTTCCATCTGCTCTCCCCACTCTCTCAGCTCGCTGCTGTTTTCCCTCTACTTCGCTGTGGCACTTGAATAAACAAGGATATTGCAGCCTCTTTAAAGGAGATTCCTTTCCTGCAAAAGCCTTTTTGAAAAGAAGGATCCTCTCCACGATGACCCGCTAAAGAGCAAACACACAGGAGCTGAGCCCCAGCTGCACGTTGTGTTTAAAATTGGCTGGTGGGAAGAGAAAATCAAACTGTGAGTCTGCCTCGCTCTGCGGGCTCTGGAAATGCCAGGTCTGGATCAATCTTGGCGACTTTGGTTGCTCCTAAAGGTCCTCAAGCAGGAGAAAGGGAATGTGGCTATCAAACAATTTGGTGCCTTTTGTCTGAACATGATCCTGACTTCCCCTTGTGTTCTCTCCCTCTTACAAAAGGCTTCATCCAAAAATATCCCACACCACAAGACAGGGGAAGTTTCTGTTTCCTCTCCGAAAGCCTGTGGCAGCTGGCTGGATTTTTCTTGCTCTGTGCAAGGATTTCTTTGTGCCCAATTATGTTTCAATGCTTGATGTAACTCCTCTGGAAGTTAGAGCTGCAAAGGGACTTTTAATGAGGTCAGGGAGTGACGGGAAAAGGGGGAAAGTGGGTTTAGCTTGGGTTTTGGGAAGAAAAGTCTTCCCTGTGAGGGTGGGAGGCCCTGGCACAGGGTGCCCAGAGCAGCTGGGGCTGCCCCTGGATCCCTGGCAGTGCCCAAGGCCAGGCTGGACACTGGGGCTGGGAGCACCTGGGATGGTGGAAGGGATTTGCGGTCCCTTCCAACCCAAGCCATTCCATGCTTTGATAATTTTTTAATGAGTCTGTGATACCTGGCTCCTTGTTCTTCTATTACTTGCACCAGTAGCTGATTTGCAAAGCTCATCTGTGCCCTCTCCACCCTCTGAGCTCCCCTCTCAGCATCAGGGCCCTTCAAGGTTTTTACCCCTCCCCACAGCTGCCACATTCGGAGGCAATCAACTGCTACTTCTTAATCAAGAGCACAGATGAATCTGAATAAACACAAAATCCAATATTAGAGAAGCTCATCCAGCCCCGTTCTCTGGGGAGCAGGAAAGGCCAGGGGTGCTGGGGCTCAGGACTGTTCCCAGGGGCAGCACAGGGGATATTCCCCAGCTTTTCCTGCTCCAGTCCCTCGGGAGGAGCACTGAAGGCACAGGACATGAAAAGGAGCAGCTCTCCGTGCACTTGACACGGCTCTGGCTGCCGGGAGCAAACGTGCAGTGCTCAAAACCCAGAGACTCTTTTTTCCTGCCCTCCTGCTGCTGCCAGCCCAGCCTTTCATGGGAACCCAATCCCAGCTCGGGAGTGCACGGGGAACGACAGCAGGGAATTCTGTGCTGCCATCCTCAAAAAAGGCTGAGCTGCCAGGGGTGGGGACAGACAGGGCAGCACAGCCTGAGGGGCTGGGAGAGCAGCAACACTGGGAGCACCCTGGAGTTAACACTCACCTGAATGATTGGTGGCATCCAAAATTTAAAATAAATAAAATAAAATAAAATAAAATAAAATAAAATAAAATAAAATAAAATAAAATAAAATAAAATATAAAATAAAATATAAAATAATAAAATATAAAATGTAAAATAAAGGATAAAATAAAATATATAAAATAAAATAAATAAAATAAAATATAAAATAAAATATAAAATAATAAAATATAAAATGTAAAATAAAGCATAAAATAAAATATATAAAATAAAATAAAATAAAATAAAATAAAATAAAATAAAATAAAATAAAATAAAATAAAATAATTAGATTAAGGAAAAAATAACCCCACAAAAGACAAGCATATAGAAGAATAACACAAAAACATCAAAATCAATAAACAAGAAATCAAATCCCACATAAAAGGCTAAAAAGGAATCTTAAAACTAAAATCCTTTTGTAAATGATGAAAAATCCCTCTTTTTCCCTATAACACGTAAAACTGTAAAGAAATAAAAAGTTAAATTAAAATCAAACAAAAACCTCCATGTTAAAATAAACAAATACTAAAGTAACTATAATTCCATAAAAAAATCAAACAGAAAAGAGAGAAGGGTAATCAGGTTTGTTTTCAGGGATGCTTCTCAGGTGCTTCCTGAGCATCCTCTGCCTCCTCTCCTCGATGCCTTAAGGAGCTGCAGCAGAGGCTAGAGGGAGTTCAGAGGAATAGAGTGAGATTTATTGAAGTGCCTTCAAAGGCCACACCCTGGCAGTGCCCAGATGGCTCCAAGATGGAAGGAAAAATCTTGGGTACGAGATCTCACATTTTTGTAAGTTTTAATGCATTTGCATACAGGAGTTAACTGTCCAATTAACAGCTTCAAATGACAGTTTCATCTTCTTTGCTCGCTTGCCCTCCTCTTTTCACCTTGTTTGTGCTTTGGGCCTGGAGTTTGAAGAGATTGTCCTTGAGTCTCCAGCTGGAACAGGATTGTTTTTCTCCACCATCCTGTGAAAAGATCCCAGTAACACTTCATGTAAAACTAAAAGCTGCACACCAAAACAGAACAGAAAAACTCAAAACCCAAGGTATCAGCATTGCCTCAGGAGGTGGGAGAAGCTCCAAGGACCACCACGAATTATGAATGAGCAGCCAGGGAAGAGCAGCTCCCACTGCTCCCACATCTCCCAGAGCTCCCACAGCTCCTGGAGCTCCCACATCTCCCAGAGCTCCCACATCTCCCAGAGCTCCCACAGCTCCCGGAGCTCCTACAGCTCCTGGAGCTCCCACAGCTCCTGGAGCTCCCACATCTCCCACATCTCCCAGAGCTCCCAAAGCCTCCAGAGCTCCTACAGCTCCTGGAGCTCCCACATCTCCCAGAGCTCCCACAGCTCCCAGAGCTCCCACAGCTCCCAGAGCTCCTACAGCTCCTGGAGCTCCCACATCTCCCACAGCTCCCAGAACTCCCAAAGCTCCCAAAGCTTCCAGAGCTCCCCCAGCTCCCACATCTCCCCCAGCTCCCAGCCTCTCCACGCAGCAGGAGCACACCACATTATAGACAAGAGATCTCTTGAAACTCAAATAACCCCACAGTTCTCTGCCTTGCCACACTCCATAACATCAGCAGCGCCTAAGCCAGCAGGACAGCAGCTAAAAATACTCTGCTGCAGCTCATGGCAGCTCCTGATGGAAGGGCAGAGTCCCTGCCATGTGCTCCCTGCAAGTGCTGCAGCCAGGGGCCTCGGGCACGGCCCCACATCCACAGCAGGGTCTCAGCACAAAGCTCTCCATGGCCCTGGAATCATTCCCAGCTCAGCCCTGCTCTGCTTTCCTGGTCAAGCTCAGTGTCTGTGCTTTCAGTGCCAAACTGTTCTGCAGCCACACCGAGTCCCTTTGCAGTCCCTGCAGTTCACAGGCTGGAAATTGGCAATTTCTGATCCAGATGTCAGCGATGGGAAATGCAGACCTGGGTGACTTTGTGTTTCCAGGGCTGTTTCCCAACCTAGAACCTCTCCCCAGAGCTCACTGGCACATTTGGGGTAGAGTAGTGTAAAGAGGGGCTTGGGAAGAGAAGCAATTGAAGCAATTGTGCGTTCATGTTCCCTGCTGTCCTTCTGTGCTCAGTCCCATTTTCTGCAAGAATGAACAGAGAACCAAAACGCATTTATTGTGGTGCAGACCTGGGTGACTTTGTGTTTCCAGGGCTGTTTCCCAACCTAGAACCTCTCCCCAGAGCTCACTGGCACATTTGGGGTAGAGTAGTGTAAAGAGGGGCTTGGGAAGAGAAGCAATTGAAGCAATTGTGCTCATGTAGAGTTCATGTTCCCTGCTGTCCTTCTGTGCTCAGTCCCATTTTCTGCAAGAATGAACAGAGAACCAAAACAAAATGCATTTATTGTGGGGGTTTTTTTGGTGTGGTTTTTTTTTTTTTTTTTTTTTTTTTTTTTTTCCTGCTGCATAAGGTGATGTTTTCATAGAATCCCAGACAAGTTTGGGTTGGAGCAGACCTTGAACCTCATCCATTCCACCCCCTGCTATGGGCAGGGACACCTTCCACCATCCCAGGTTGCTCCAGCCTGGCCTTGGACACTGCCAGGGATGGGTCAGCCACAGCTACTCTCTGCCAGGACCTCACCACCCTCACAGGGAAGGATTTCTTCCCAATATCCCATCTAACCCTGTTGTCTTTCTGTTCAAAGCCATTCCCCATTTTCCTTCCTATTAAAGAAATCCTATTAAAATCCTATTAAAAACCTGCCTCATTAAAAGAAAACAAACAAACAAATCCTCTCCAGCTCTCTTGTATCCCTTCTAGGTACTGAAAGGCCCAAGAAGATCATCCCAGAGACTTCTCTTCCCCTTTTTTCAGCCATGTGGGATTGTCTCTCTTTCCTCACTGCTGTTTCTCACTAGGGAGGGGTAGCCCTGGTCCAGCTGCCCCTGGACTGCACCCACTCAGTCCTATCCAGCAGGATATGCCCAGAATATGTGTCCTGAGCAGTGAACTCCTCTTTATTCAGGACAACCCCAGCCCAGGAATGACCTTAACTCGGTGGGGAGACATCCCAAACTGATCCAAAGCTGAACCTCAGCAGGGCTGGCCAGGCAGGCCCTGCTCCATCCCTGCTGTGGATGGAGCTGAGGATGCTCCAGTTGCCTGGGAAACCACGCCTTGGGATCACTGGGATGCATCCTACACCTCTGCCTTGGGATACAGCACCTTGTCTGGGAGAGAATCCTGCTGGGAGGAGCCTGCAGGAATCAAATCCTCCTCCTTCCACAGGGATAAATCCAGTGTAAAGTCACTTGTGGGTAAACAACAACCAGATCTGCCCCAAAAGAGTAAATATGGGTCACAGGCAGGTGTTTGAGCAGCTCATTCCTCAGCTGAGCACGAAGCTTAAACCCATTAGGAAATTACCAGCAGGTGGAAGAATTGGCTGAGTAGAGATAAAGGAGCTACAATCAAAGGAGATGGGGTTACTCAAGGACTCAGAGCATTTATTTAGATTAAATATTTGCAAATTGGGATAGTTTTTGGCCTATTTTAAGAAAGAATGGATTCAATACTTACAGCACCAGGTAGGACCTTAAAAAACCATCCTGTTCCAACCCCCTGCCATGGAAATGTGCTTGGGGTATCAGCCTGATTTTAGAGGACAAAAAGCCATAAAGAAAAGCAGGATATTGCTCCAAGTGTCCTATTGCTGGCAGCATTTAGACAAGGAAAGCAGCATCATCTCACTGCTTGCTTACCTTCAATCAAAAAACAACACTGGGCTTTAATTTCTCCTGTGGGTGTAGTCAGCTCTTAAGTTAAAATCCAGGCTTTAATATCTTCTCCTCATAATTTAGGTCATGGGCAGGGAAGCAACAGAGGGAAAAACAGAGGGAAAATTCAGACTTTGCAAGAGATGCTAAAAAACTGCAGCTCGTGCTCAGGGCTCCCAGGGCACCGAGTGCAGCCACTCCTCTGCTCAGAAAGCCTTGGAGCCAGAAAAGAGAGGCTGAAATCCCTGCAGGATTTAAATCCCGGGTCCCAAGGCCTTTGTAGGGTCTGTCTGCAATGCCCGAGGTCAGCAGGGAAAGTTCTGCTCTTCCCTGGGAGTGCTCATCCCTCGGGGAGGGCTGGGGGTGCTCCACTCCTGGGGAAAGGACAGAAAGGGACACACAGGGGTGGTAAAGGAATCCTTGGGATCATCCAGTTCAGATGAATGGAAAAGTGGAAGAAAAAGGGGTTTAATGGCAGAGAAAAGTGTCTCAACAAAAGGCTGGGAGAGCTGAGGGGGGCTCACCTGGAGAGGAGCAGCTCCAGGGAGAGCTCAGAGCCCTGCCAGGGCCTGAAGGGGCTCCAGGAGAGCTGCAGAGGGACTGGGGACAAGGATGGAGGGACAGGACACAGGGAATGGCTGCAAGCTGACAAGGGGTAGATTTTGATGGGATATTGGGAATTAGGAATTGTTCCCTGTGAGGGCAGACAGGCCCTGGCACAGGGTGCCCAGAGCAGCTGGGGCTGCCCCTGGATCCCTGGCAGTGCCCAAGGCCAGGCTGGACTCTGGGATTTGGAGGGGAAGGTGGATCTGGATGAGCTTTAAGGTCCCAACAACCCGACCCAGTCTGGGATTCTGGGGTTAAACAGCAAATTGCAGCTGCACTGGTCCAGGAGAATCCTGTGTTGGTTGTTTCCCCCCAGTCCTTCATTTCAAAAATCCAAACAAACCAAAGCCCTTCCCTGTTGCCTGTGCCACCAATTCTGCAGTTCAGTGTCTCAGTGGGGTCCTGTTCACCCCCAGAATTCAGGATTCCACCCCCCTGCTCAGTTTATGGTGCTCATTCTCATCAGAACATAATTACACTGCACAGGGCCATAAACTCCCCATTCTGGGGGGTGGAAGCAGCTTTCTTCTCACATTTATTAAATTGTGTTTATTCACATCCTTACTAATTTATATGGCATCCTCCTTATTAAACAGAACAGCAAAATATAATTGAGTCTTCCATTCCTAATGGGGTTTTTTTGTTGTGTTTTCTTTTTATTGCCAACAGATACGTGCATAAATTTTTGAGCATCCAGAAGTCATCTGGAGTTTTAGATGATCAGGGCGAGGCAGCCTTGGGGTTTTTGCTGGGTCACCATCAAGGGTTGTTGCATCCAGCTGACACCAAGCACTGCTAAAAACACACTCAGCTCCTTCATGACTGCTCAAACAAAATTAAAATTCCAGGAAAGTGCAGCCAATTGATTCCTAACATGTATTTCAAGTGTAACTGCTTGGAATTTTTTCTTTATTATTATTATTAATTTTTTAATATTTCAACTCTAGTGGGATGTGATTTGAGATTTTCAGAAAGTCAGTTTATGAAGAAACTGTTAATAATGAATGGAGTGAAATGAATCCCATCACAGGTGAATGTGCCATGGATTTCAGTTTAGGAGAACACAGGAGTTTATTTGTCCTGTTACCAACCAGCCCCTTTGGACTGGGAAGGAAAAGGCAAAGGAAAAAGGGAAGGAAAAAAGAGAAGAAAAAAGAGGGAAAGGAAAGGAAAGGAAAGGAAAGGTAAGGAAAGGAAAGGAAAGGAGAAAAAGGAAAAGAAAGGAAAGGAAAAGGCAAAGGAAAAAGGGAAGGAAAAAAGAGAAGAAAAAAGAGGGAATGGAAAGAGAGAAAGGGAGAAGGAGAGGAAAGGAAAGGAAAGGAAAGGGGAAAGGGCTCATTTTAACCCCAAACCCAGCTCCAAGATATTATCATGGTCCAGCAATGCCAGGGATGCCGGAAAGGAAAGGAAAGGAAAGGAAAGGAAAGGAAAGGAAAGGAAAGGAAAGGAAAAAGCTAATTTTAACCCCAAACCCAGCTCCAAGATATTATCATGGCCCAGCAATGCCAGGGATGCCACCAAACCCAATCATATCAATTTTTTCCATCTGTCTGGGCACTCCAAGCAAACCATCCAGCACTGCCAGAGCAGCTGCACTAAATCTGTCCCACAGCAGAAATCACTGCACCTGAACAGTCCTAGCAGTGTCCCCAAATTCAGTTTTCCCTTCTCTTTTCCCCTCCTGAAAGCAAAAGCTCAAACACTCAGTGAAAGCTCCACGCCAGCAGCAGAGAGGATCTCACCACAGAGCTCCAGGAGAGGAGTTTTCCAGTGCAGAGGAGAAAATTACTGTTTCCCCAGGAGGCACAGATCCCATGTCAAGGGGGAAAAAAAACCATTAAAACAAAATAGATCTGGACAGCAATTCTGTAGTTTCACCAGGAAATGTTTTGTGATGAAGCTGAGCAAGTAAACAGAATGTCAAGCACCCAGATAAAAGACTTGCACTTATTGCTGGACAATCCAAAGGTGTTTTGTTGTTGTTGGTTTTTTATAGCTACTTTTTTTTTTTCTGCAAACAAATGCTCCTACGCATTTTTTAAGGAGAGCAATGCACTGGAACATCATGGAATAGTGGAGAAGCAGCCTGTGTCCATCTCCAGGGATCCAGGGTTAGTAGGTCAAAGACACCAGGACACCCCAGGAAGAATTCTGCATAAAAACCCTAAAAAACCCCCACAGGTTTCCTTTACACCACATCAACTGCTCCCCTCTCCTGTTCTGCTGCACAGAAAGCCAAAAAATACCTGGACTGAAACCTTGGAAATAAAAAGGTGATTCTGCTGCCTTAAGGATACTGCTGAAAAACTGTGTGTTCTTTTGTCTGCCTTTGGCCCTGGAAAAATCCAGCAGCACTTTCAGGCTTTAGGGCTTTCTGGAATTATTTTATTCTGTGTTAAGTGGAAAACACAAATCAATATTTTTTTGTGCACCTCCCAGTCCTGTGTCTTGCCCCAAAAAAGGATTTGAATTTGCCAACCAGAGAGACCAAATGTGTACAAACGTTTGGGCTGTGCATGTTACAGATCATGGAGCAGATTTTCCTTCATGGAACCACTGAGAGCTACAGGGATCTTTGGAAAAGCCTGGGACAATACTCACTTGTAAATGAAGTCCCTCAATTCCTTGAGATTGGAATTTCAAACAGGGTCTCTGTATTATGGAGCTCTTTGTTATTTGCTTCCAAGCCTGTGTGATTTCTCCTGCACTCCAGGATTTATTTTGCAAAGGTTCACATCTCTTAGCAGGGCCCACATTTCTTCTCATAATTAGGATCATTGCAGTGTTGTGGTTTGGTTTGTGACATTTGCATCTCATTACACAGAACGTCTCTGAGCAGCACAACTCTGTTTTATCCAGCCCTGTCCTGGAGGAGCAGAGAGCTGGAAAAAACACTCCCACAAAGACTTCAGATCCTCAGCTTTAATAATTTTGTGCTCAGACAAGCAATTCCAACTAATTCCTACACCAGGGCTCCATTTGTCTGTCCTGACCATTCCCACCCATCCCTAATGCCCACAGAAATGGGATGGACATGTCTGGAGTCCAAGATTGCAGCTGGAAAAGTGTGAATTAAAGGAATTACCTTGGAAAAAAAGAGGTTTTCAGTCTCCTTTTCTTGTGGAACAGAGAACACTTTTCTGTCCTTTTCTGCTGTGACGGGAGCTGGGAGCTCAGGAGCCTTCAGGTGAGGTTTAGTTGGATGCAGGGTCAATTTTGATGGAAAATTCCAGATTTCAGCAACCGGACTCCCACTGCCTGTCAGATAATTGAAGAGAAATCATTACAAGGAGAAAGTCAGTTAGAAAAAGCACTGACATAGAAAAATGTCCCCAGATGAGACCTTTGGCCCCAGCTGGGGCAAAGCACGTGGCATCCTTTAAAATATGATTCTGGGATTTGCAGCAACTTGATTTCCATTTGTTCAGGCTCTTTATCATTTCCAACAGCCCAAGCACGAGACCAAATGCACTAATTCCAACAAACCAGAGTGCAAAAAATGGTGCAATAAAATACCCATAAAGACACATTTCAGGATAAAGTAACATTATCCCAGGAAGTGCTGGAAAATTAAGGGTTTTTTTGTTGTTGTTTTTGGGGTGGGGTTTTTTTGTTTTGTTTTGGTTTGGTTTTTTGGGGTTTTTTTGGGGTTTTTTGGGGGTTTTTTTTTGTTGTTGTTTTTTGTTTGGTTTTTTGTTTTTTGTTTTTGCTGCTGGAGCTTTACAACTCTCCAGTAATATTTTTCCCAATTGGAAAATACTTTCCCAAAGCTCCCTATTTTTTCCTAAGGTAAAAATCCATTAGGAATGGGTCTGGGATGGAAAATCACAGAATCAAAGGCTCACAAGGGGTTTTTTTAAGTTCACCCCATTTTCCCCCTGCCATGGCAGGGACACCTTCCACTGTCCCAGGCTGCTCCAAGCACTGTCCAAGCCTGGCCTTGGACACTTAAAATTCAATTTTTAATTTTTTTTTTCATTCTGCATTCCCTCTGCAATGAGCTGCAGGCCTTTGGAGCAGCTCTGTTCAAAAGCCCTGTGGAGGTGGTACCTGGGGACATGGGGCAGTGGTGCCCTTGGCAGTTCTGGGAATGGTTGGATTTAATAATTTCAGAAGCCTTTTCCAACCTTAATTATTCTGTGATTTTTTTGATGCATTTGCTGCCACCCTGGGCACTCTGGGCCCACTGAAGCTCCTTTAATGCCTCCCATTAGTTTCAGGGTGTGAAGAGTGAGGATTTTAGGTGACATCAGTGATGTAATGAAATGTAATCATTAAAATGTCCTTCCCCTGCCTCTGCTAGACCTCTTCCAGCCACTGCTTTTCAGAAAAAAAAGAAATTATAAAATTGGGGTTTTGCAGTACCAGAGCAGTTCCTGTCAGGAGCAGCATCTCCCAGGGCCATGGCAGTGAAAACAACAGCAAAAGTAAAATTAAAATAGTTCATAAGTACTTCAGGGTTTGATTTAAGGAGTTAAGGGTTGGACTCAATCTTTGAGGGCTTTTCCAGCCTTAAAGATTCAGAGATTCTGCATGGGAGAGCAAAACTGGTATGAAAAGCTTGGGATTTCTATGGGTTTACAACAATGGCACCAACATCATGGATCCAAATGTTTAATCTGATTTACAGCAAGAAATCTTGTCCCTTCTGAATAAAACTCATTTTGGGGGTGCAGCTTCAAATGGGACAACCTGGTCATTCTGGGAATTCTGTGAAAATGATTCTTTGCACGCCCTCACCACCCAAATTCTTCATTGATGATGATGGGTTTTGTCTTTATAAGCCTGAGCCCTGGATTCACAGAATTCCCAGAATGACCAGGCTGAAAGAGACCTTAAAGATCATCGAGTCCAGCCCAGCCCCAACACCCCAACTCAACCCTGGCCCCCAGTGCCACATCCAGGCTTTGTTAAACACACCCAGGGATGGTGACTGCAGCACCTCCCCGGGCAGCCATGCCAGAGCTTTGTCACCCTTGCTGTGAAAAACTTTTCCTGATATCCAACCTGTTAGGAGAACCTGTTTTTCAAAGCATATTTACATTTGGAATTAAAATTTCCCGCCGTTCTACGCTTGAGCTGGGTTTTGGATCCTCCCTGAGCACCTGGGGAGCTCAGAAGGGCTCTTCCAGCAGTGGGGATGGGAACACACCCAGTGCAGCTGCTGAGAGTCTCAGTGAGCTGAGAAGTGATTATGTTGTACCCCTGGGCAATGAGGCTGCCACCGAATTTCCAAACAAGATGTGAGAATCTGGGACAGTTCTGTTGCTGGGTCACAACGTTTGCTTGGCACTTCCCCTCCCTATTTTCCTCTTAGGAATGAAATCCCAGCGTTTCCAGGATCAAATCCTCCCCTGGCAGGGAAAAGATGCACAAAAAGCTGATTTGGGGAGGGGAGGCTGTGACAGCAGGAGGGGTCAGACACAGGGCAAACCCAGCCAGAAATGAGAAATGAAATGGGGGAAAATGAGAATTTGTGGCTTTTGCTGCAACCCTGACCTCAGCTAATTATTTGTTACACAGCAGCTGCAGTTCTGAATTGTTATAAAACAGCTGAAATTATTACTTGCTATAAAACATCTGAAATTTTGACCCTGTTGCCCACCCAGACCCCATGGAAACATTCAGGTACTGATCCATAAAGTCATTTTGGATGCATAGGCAGGTTCCTCCAGAAGGAAATTTTAAGCACCTGTTGCTGAACCATCCCCTGGAGAAGCCCATCCTGCCCTTCCCTATTTTTAATTTTTTTTCCCCAAATGAATTAATAAATAATTGTTTTAAAAATCCAATCAACAAAGGAACCAAAGAAAATAAAAATACCTGCAAAAGTTTGATCATATTTTAGTGGCAAAGATGAAATTCTGAGGTCACCTCTGTGACTGGGACTTGTTTTTCTGCCTACCACAGAGCAGAGCTGCCTGTACTTATCCAGCAGGGACAGAATTCCATATTTCCAGGCTTCACAGGTTCCAAGAGGAGTGAAATGGCCCCAGTAAACCCACACAAACCAGCTCTGTTAATAATTAAATTGGCTCCCTACCGTGGTCAAGAAGGATGGCTGCCACCAAGTGCCCCGGCCACTGCCAAGGGCTATAAATGGGTTTGTGCAATATTTTGAGGCAGCCTCCCCCTCCAAAACCTGTCCTGTGCACAAGGAACTCCCAAAGTCAGCAGGAATGGAGCTGAGCCCACAGGAGAGGGTCATTTCCAAAGGTAATTGGAGCTTTTTTAACCCAGAACTGTCAAAGAGTGCTGAGAATAATGGAGCCTGACAAGGCTGAGGTTGAAGGAGAACTGGGAAGATTGATCTGCTGTGTTGGTGTTGCTTTTGGCAGCGTTGCAGCAAACAAACATTTCCCTAAATAAAGGAAAATGGTCAAATGCTACCTTTATTTCCTTTCCTTCCCAATTCCCCTTTTTTCTCCCTTCCCAGCTGCAGGACTCAGGGAAAGCCAAACACCCAGCCCATCCCTCAGCAAACCCAACAGCAGCACGTGCTCCATGCTGTTTTTCCTCCAGCTCTGCTCTTGCCTGAAGGTGCCTTCCCCTGCTCCATCCTTTTGTTTTAAGGGAGAAGAGAAATGCAAGCACCACTCATTTCACAGCTCAGCTACAGGTAAATTATCTGAGAAGATAGGGGAGCACTTGGCTCCTCTCCCTTTCATTTTTCTTGGTGTGAAAATCAAATGTAATGGGCTCAATGATTTATGACTGCCAGCAGGATGGAGCACAGGGATCATTGGATACCTGCCCAAATTCCTGGCTGGATCACAAACCCCCTTCCATGTGGCTTGAGGTTCCCTCCAAACCTCTGCTCCCCAACTGCACCAACTTTTAAGAGAAAGAAAAAATTCCGTCCAGCCCCACATTTCCATTGGGAGAGTCCCTGTGGCTCCTGGGGCGTGTCCAAGCCATTGGGAAGTGCCATTCCCAGACTGGATGAAGGCTCCAGGCTGTGAGCTCAGGGGCTGTGGGGATGATGGGTGGCACAGCAGAGCAGGGCAGTGCCAGGCACAGGCAGCTCATCCCTTGGAATCCCAAACACAGCATCATGGAATGGTTTGGGTGGGAAAGGACCTCAAATCCCACCCATTCCACCCCTGCCATGGCAGGGACACCTTCCCCTGTGCCAGGTGCTCCAGCCCCAGTGTCCAGCCTGGCCTTGGGCACTGCCAGGGATCCAGGGGCAGCCCCAGCTGCTCTGGGCACCCTGTGCCAGGGCCTGCCCACCCTGCCAGGGAACAATTCCCATCTAAATGTACCCATTGTCAGCTTGCAGCCATTCCCTGTGTCCTGTCCCCCCATCCTTGTCCCCAGTCCCTCTCCAGCTCTCCTGGAGCCCCTTCAGGCCCTGGCAGGCTCTGAGCTCTCCCTGGAGTCTTCTCCAGGTGAGCCCCCCAGCTCTCCTGCTGAACAGGAGCTCCAGCCCCATTCTTCCCATCAAACCAACCACAATTTCCCATTTTCCAGGTCTTTCAGAGACCAGGCCTAACCTAAGACAGGATTTCTGCTCCTGACCGTACACAAATCCCACAGCCCAGAAAACCTCACACCAGAGAAAAGGAATTTCTTTTTCCAAAGTCACTTTCCTGCCACCATGTCCAGAGCTGAGATCAGACCAGCACGGATTTCTCTCCAGGAGCTTCTGATGGGAGGTTCAGAGGAGCTCTGTCTCTTCCCCAGGGCTTTTGTGTTTGGACCTATATTCCCTGCTCAAATACTCCCACAGATCCCTGCCCACCTCTACAGGGACCACAAAGTGAGGAAAGACACACACTTCTTTAAAAATCCCATTATTTCTATTTTTTTTTCCTATTATTTCCCTCTGTGGAGCGACTCAACAATAATGGGCTGCTTGGAAAAAAAAGCAACAACAAATCTATTTGCCAACTGTACACAGTAATAAACTCATGGAAGGAAGTTTATAGCCAGTAAACTGAATATTATTGACAACCAGATCTCAATAAAATGCAAAAAATATCTCACGACAGGCCTCCTGCAACACGAGTAGGTAATAAATGCCTCATCTTTTGAAAAAAAAGTGTTTTACTTTAAACTTTTTTAAATTTATGGTTGATTTCTTTTGGATTTTTTCTTGGTGAGCTTTTGAGCTCATGCAATTAAACACAGGCAAACACATCTAATTTCCAGAGAAACAATAATTACAGCTTAACCCAACTTCCTGCCCTCTGCAGCGCCTTTCCCTCTTGCTGCAGGAACACACTCCCCAAACCAGTGTTCATCCTGTTAAATTGGATGTTAATAAGTGGTTTGAGCTGCATAATTGATGCTGAGCTAAGGAATGTTTTGCTCAGGCTGGAGCTGCTGGGATTGTTTTACCTCTCCGAGTGTTCTGCTGATCCCACGTGGAATTTGTGTCACGCTGCTCTGGAACGGTGCCTGGCTCCCTCTTCACTCCCACAGCTTCCTTCAGATCCTGCTAAGGAATTCTGCTTGGAGTCCAGGAAGGTTTTTAGTTCATTTTCAGTGTTTTCCCCTCTCAGAGCAGTGATCTGGCACCGCTCGTGGGGAGGATGGAGGGAGGGAACTCCTCTGAAATGGGGATTGCAGCACGGGGAAATGCAAGCACAGCCAGGGGAGAATGGAAGGAATTTGGGAAGAGCAGCCAATAACAGGGGAATGCACCAAAAATGCTTTAATAGGAGCCAGTGTCACATTTGGGTTTGGTTTTGCTTTCTCCTTGTAAGGATTCCCTAAAATGTTGATGACAAATATCTTCTGCTTCATCTCTCTCATCTCTTTTCTATTTCTTTCTTTTACCTCCCATTTAGTGTTAAATAAAATCAGAATTATTGACACCACATGGTCTCACGTGCAGATTAATTTGGGCAGAGGAATCTCTCAATATTTGGATCTTGACATCATCCCAAGGGGGTCAGGACGTGTCCCAGCACTGCAATCCACAGCCACCTTCCTCTGCAGGGAAATGAGTTATTTAATTCAGCCACTTCCCTTTGAAGTGCTTGAACACAATGCCACACACATTAGAAATGAAAAATAAAAGTGTCACTCAACAGAGAAACACAATTTACACTAATTATTCATGTCTGCAGAATAGATATTAAAAAAAAAACCCCAAGGGAAATTAAAAATCCTATAAATTCACTCAACAGAGAAACACAATTTACACTAATTATTCATGTCTGCAGAATATATATTAAAAAAAGCCCCAAGGGAAATTAAAAATCCTATAAATAGCCTCACTGGAGAGACCCCATACAACAACCAAGTATTTCTACTGATCCTCACCTTTCTGTATCCCCAAGAAGATGGCAACTACAAGCCTGAAAATCAGTTTAGAGCCATGGAAAGTCCAAAAGGAGAATGAGAGGAAATGGAAATGTCAACACAGCAGCACCTCACGCTTCCCATTACTGCTAAAAACCGAGCACAGAGGAAAACCCTGAACTTCAGTGCTCACCATCACTCCAGTGCTTGCTCTGTTTTCCATGGGGGAATCTCTACACGTGCTCCCATTTACTGATTTAGCACAGGGCAGGGTGAGGATGGACACTGGAAAAGCCTTACCTGGTTTGTGCAGCCACAGCCTGGCTTCACACCACGTCACACTTCTGGCACGGGGTGGTCCCAAAGAGGCCACGGGAACTGATGGGGAAGATGTTTGACACGAAGCAAGAAGGGAGAGACCTCAACCAGTCAGTGAAGGGAGATGAATCACATTAAAAATAGGTGTTTGATGTGTGTGCATGAATACACAGCTGCACCTGCACTCACACGAGTCTCTATTCATATATCACAAATAAATACCATTTCACTGTAAATTTTTCACCCTTTTCCTTTGTAAAGCCACACAGAACTACAGGCGAGGTAAAGAAAAATGCCTAGGTTAAGACAAAACTGAATTTAAAAACATTTTTACCCTCAGAATTTGTGGTATCATGGGAGACATCTCAGTAATCATAAATGTCAATTACAGGAACCAGCTTGAGGAGTGACCTTTGTGTTGAGCTTCCCAGTGAAAATAAATGTGATTAAAAAGCAAACAGCCCCCATCCAACAAATCTTGTGTGGTTTTGTGTGGGACTGATCTGTGCACCTGTAAAATCCACCCTCACTCCCAGGCTGAGACTCAAGGAAATGGAATTGAGGAATCTCCTTTTATCCTGGCACTGTGAGTTAACTCGAACTGAATTCAAGCTGCTTTTCAAGAAGTAAAAATTAGTGGCCACTGAAATTGTGTTTTTTCCACTATCCAGGAACTTGGCACCTCTGAATTTCTCCTTTCAGGGCAATTTGTGTCACAAAGCTGAGTGTGAGCAGAGGGACAGCTTTTGGGGGAGATTAATCCCCAACTTGTCCCAGGTGGTGAAAACCTGGCCCCTGTGGATCCTGCCAATTCCCTGGCCAAGGTCTGCCATGGAAAAGATGGATGGGTCACCTTTGTAACAGAAATATTGATTTGAATCAAGTCTGAGTGGGACCTCTGGTTGTGGAGGCACTGGGAGGATAAAGAGGTGATAAATAAACCAGGTCATCCCAACCTCACCTTCTCCACACGCAGCTCAGGGCACACGCTGGGGAAAGCAAAAGACTCCTTGAAGCCATTTAGGGATGAATTCCCACAGGAATGAGGCAGATGGAAGGGACAGGAGATCCTACCACTGTAAAAGTCAAATAAGTTTCTTTTTGAATTGTTTCATAATGAGCTCTTCTGCATTAGCCCAGCTGTGTCCCAACAGCATGACAAGGAATTCCCAAGGCACTGGGATGCTCTGACTCCCAATGGACTGAAAAGGAGAGAGCAAACCACGAGAAATAACAACATTCCTGGGATTGTCCACTGCCTGTGAGGAATTAGCTGCTGGCTTTGCTCAAGTGTGTTTTTACCCCAGTTTGAGGAGGGCCCAGATTCATTCTGGGTTCTGCACAAGTCACAGCCTAGGAGCTGTCAGATTGTAAAAAGGTGACAATTCAGGTCTGAGAGCGGCTCTGAGAGCCTGATTTCAATTCCCAGGCTCAGCTTGCATATTTGTAAAACACACACACAGATGAGATTTGGAGTTTGTGCTGTGAGACCGATTTGGAAGTGCAGCTCTTGTCTGAGGAGTCTCACAGGGCTGAATTATAACACTTGCACGAGCACAGGAATTTGCTAAGGACGTGGGAAAACAAACACATTATCAGAAATACAATTTACAGGCATCCACTGAAAGGTCGATGGGAAAGCTCTTCCCATCCTTTAGGAAGCAAATGGAAAAGAAAAGAGGAAAACTCACCCAGCATCCCAGCACGAGCAGCAGCAAGAGCAGCCTCTAAAGCAATTCTCAATTAAATACAAGACTTATAGAATTAGAGCTGTAATACATTATTGATTGACTATGGATATCTGACTGACTGCAGCCAAGAATCCTTCCCTGCCTGCTCCTCTTGAGCAGAGATTATAGGAACAAAACAAAGAGGGAATTGCAGGATGAGATCCAACAGTAAATCCTGAGACACTCCAGGAGCTGATTTTACAGCAAGGAAAAGTGTGTTTGTTTGATCCAAAATGATTCTCATTTTTTTGCCTTAAACCGTGGTTTAAGGCAGACACTCCAGGAGCTGATTTTACAGCAAGGAAAAGTGTGTTTGTTTGATCCAAAGTGACACCGTGGTTTAAGGCAAAAAAAATGAGAATATGTAATTGACCACAGAAGCCACTTTTTATGAGAAGGGCAATTTTTCTGCCTCTGTAACAACAGTGTTGTTTTACTGCTGTGTAAAGTCACTTCTGCTTGGAACTTGCATCATGTAGCAGGTACCTGAGGTGGAAAATATTACATAAAACTCGTCTGTTTTCTGAAGCATTCACTTAGAGATACCCAAGCCATCATTTTGGGCATGGACAGCACACAGGGATGGATGTTCTTAGTGCTGATGTGTGTTTTAGCTCCAACCTGCAGGAACAACCATAACAGCACACTAAAAGATTTCAGTTTTCTCATGAGTTCCCCTCCTAAACTGTCCTGAAAAAAAGGAAGTGTATACACAGCCTTCTACATAATGCAGTAGTTCCCAAAATTCTGCAGTGAGGACCAAAAATGCCCAGGGAATATATTCATTTTCTTAGACAAGCTTTTAAAATAACAGTTTATTTTTTTGAGTCAGTGGTATATTTAAAAACAATCTATTGTAAGAGTAAAAAGATTGTAGATAATAAAAAACCCAAAGTGTGATGACAATAAAAAACCACTAGAATATAAAGTTAGTTTCCTTCCTCCCTCCCAAAACCCCATCCCATCAGTCTGATATTTCTCAGAGCTCAATATTTGGAAAAAAACCCCACTTTTTGTTTTTTTCTTTACACTTTCAGCAATTAGGAAATTAAGAATACGTAAAGCATTCTTTGCAGGCACATTAATCATTATGAAGTGAAAAGCAGGCACCATAAAAATTAAAACATTCTAAAAACCATCATATATACAAACACTGTACAGAATGATGGCACAAGGACAAAGTGATTCCGTTCAGTTCATCCTAATCCAACATGAAATATTACACAACAGAGAAAGGAAAAAGCTCTTCCCGTTCCTGTACTCAACATTTAGGTTCAGAATGAGCAGGAGTCTCCTCTCTGCTCAGTTTTCTCTGCCATATCCTCGTGCTGTTGTTTTCCCCTCATGGACACCCAAAGGTCCAGCTGAGTGACAATGGCAGTGGGTGATCACCAGTGACCCATTTTACAAAGCTCATTGATCACTGATTATCCTCAGCTGGGAGGGACCCACAGGGATCATTGATCCAGCTCTTATCCCTGCACTGACACCCCAAAAATCCCACTGGGAGCATTGTCCAAACCCTCCTGGAGCTCTGGCAGCCTCGGGGCTGTGCCCATTCCCTGGGGAGAACCTTTCCCTAAATCCAACCTAACACACCCCAAAAATCCCACTGGGAGCACTGTCCAAACCCTCCTGGAGCTCTGGCAGCCTCAGGGCCGTGCCCATTCCCTGGGGAGCCTGGGCAGTGCCAGCACCCTCAGGGGAGAACCTTTCCCTAAATCCACCCTGGCCCAGCTCCAGCTGCTCCCTGGGTGCTGTCCCTGACTGTGACAATGAAGAATTCATCCCTGCCCCTGCAGTTCCCTCAGGATGATGCTGCTGACCCACTGAGCTCTCCCCTCAGTCTCCTCTCCTCCAGCTGAACATTCCAGGTGCCCTCAGCTGCTCCTCACACGGCTTCTCCTCAAGGCCCTTCCTTCCCCTTGGGCACTCTCTAACAGTTTCATGTCTTGTTTATAGTGGGACTGGTGCCAGCCTGGTGTCACCCTGTCACTGTCACCCTCTGTGCCCCACCCCTGAGCCAGCTGCTCACCCATCCCATGATGTGTTCCTCCAGCTGTAGGATGGACATTTTGTCCAGAAGGATCCTGTGGGAGACAGTATCAAAAGCTTTGCAGAAGTCCAAAAAGATTCCATCTCCTGGCTTTCCTGGATCAGCCAGCTGGGTTACCCTGCTGTAGAAGGAAATTGGGTTCCACAAGCAGGACTTTCCCTCATGGAGCTGTGCTGGCTGTGACCCATGACTTCACTGTCCTCCAGGTGTTTTCCAGGACCTCCCAGAATAATCTTCTCCATGATTTTACTGAGCATGTAGTTTCCAGGGTCCTCCTTCTTGCCCTTTTTGAAAATCAGGACAACATTCCCCAGCTTCCAGTCAGTTGGGACCTCTCTGGATTCCCCAGAGAGGAAAAATCATCAAGAGGGGCTTTATGTTGTCATCAGCAGCTCTTTGAGGATTCTGGATAAATCCCATCAGGGCCCATGGACTTGCAGGGGTTCAGCTGGGGCTGCAGATGCTGCAGTTTCAGGCTGACTGGGAGTTGATCATTGTCACAGGCATGGTTCTCCAGCTCAGGGCACTGGGACCCTCTTGGTCTGTGACCCACGTTGAAGACAGACAAAGGATGTGTTAAGCACCCCTGCCTTGTCCCTGTCCCTGTTTGTGAGGTGCCCATCCCCACCCTAGAATGGGCTGATGATATTTTTACACTGCCTTTTGCCATTGATACATTTGAAGAAAAGCTCTTTTTTTGTCCCTGACAGTTCTGGCAGCTCCAACTCCAGCTGAGCTTTGACCACAGGAATTTTCTCCCTATAGGGGGGAGCTGCAGCTCTGTGTTGTTCCCATTCCCCCTGACCCTGCTTCCACTGGCACACACCTTCCTTTTCCACCTGATATCCAAGAGGAGATCCCTGTTCAGCCAAGCCAGCTCTGCTTGACTTCCAACATTCGGGAATTGCTGCTCCTGTGCCCTTGGGAGGTGATGTTTAAAAAGGGGCCAGCACTGATGGACCCCAGCACCTGCAAGAACATTTTCCCAGGGGACTTTACAAATTCCCTGAGCAGCCTCATGGTCAGAAGGAAGGTTTTGCTGGCACCTTTCCTCCTCTCACCAGAGGTTTTAAACTCGATGGCATTGTGGTCACTGTGGCCAAGAGAGCCCCAAATCCCCACTTTGCTCATTGCAATCAGGTTATTTGTAACACAGACCAATTTCACAAATCAGTGGTGTCTGATTTTTAACCCTGGGCTAAAATCCCTGTTATTCAGGGAAATCCTACAGCAGCTTCACCTCACTGGGAAACCTCCTCTTGCCCTGAATTCCATGTGAATATTGTCATTGACTCCTATATACACTGAGATTAGGTACAAACACTCTGCTCATTTGAAACTCCAGAGGTACCCAAAATCTTTAGGTACAACATTTCCAGCTCTCATTTTAATCTCCGCGTTTAGCTCTGTGCCTGGCGTTATCCAAAGCAGGGAGAAGGTTTAGCAAGAGGGTTCTGTCAGCTGATGGAGCTCCCAGTCTCAAGTAGAAATCCAGATTTCTTTCAAGTTATGGGAGGGAATAACCCCAAAGCCAGGGGGATGTAGTGTTGGGTCCGACACACGGCGAGAAATGGATTTCTTATGGAGTTACCATTGCACTAAAGGTTAGATACTGCGCACCTGAATGAGGTAAACATTATAGACCATAAAATACTTAGGGAAATGAATTGTTACAGCTTGATCTTTGGAAAAGAACCCGCTTCCTTCTTCACTGGACAATCCCAGAGTCAACAGACGTTTGCTTCCGCGTCGTCTTGGGAGGCGGCGGCGGCGGAGTCTTGCTGGGCAGAGGAGGAGGCAGGTGCTGGAAAAAAACAATTTGGGCAGGTCACGTTAGGAATGAATGGAATTCTGGAACGGTTTTGAGTCATCTCTAAGTGCAAGAGGCAGCAGGTAAGTCTGGAACCCTCCGGCTCACAAAAACCTCTCCCTGCAGAATTTGCTGTGAACACAGAACGCTCTCAGCCATTACTTTTAAATATAACTTTGACTTTTGACAGTGAAAAAAAAAATCTCTCAAGAGTTCAGGATTAATTAGCTCAATATTTAAGGGAAAAATCTTTTGAAAGCACTGGAGAAGTTTATAATTCCCCACTTTATATCATGATAAGATATTGATTTTTTGGTCTGTATTGATTGCCCTCAGCCTCTAGGCACTCAGAGCTTAAAAACCAAGCTGAAGCAATGGCTTCATTGCTTTTCCATTATGTTTTGGATTTTGCACAGTTAGAACAGAAATATTTAAACAAAAAAACAAGAAACAATTTAAAATAATTTAGAGATAAGTAACTCACAATTTACTATTACACACACAGTTATAATTAAAATATTCCAAACAGAAATGCAGAACGTTCAAATATACGTATTTTAAATCACTTTACATATCTCACAACAGAAAAGCATCCCCAGTCAGAATCACCAGCTAATTGGACAAATTAAAAAAGCCATTATGGAAATTAGAGACTTTTTTTTCCTAATGTTGAAACCTACAAGTGATAAAATCTGTTGCAGAAAGAGCTGGAGAACACTGCAGTTTGCAGGCAGGTTTTCCCAGATTTTGGCAGTGCAGGCAGCACAGGTTTCCCAGAGGCTGTGCTGCAGTGTCACAGCTCATCAGCTCTGCTCTGGCTTTGTTCTTCCCTGTGATTCTCCCCCACTCCCCAGTCAGGGCCTTTTGCTTTCCTCCAAGCCCAGTGATGCTTTCCCAGCTGTTTGTTCCTGCCCTGCCTCTCCCAGCCCAGCACCAGCTGCTGGCTCCACACTGGCACAGCCTGAGCAGCGCCAGCTCTGCCCAAACTCCTTGGTCACCTCTGCAAGAACATACCAGCCTCAGTGCTGGACAGAATTCCTGATGGTTTGTCAGGATCAGGAAGATCCTGGTATCTGAACAACTGAGACACCCCATGGAAGTGCACAGAACCAAAGCTGGTCCTTTTCAAAGCCATCCAAGGATGCTGTCCCAAAAAGGAGAGAGGTTCAGGGTGATGCCAGGACATCTCAGTCCCTCCTCTGCTCAGAGCAGCTCCTGATGCTCCTGCAGTCTCATGACTGGGAGTTTTCAGAGATGAGTAAGAGCAGAAGAAAACCTTTAAGGTAACTGAATGTGCTCTCCCAAGCAGGAAGAAGCCAGCATGGAGTTACAAATCTGAGATTTCACCAGATAGCTTCACTGACCACAGGCTAAGGAGAAAGCTAGGAATGCAAACTGGCTGAGCAAGGCAGGCTGGACCTCTGCTGGAATCTCTTTCCTGTATCCCACCTGGACAGCACCACTTTCCACTCCATTTTACACCTCTTCTCATTCCTCCCAACTCTCCCAAACCAGAGGGACCCCAAACCACCACCAGTGAGCCATGCCCTGAGCTCATCTCTCCATTCTGCTCCATCCACTCTCCATTTCCCAGCCCCTCCAGCAGCACCACTGCTCTTTCTGCCTGCTCCCAGCCTCCTCCTTGGCTTCAAAATGCTCTCTGGCACCTTGGAAACCCACTGGGTTTGATCTGCTGCTGAGGGAGAATCTCTGAACCAAAAGCGAGGCACCGGACCAGGGTGCCAGGCTGGAAAGCTGCACTTCCCTGCCTGCCTGGAAAAAAGGCACCCACCCCTGGCACTGGGGACAGGGGTCAGTGGTGGCCTTGGCAGTGCTGGGGGAACACTGGACAGGATAATTTTAGTGGCCTTTCCCACCCTAAATGATGCCATGATTTCCCACAGCAGGCTCCAAATGGGCACTGCTTGTTCCCAACTTCCAGTGGGACACGATGATCTCTGAGTCAGAAAAGTCAACAGATTAATATGAAAGGCAGATAAAATAAGAATTTAATTTTTTTACTACATGCAAAACGGAAGATTTTGTTTGGTTTTTTAATTAAAATGCCACTGCTGATCTGCCTCTGAAGTGTTACAGCCAGAACCATTAAATATTTCTTCTACCTGAGCAAATCCACTCTTAACTTGGCATTTTAACTCCTGAATTTCTGCTAATAAATAATTCTTCTGGAATAAATGCCAGTTGGGATCTGAAGATTCCAAAACCTTTGAAAACTTGCTTAATTACAGTCCTGTATGCAGGCAAGGCTTCTGGGAAAGCTCTGGGAAATGCTGGTGGTCTGCAGAACATGAGCATCTCATGGAGCTGGCATTCCCTTCAAACTCCATAAACCACGTGCCCCTCGAAAACACAGCACAAAATATAAAACTTTTCTCCCTGCTTCGCTCTCCTTAACTTCATATTCATCACCAGGAAAAAAAAAACCAACCAGCTCTGCTGATAGCATCATTTGTGCAAATCCATTTTGAATTTAAATAACACTCTATTGGCAATAATTCTCAATTCAATTAGATCAAAGGCATTTCTCAACCAAATGAGCCCCTTCATATTGATCAGAGAACAATCAAATCAGCCCTGAAAACCTGGTTCTGAAAAGCAGAGACAATGCAAATACAATGAGAAGAAGCTAAATATATATGCTATAAATAACAAGCTCAAAACCTACCCGAGCTCAGATTCTGCAAGCAAATTAGGCAGAAAGAAATAGCAGAGATAGGTAGATAATTATTATAATTGAATTTACAATTTCCATTAGAAAGTCGGATAAATTTAGCACATGTTCATTTATATAATAAGCTCCCAATGAATATATTAAGTAGGATGTGTAATGCTGGTTGGGGTGACACTGTTGGGAATTTTGCAAGACAAAACATTCCATTATGGAGCTGGGGCAACTCCAGAGCATCACTCCCAGGGCTGATCCATCCTTCCTTTTATCCAGGACAGAAGAAATTCAACCACATTTCCTCCCTCCCTTCAACACCACACTCACAAAAACCATTATCAGGCTTATAAAGTTCATCTGTGCTGTGCTTCCCCTTAGAAACTTTGCAATAAAAATAGAGTTTGTCTTGATTTTGTGTTTAATTAAGACTCTCTTTGCCAAGTTGGTGTTTATATCTCAGTGGTTAATTGTGAACCTGACTCTTCCCTTTCCTTCCTGACAAACTGACAGAGGCTGCTGCTTCACATCCCAACCTATTTTGGGCAGAATCCTTGACTCAGGGGTACCTCAGGGGAAGCAGAAACCTTATGTAAAAGGCACATCTGCAACACAGAAACAATCTGTTCCTTCTGCTTCAGACATGAAATTGCTCCCATTTGTTTGCTGGTTTGTTTTTTTTTTTCTTTCCCTGATACAGAAAAGAATCAAGTTTAAAAACATTTGTCTGTCTTCTCTTACAGAGAGATATAAACTGCACTACACCAGGCATGTTCAAGATGTAGTAAAAATCAATTACAGAAGATGAGAAAATGCTTTTTTCAAATTTTTTTTTGCTACTCTCAAACAGCAAAATGAGAGACGAGTTGTTTTTCATTCATAGAATACTGTGAAAAGAAACAACTACAAAAAAATCAAACAGGACTTGACTCTCCAAAAGGGTCCTTGTGGCACTGCACGAGATTTCTTCCTGGGCAAGGAACTCTTTGAAATTCAATGGTCATTGATAGGACACGCTCTGGAGATCCAGTGAGAAGCACTTTGCTTGGAAGGATTAAGGGATGTAATTAGGTCAGAAGCAGCAGAAATGGGATGTAAATAGACCATCAGCCATCCAGGACTGTGAAAATGCTTTCAGACACCGAGCTATTCCTTCAGCACAGAGCTGAGATGCCTGACAACAACGTGGTTATTTCATATCTGCAATGAAAAATAACATTTGAGTGTGAGGCTCTGGCAGAGTAACTCTCCAGCAGGGAGAACAGCCCAACTCCTCTAATAGCAACCAAATTACAGACAGTTTAAGCTAATTGGCTGTTTGACCCAGGGAGCAAAGTTCTGTGCAAAATCCAGCAGGTAACTGATGGGAAATGACTGTTTAGCCCCTGGTTCATCCATCATCTATTAGAGTCTCATTTGACTCCGTGGCACAGCCATTACCTGCCCTTGCTGGCGTGCCCTGGCATCAGGGACAGGAACTGCAAGAGCTCTTCTGCAGAGATGGGTGTTCCCACCCCCAGCCCCTCACAGGGAACAGCAGAAATGCCTCAAAATTTGGGAAACATGGAATTGCTCCAGGTCACAATCCCAGAGCAGATCAAAGGGGCTCCTCTGCTCTGGAGCCAGGCTGGGAGAGCTGGGGGTGCTCACCTGGAGAGGAAAAGGATCCAGAGAGAGCTCAGAGCCCCTCCAGGACCTGAAGGGGCTCCAGGAGAGCTGGAGAGCGACTGGGGACAAGGCATGGAGGGACAGGACACAGGGAATGGATTTAAGCTGACAATGGGTAGATTTAGATGGGATATTGGGAATTGCTCCCTGTGAGGGTGGGCAGCCCTGGCACAGGTGCCCAGAGCAGCTGGGGCTGCCCCTGGATCCCTGGCAGTGCCCAAGGCCAGGCTGGACACTGGGGCTGGAGCACCTGGCACAGGGGAAGGTGTCCCTGCCATGGCAGGGGTGGAATGGATGGGATTTGAGGTCCCTTCCCACTCAAACCAGCACATCAGCATGGCCCTAACCACAGCCTGATCCCATGTGGAGAGTGGGACACGGCCACCCCCTGAACTGAATCAAGGGACACACCACTTGTCTGGGCAGACAGCAGGAAGGAGAACACAGAATTCATTCCAAGTCCTGTAAAAAGCATTGGCAGTCCATTGACTTGGAGACTTATTAAAAAGTAAATGAATTTTTCAGAAACTCTTTGCTCAGCAACATCTTAACCCACTGAAGAGTGAGGGACTGGCACAGGAGGAAAGCCTTGCAAGGTTTCCCATCCCCAGCAGGCAAAAATAATGATCAGATGGCAAATAAACCTTGTATTTTAATTTTTTTTTTTTTCTTCTGGGCACATTGTCCAAACACTCCTGGAGCTCTGGCAGCCTCAGGGCTGTGCCCATTCCCTGGGGAGCCTGGGCAGTGCCAGCACCCTCTGGGGGAAGAACCTTTCCCTGAAATTCAACCTCAGCCTGCCCTGACACAGCTCCAGCCACCCCCTGGCTCCTGTCCCTGCTCACAGCCAGCAGAGTTCAGAGAGGAGCTGCAGGCTGCTACTGCAGCCCCTCAAGTTGTGCTCCCTAATTCCCTGTTCCTCCACAGTTCCAGCTGCATTTCCAGCCTCTCTGTCCCTCTCTACATCAGGACAACACATTTGCTGAAGCTTTAAAGTCAATTTTTGCTCACTGCAGCTGCTACAAGAGAAAATTTCCAGCACTGCAGCACCTGCATTGCAACACATGAAAAATCCCCCTGGGTTGTGCCTTCTGTGTGTTAGATGTGAATTTATCATCCGGTTTCATCCCAATGAGCAACCAGAACAATCCCCATACAGCAGAGTCAACCCAAGGCTGTTCTGCTCCTGGCAGGCTCCAGCCATCCCCACGTTCCACCTGTGCTGGATTGATGGAGATGTTCCCATCCCAACCATTACCCCATGCTTAGGAAGTGTTATAGCCAATATTAACAACCCAAGTGCTCCTTTATCTATTTTCTTTGAGCTCCCTCCCTGCTCTGAATACTAAGCAGGAGGTTGATTTGTATGCAAGGGTGAGGATGAACCCATAAAGAATGATAAGTGCCTCAAGGAATCCCTTGATGTAATAATAATCCTTGCAGGAGTCGTAGATTTCTCTTTTTTTTAATGTTCCCATATATTATTAAGGACATTTTTAGCAGAACAAATCACAGGGAGCAAGAAAATATCTACAAAGGTCTCAGAGTTAACAAGGTATAAGGGACAATCAGGAAATGGTAATGAGGTGATCACCTGGATTAAAGACTTCAGGTAGAGCAAGGTAACACTGGACTCTGAATATCTGAGATTGCTGTCTCAAAAATGACATTACTGCCTGCAGTTTGACTTGGAGCACCTGATCCCTTTCTGGCTGCCTGCTTTTAGTTCACTACAGCACTTTTCCTGCCTTTCATAACCCACTGCAAGACAACCACAGTGAAAAACACAATCATTCCTCACAAGGAGATATTTCCAGTTTAAAAGCTACTCAGATAATCTTATCTCTAATAGGTTTTACTGATTTTTCTTCACTGATACAATGGCAGTGTAATTTAAAAGATGATCAGTTTACCAGGCAGAGAATTATCCAGTTATGAATTATGGAGCTATTTGACCCATGAAACATAAGTCATTAAAACTGTGGAGTGGGATTTAATCACGGCAGCAATGAGAATTTACCCATCTGATCTTTCATGTCCAGCACTACTCATTTTCTTGATGTTCTTTAAAAGCTTCCTTCCTACCAGCCTGATGAAATAAAGGCACAGAGTGATTGTTATAAGATTAGAAACCTTCTCCAAAATCAATTCTAAACCTAATAGAGAATCACAGAATCTGCTGAGGTGGAGGGGACACACGAGGATCAGCGAGTGCCACTCCTGGCCCTGCCCAGGACAGGTGGCTCTGGGACAGATCTGCTTTAGATCCTTCTGCCAGGCTTTGAAACCACATTCCATGGTCTTGGAAAGCTTATAAAAACACAGATGCTGAAGAAAATTGTGGGCAGTTAGATAAGAAGATGTAGCTTGTGTCTGATTGCATTTCTCAGCTATTAAACTCTGATGCCCTTCAACACCAGATGTTAGAAAATGGGTTCTGTTCCTAAAAAGACAAAATGTAGTAAAAAAATGAGAGGAGCCTGAGCAATCAAGACTGGAAAGAGCAAAAATATTAAGAGCTGAGTAAAACTTTGCAAAAAACCACAGGAATATATTGGTACTATATTTCTAACTCCCCTTTAACGATGTGGAAATGCTGCTTGTGGCAGGTACAGGAGCTGCACAAGGTCACAGAGCAAATCAGGCTGAGTTATCTCCAGGTGTGGGCTCCCAAAACCACTCCCCCATGGCATTTGGGAGCCATACAGTAACTAAAAACAGCTATCCCCAGAGTGGAAACCCCTTCCAAAACCCTCACCAGTCAGGAAAAAACCCCTGGCTGCCAGGATTTTATTTCTTACCACTGTTTAATACTTTTTAGCTAAAATCTGAACTCATCTTGGCAACCCTGAGCTACTACCACAGCCTAAACCTTACAGTACATCACACAAAGTGAATTTACTACTCTGGAGTTTATGCAGGAAGGAGTTGAAGAAATGTGAATCCTAATGTGAATTTCCCAGCTTTCCTCCCAGGGATGGATTCCTCAGACAAACCTCCTGGCAGCCCTGCTGTACATTCTGTAATTTTCCACTTAGAGGGCTGTGTTCAGGACAAATGAGAGCTGGCCCCTGAGACAGATGCTGGGGAAATGGGTTATAAGGTTAGAAGTGCAGTAAAGTTTGATGGAAATGAGAGGGAAAATGAAAATATTGACTAAAATGATCCAGCCATGGGGAACAACTATGGAAGAGAGGATGGGAATAGAGAATTTTCCAGTATATGCAAATAAAGAGTGAAACATTGGAGTTTGAATATCTCTATTCTCACTCCTGAAGTTACCTGTATTTTTATTTTACCATTCAGCCTGAAATGGTACAACAATTCAAAAAAAGTCAGCTCCTGCAACAACAAAGGCAGCATTTCAACCATGGAAAAGCTGGACTCGTGCACTGGGACAATCTGTGTTCAACACACCTATTCCCAGGGTAAAACCAAACTCCTGGTAAGCCAAACTATTCCAGGGTCAAACCAAACTCCTGCATGACTCCTTCTCTGTTGAGAGTTCTGCATTTCTGTCACCATGAAATTTGCTAGAAAGCAAATTACTCCACAGAATTTCACTGGGATGGTGAACTTCAGAGGGATCTGGATGACACCTCTGCAAACAAAAGGAATCAGCTCTGCTGGGAAGTTTCCCACAAAACAGCTCAGTCAAAATTTGACATTTCAGAGTCAAAGAAAATTTGTGACCTCCTGGGGTCTCACTGCCCTACTCTGATTTGATTGGTAATAAATTCAATTAATTTCCCAAAGTCCAGCCTGTTTTGAGGGCAAGGGGTGAGTGATCTCTCCTGTCCTTATCTCAACCCATGAGACTTTGATTGTATTTTCTCTGCCTGCCCAGCTGAGGAAGGGAGTGATGGAGCATCTTTGGTGGGCACCAGCCAGGATCAACCCTCCATACTGCTTTAAACGTTTTTTGGGTTTTTTTTGCCCATAAAGAAAATAAAAGGCATTTCTCAAAAGTGCTGCTTTAAAGAAAAGGACCACATTATTTTTAAAAGCTTCCAGCTACAGGAAACAAAGCTGAAAAAGTGAATTTTCCTCAGAAAGCTGCAAACCCTGTTGATGATGAAGAGCTGCTGAGCTCCTTGCCTCAAAGGGGACACGAGTTTGCCTCAAGGAAATAAATGAGTGGTGACTGAATGTTGGCAGAGCAGAGCTCCAGGAAGGGAAGGTGGCAGGTTCGTGTTTTATTTCCTTTCCTGACACAGGACTGAAAGGCTTTAAACCCAATTTGCTGCTCCCTGCCCGACAAACCTGACAACATCTGCCTTGGAATTGGCCAGAATGAACCCAGCTTTCCTTCAGGTGCTGCTGCTCCCTCACCCTCCTGGCGCTGCAGAGCCCCCTGGACCAGCTGATGGATGCAGGAGCAGGATCCCACCTCCCCTGGGATGGCTCAGGGAACAAAAACTGCAGAAGGGCTCATTCTGTGGGACTCACCCGTTGGTGGGCAGGGGGGGACGTGGTGGGGCTGATCAAGTCCTGGCTCTCCATGAGGTTCCCGTAGTCGGCCGTGCTTCCTTTGAGGGGCAGAGGAGGGGGAACGTCGGGGATGTCGGAGCTGGACATCCCGTTCAGCTCCAGATCTGCAAAAACAACACTGGGTTAGCCCTGCCAGCAGCTGAATCCCACAGTTCCACAGTGGTTTGGGCTGGGAGGGACCTCATGGATTGTATTTGGGGGGTTCCCAGACAAAGGAAGGAATGATGAATCTGACTCCATGTCCTCAGAAACCTCATTTATTATTTTAAGATACTATATTAAAGAATACTAAACTATACTACACTATACTAAAGAATACAGAAAGGATACTTACAGAAGGCTAAAAAGATAATAATGAAACTCGTGACTCTTTCCAGAGCCTCGACCCTGGTTGGCCAATGAGTCAAAACAATTCACATGAACCCAATGAAACAATCACCTGTGGGCAAACAATGTCCAAACACATTCCCAAGCAGCAAAACACAGGAGAAGCAAATCAGATAATTATTGCTTTCATTTTTCTCTGAGGCTTCTCAGCTTCCCAGGAGAAGAATCCTAGGCAAAGGGATTTTCCCAGAAAATATGACTGTGACACTCATGGATCATCCAGCCATGGATGATGGACTTCCACAATCACCTTCCACTACCCCATGTTGCTCCAAGCCCTCTCCAGCCTGGTCTTGGACTCATTTCAAAATGCCCTCAAAATACTTGAGCAACATCCTATTTTTAATAAAACATAATTTGTGTTTCATGTTTCCCACCAAAAATATCCATAGCTTAGAAAATATAATTTCTCCACCTTCAAGCTCTCCTTGTACATTGAAACACAATAGAAGTTTTGCAAAGTGCATGAAGAAAATATAATCTGGCTAAGTTTTATTGACTTTCTCCCAGTAAAATCAAAGTTCCCTCTTAATAAAATGCACAAGTGAAAGCCTGGAATTAAGTACATCTCTCTCCAAAACATTCAGGCTCCAGGTAACTATAACAAATGAGCAGCCATTAGCTGTTGAGTAAATAAAATCATGCACGAGAAAGTACCAAACATTTATTATTCCTGTGTGCTGGGTAGAAAATTCCCTTTTCTTAACAGATAAATCCTCCCAGGTATGTGCTGCAGAGGCAAATAGCCTGAGGGACAATAAAGTTTATTGGGGCCTGAGTGATACATAGGTTTTTGGGGAGAAATCCCCCCCGGGTATATTTCAGGGTAATTCAGTCATTTTAATACAGTCATTTTAATTCAGTCGTTTTAATAAAACCCACTGCGATCCCTACGAGATAAGAAACTGAAATGATTTGTTTATAAATGAGGGAATTTTATTTAGGAAAAAAAAAGTGATTTCTATTTTATTTTACTGGGGTGATTTGTGAAACAAGAGAGGACTTATTTATGCAGATGTTTTTATTGCAAAGCTCATATCAATATTTTATTAAAAGTGTGATTTTATTGTTCTCTAAAATGGCCTCTCACAACACAATTTAACTCTAAGGTGGCTCTATTGATTTGTCACTGAAAACTGTAATTTTACTCCTCATCCTTCCACCTGAACTCTTGACTACTGGAAAAAAAAGATTTTCCCTCCTGGGACTCCACATTTTCAGTGGCTTCCTCTCCAGTAGGCTGAAAATATTTGTCTACCAGGAGCTGAATTTCTCATTGCCTTTTCCATTGCTCCTGTTTTTCATCCTTCCCTTTCTACTGAGAGGATTTCTTCATTCCCCAGACATTCCTCAGTTTCCTTTCTGGATCTCCATGAGAATCTCCTCCTTCATGGAACTGAACTGCAGCTGGGAAACCACGTTGTGCATTTGTCACTGAAGATTGATGCTGGGAATGAACTTCCCTGTCCATTCTGGATGAATTCCCCATCCATTCTAAAGAACTAGGGAATCTGAGATCTTTAATGTCACAAAAGAACTCCTTGGCACAGGTCCTGCACAGCTCCTCCACCACTAAACATCTATATCTTAGCTAAATATATTGATATCTGAATTTTTGGTTGGTTTTTCCATGCAGTTTAGGATAATACAGGGAAACATTTGGGAAATGGCATTTTCTTTTGTGTGTTTAGTTAGAGCTTTACCAAAACCTTGAGCCCTGCTTCAGAAAGAAAAACCTTTCCATATTTCCTAGAAAAAACCCACATTTTTAGGCCTCTCTGTAGACATTCCTTGGGAAACTGAGTGGAATACCACACAATTTCCCAAAAATAAAGTAAATTTAACCCCCCTGAACACTTAAACTTTGCATTCTATATGATATTTTTTCAAACAACAAGATTTCACTTCTTCTTCATGATAAAAACTTCTAACTTCACCTAAGCCAAGGTGCTCCCAAGAGAATGGTGAGACCCATTTTGTTAGGAATAACCCAAATCCCTTGTTTCTTTCAACAGATCCTTGGAAGACCCATGGAAAGGCAGGTTTTCAGGAAGTATTTGAGGAATGTTTCAAGCAGACTGGAAAGGAAACAAGGTGTGGAGGCAACTCTGCTTGAAGAATCTGGATGGAACCCAACTGTCCATGAAGTTGTCCTGCTCTGCTTCCCCCCCTTTCCCTTCAATCCCCAGCTCCTGCTGCAGATGGAATTTCCTGCAGCCTGTCTGTGGCACCTTCCCAACCTTATCCTGATGAAGGATCCAAATAAATAAATCCCTGCAAATGTGGGCAGAGCATTTCCACCCACGGGAAGAGCTCATAAAATACATGTGAAACATGTCTGCATTTATCTGGCAACTGTTTATTGGAACAACAAGATTCTATCCTAAAAACAATGATTTGATCTTTCCCAGAATTCAGTGAAATCCAGGGAATATCCACCCTGCAGCAGCAACAGGTATTGAACAAATCCAGGAATCCTCAGTGTTGTCCCAAGAAAATCTCTTTGCTGCAGATCTGTTATTGCCTCAGCTGAACTAAACCCCCCTAAGGTGGTCACTAAAATAATTACCCCCAATTTTTGGTGTGCTCCCGTTATTCAGTGAAATTCATTATTCAAGGTGGTTCATCAGATGAGTGTGCTCTGGATATTTGTTCCCTGCTGGACATGTGCCACTGGGAAGATCTTGGAGCTGGAAAGGATCAGTTAAGGGACCTTTTTTTCATCTTACCCTAATGATGACATTTTACACTCCCTTCTCCTCCAGTGCCAGCTAATAGGCAGCCAGGATTGCTTAGCAACCCATTAACTGCTTTTAGCCAATTTGGGCTCTGAAGGAACTTCTTTATCCTTGGAATTCCTAAAGAAATTTATCACTGTAATTCCTGAAATGATTCTGGACTGTGCAATAAGCTGATCCTATTTTATATAACACCCAGCAATCTCTAGCACAAAAAATATTCTCAGAAATAATATTGTCTGGTAATTTCAGGTATTTTTAAAAAAGAGAAATCAAACTAAGTGTTAATAAAATGTACATATGAACAAAAAATCCAATTAAAATATCTTTTGCAGGAGTATATATCCTCTAGTTCTCTGCATTCCCAGTTTGTAGCATACTGGTAGGTTTTGGCTATAAAATTGTAAAGGAAGGTGAGAGTTACAAGTTCATTGTAATCAAAATATTTGCTTCGGGTGTCTGACTTTTTGAGAGAAAAATTTTTAAAGTACCAAAACCAGTAAATAAAGCAATGACCTTGATGGAACAAGATTTTTTTTCTGAAGACTGATCATCCCTTCTCCTCCTTGCTAACACTGAACTCTTGACTACTGGAGTAGGATTTGGGGACATGTATAAAAAAATATATTTTTTTCTTTTTTGTCACATACTGGCAGCTGCAAACTCTGAATAACAGGTTTTGGGAAAGAGCACTGGGAAAGAAATAGGTGTTGGATTACACCCAGTTCTGCAATAGGGTTTGCTGCAGATTGAAGCAAACAGATGATACTTCACAGAAAAGCTGAGTGATAGATGACAATGTCAAACAAAAACTACTTCAAAAAGCCTGACCTTTATTTTCCCTTCTGGTTTGTACTCACAATATATACCAAAGAGAAGGTTTTTTAATGTACAATTACAAAAAATATTGCTTTTTAAGCCTTTATGCTCCAAAACACTCAATATGGGATGAAGTACAACGTGAATTTTTGACTGTTACTCTACACCTAATTAATTGTTAATGATTACTTGAAAAGAAACTGTTTCAGTGCAATGATTCTGCTTCCTTTTGTAAAATACTGAATTAATCTTTGCTGGCAAAGGTAAGAGCTTAAGTAATACTGATGCCTTGTGCAGGCTGGCCTAGAACAGAGGCTGGACAGAGCTAAAGAATAAAGCAGGGATTTACTCAAAGGATCTCCTCCATGGATGCCCCTCGGGCAGCACCAGAGCCCAGCCAGGGCTGCCCCCAGGATGAACCCAAATGGCCCCAAAATGCACGAGCGCTGCCGGGGTCTCTCCCTGGGCTCAGCTCTGCTCCATGTGCACATTGCAGTTCAGTGTCCAATCCCACTGCAGCCCCTGCAGCCCCATCCTGCTTGTTTTTCTCTCTGCAGCCCACGGGCTTTGTGCTCCTGGGCTGAGATTGGGATCATTTGTCCTTGGTGCCCAGCTGGAGCAGGAATTGTTTTGTCTCCCTGCTCTGTGCAGAGAGCTCCCCATCCCCTGATGTGAACCCAGACCCAGACACTAAAGCAGCACAGAATGTGAAAATAGAAAAGCTAAACCTGAGGCATCAATACCTGGTGCAAGAAATACCCAAACTCAAACCAGGGTGTGAAGAAACGCTCAGGATGTACATTTCCACACTACAAAGGAGTTTATTTCAGAGAGAAGACTTACTGGGCTGGATGCTGAAGGCGAGTTTGGTCCGAGGGGTGATGGGGGGTGGGGTGAGCTGGGAGCCGGGCGGCGCCGGGGACACGGAGAACCGCCGCTCGCTGGACATCACGCTCAGCACCTGGCTCTTGGGTCTCTGCGGCCGCAGGGGGCTGATCTGGGGGACAGAAGCAGGCAGGTGGGCAAGGGATGCAGAGAAAGGAGTGTCAGAGGTGGAATTGCCATGGTTTGATGCTCTACATGGTGACGGCAGCGCTAACAGGCAATATTGCCGATTCCCAGCTCCAGGTCCTCCCTTCTCCCAGCCTGGTCTGAGCTAATTCCCCAAACACTTGTTTAGTAACACCTGAGGAACTTCAGTTTCACACCACATTATACAGTACTCAAAAGCTTCATTTTTTCTCACACAGATCTACTTTCCTGTTAAAATTTACCTCTTTAACCACTTAACCAGGTTTCTGCTGTCCACATCCTTTCAAGCATATTTGTAGTAGAATGGATAAGCAAAGCAACCACTTTTTCAAGGGCAGATAATTATAAAAAAAAATAATAAGGAAAACATGTTAATTGGTGAAGGAAACATGCCAGAATCAAGAGAAAAACCAGCTGGAGGCAGGTCCCCAACTTAACCCACTCTTCATCAAACTCTCTTTTGATGAAGACATCATCTGTCCAGAAACACCTTCTTGGTGGCTCTTGACTGTGCTTATATTTAATTCACTGAAATCTCTCCTTTTTTTTTTTCCCTCTAGCTGCTTCATAATCCATTCAAATTTTCCATCAGGAACCCTCAAAAGATATTTGTAATCTGATGGGCAACGCATGCTTTAGTTAAGGCAATTCTTTTTACTGAGTTTAATTCTGAGCTCTACTGATTTCCTCATTCACCACCCTCATAGTAACAGCAATCATAGTGAAAAAAATGAAGCTTTTATTTCAAACAGATCCCAGAAAATGGAGCAGCAGCCTGAAGTTAAAAGAGGAATTACTCCAAGGTGCTGCAGTGGGACAAAACAGAAAGTGCCAGAAGGAATCCAGCCTTTTTCAAAGGATTTTGTAATTTCCCAATGTTTGGATTTTTATGAAGTATATTGGGAAGGAGAAATCTGGAATTGTCTTTTCAGAAAACAAACCCTAAAAGGCTTTGCATCAAAGATCATGCCTCTGAGACCCTTCTACAACAAATGAACGACCAAAAAGTATGGACCTTTTTTTGAAAGTTCATCAGGACCTCAGGGTGACCTCTAAGAAATTGTTTTGATGCTAAAAATAAAATTCTAGAGATTCCAAGGGTTTCTGCTTTCCACATCCGTTCAAGCATTATTTTAGTAGAATGGATAAGCAAAGCAACCACTTTTTCAGGGGTAGATAATTATAAAAAAGCAACTAAGGAAAACACATTAATTGGTGAAGGAAACATGCCAGAATCAAGAGAAAAACCAACGGGAGGCAGGTCCCCAAGTTAACCCACTCTGTAATTACTGAAATAAATGTGAAATAAATGTGAACTCCTGTGATTGACAACTTGGGCTCCTCTGAAAGCTCCACACAAACCATGGATCTGCTGAGGAATATGAGCCCTTGGGAGGCCACCAATCCATAATGAAGGCATTGCTAATTTTTCATGGTCTAGCCAAGGGCAGATCAATGGTGAGTGATGTTAGACACCACCAGATCAATAACACACAGCCTGTTCTTCTGATTTCCAGCAGCAGCCTCCCAGTGCTCTGCTAACTGCTTGGCTCAGAGCGGGGTTTGCTCTCAGCTCCTGGGATCACAGCACAACAAGGACAATTTATGTTGAAGAAGTTGATGTGGTACTTAAAAGAAGATAATAAATCTGTAGGAAACGATGAAGATATTACTGATATCTTCACATACTCAAGTGCTTGATTTATCTTTGTTGTTTGATGTAATTAAGGCCTGGGGTTTGATCAGTCAATAAATTCAGGGTGAGTGCAGTAAAATTTGGGGAAGAGTATTTAAACCATTCAATTAAACAGACTCTGAATGCTCCTTTTCCATGCAAACCTAAAAGCTCCATGAAATAATTCTGCAATTTTAGAATTTCCCCATGTTCTTCCATGGTGATTCATCTGATTGGAAGAAAGAAGAGCCCACAAAAGACTGGAAACACTCATTTCTTTACACAATATCATTGTTGGGAAGAGCAGCAAGAGCTCTGCAGAGATGGGGATGGCCACTGGTATTCCTCTCTCTTGATTTTCTCTGGAAATTTATCTTCTGCTGTAAAATCCCAAAATATTTCAGAAGTCAGAACTAAGAATCTGTTAAAAAAATTCACCAAATAATTGAAATGTTTTAATTGAATGAGTGACAGCACAACGAGCTGTAAAATTCTCAACACAATGAATCCAGTATCTGTAATAAAACACTTATCAACTAAAAGTATTAATTACTAAAATGTCACATTAGAAACTTTTTTAAAGATTAATTTCTATTTCTAGACAAATCTGTACTCCCAACTTTTCTTTAAAAAAAAACCCCAATCCTTATTTCTTTTCTTCACCACTTTTAATCCAGAAAACTTTCTTCTTCCAAGTTCTTAATGCAGGAAAAAGAAAAATGTCTTTTTCTTCATACAGCAAAGTGGTAGAAGTGCTTTGGGAGTAATTTCAGCTTAAAAAGGGAACACGAATGTTGAACACAGGGAAAAGCTGAATTCCTACCAAATTTCCCTTCACATCATTAACAGGGGATGCCTCCAGCATGCAAAAAAATTAAGACCAATTTTATCTTTAAACTCATCCTTGATATTATCTGTTCAAAATTCCAGACGACAGCAGTGGGAATTGGGCAAGCACTCGTGTAAACTGATCTCAAAAGAGTTTCTTCTGCTTCACCTAAAAATGAACCCGACTCACACCAAATGTTCCAAACTGACTCAGTCGTCTTGGAGCTCATCAAGGCTTCTGCAGAGGCTGAAAAGGGAGAGTTTTTCTCTCAACAGCAAACTCCTTTTCATATTATTGATCTGTGGACTTGAAGAGGCTCAAAATAACTGTAAGTAACCAGTTCTGACATTTCATTTCCCTCCCTCTCCATAACCAGGGGAATATTGCTCACACCAGTCAGCCACTGAAAGCTCCTGACTGGGAAGATTGGAAGAACTTGAGTCAAACCATGTTGGGCTTTGCTGATTTTTGCTCCTCAGATGCCAAATGGGAATATGCCCTGAGGGGTTATCTTGCCCTCCTTTCCAGCTAGAATTTGCATTTTTCCTGTCACAACCAAGCTTTTCCAATGCCCAGGACCTCTGAGAGCTGACAGTGACTTCGGAGTGACACCAGCCAGCTCCCCAGCATCCTTGGATGCTTCCCAACTGCTCCTACTGACTCAGCTGCCCTGAAATGCAATTTCCTTCTTCTGTGACACCCCACGAGCTCTGCTGGTCCGTTTGGGATCTGGGAGATGCCAGTGGAAGTCCTGCCATGGTGATCCCAGTCCTCTATCAGTCAAAACACAACTGCTGCAAGGCGCAAAGAGAAATGCAGGGCAGCAAAACCATGAGATGTGGAAATCTGTGCAGGAGGGATCTCCATTTAACCAAAGCAAGGCTCATGCAAAATTTACTGAAGTCAATGGAAAAACTCATTGGTTTCAAAGCTGAAAGCCTAATACCCTCAGATGGGATTTTATTGGGAGTTTCTGACTGGGCACATCAAACACAAGAACTCTGGTATTTCAGGATGTCCCAAGACACGAGTGAGAGATTAACTCATCTCTGAGTGGAAAAGGAGGGCAAAATCCAGAAAACAGAGGAAGTGTGCCTGAACATGTAAATATCTTCCTGTAAATACCAAACAGAAAGAATTAAAGGATCCAGTTATCACAGGTGAGAGAGAAATAATTTCCAAATCCAATGCCAATGACACAGCACCAACAAGACTCTGCTGATTGCAAAGCTGGCTCTACAAGTACTTGTGCAGATCTTGGAAAGAACATTCCATTTATTTCTGGGAGGCAATTTTAAACTCTTGGCCTCCAAGCAGGTGTCCAGGCAGAGATTTGGAGGTCACAGTCAGTTCACGCTCTCCCTGCTCCAGCTTTAGACATCCCTGCTTTCAATTTCCCAGCTCCAACTTCTCGGGTTACCTAAGCCTTGAGGACAGTTCCAGTGAATTAAATCTAAGCCAAGAAGAGAGGGTTTAAGGGAGATATGCCCTGGTTTTAACATCCTTACACACAGGAATTGCTCATAATTTTCTGCTCCAAACAGCCCTTCAAGGACACGCAACCGCCAACAGAATGACCTTGGAATGTCCCACCAAACACTGTCCTGCAGTGAAATGTGGGCAAATCCATCCCAATCTACTGGGAAGCAGCAGTCCCAAAGGTTCTGGGATGGCATCATTTATGTCAGCTATGCTGTGCCATCTGCTCCTTTATCAAACCCAGACCTTTGGGTGAAGATTTTCAGAAGATCTTTTCCCCACTGTAAATGAAATCTGTATTTTTGATTCATTAGCATGTATATTAACACTGTGGTATATCCCCTCAGAGTTATTTCTGGCCTACAAAGGACCTAAACGGTAAAAATCAACATTTTGATTTCAAAAGAGAGAGAACACAGCTCAGAATTAGATAAAGCTTTCCTTGCTAATAAAGTTACCGTTTCTGAAAGGATCACTGCTTCAGCCTGCTGCAGAGAAATATCAGTAGATTTAAATTCTTTATCAAATATCTCTTGATGCTTGCTGTTCCTCTTCTCCTTCTTCTTTTCCTTTTTATCTTTATCTAGGTCATCCTTGTCCAATTTATCTTGCGACCTAGAATGCATCTTTTTTGGCAGGAGGGGCTCCAGCACGAACCTAAGGAAAAATATGTTGTTGCTCAGATCAATAAAACACTGTTTTCAAAACAACTAATTTTTATTTACGTATTTCCCAAAGTCTCGCTCGAGTTAATGAGGCTTTGCTAATCCAGGAAAACTCATTAGAGGGAGAAGAAGGGGGCAGGAGGTCACACAATCATAATTGTCTTATAATAAAAATTACTGCAGGACTGCTGGAGAAGCGGAGCTGCAGATTTCCCTGCTCTGCAGTAAATTTATTGGTTTCTGGCTGCACAAACTCCTGAATTTCACATCAAAAATGGCTTTCTCATTTAGCACTGCCACTCTCCATGATGAGGCACCTGGAAACTCTAGTCCTACTTCCTGCCATGGACAGGGACACCTTCCACAATCCCAGGGTGCTCCAACCTTGGACACTTCCAGAGATGGAGCAGTCTTGGCTAGACAAAGTATTTTATGATTTATTTTATATTATAAATGAAACACACCACTAAGATCACACCCAGACAAAATCATGCTGGCAGATTTTAAGACTGTCTCAAACCACCACATTACAAAACCAAAAATAACCCAAAACTTTCCAAAGAAGGACATTTTTAGCCCAGGAAAAGCATTTCCCACGCCATGGGGTGCATGCAGGCACAGGCCACAGTCTTTGCTGTGAAATTCCAGAGTATTTGTATTTCAGACAATCTGCACTGACACTATCCTAATCCCAACCATTAGCAGCAATGCCCAACAGCAATATCCCAAATTATTGTTATTTTTTTGTTGTTGTTTCCACTCTACATCAGCTCCTTTGATGGGAAGATGCTCAAAGCAGCAGCTGCAACAGCAGCCCCTGAGCCACTTTCCAAATCCTGAATCCCATGGGTTGGGAACAAATCCACGAGTTTATCCATCCCATTTTATAGACAGGGAAAAGGGAAGGAACAATTTGCCCAGGGGCACAAAGAACTTCAGTGACAGAGCCCAGAGCAGAGCCCATCTCTCCCAACACCAGGACTTCTTAGGAACCTGAGTTGTGTATTTTGGACTGGGTGATGCCAGCACCTCCGAGGCCAGCTGCAAATTCACAAGAGGAATTTCCATCCTTCAGACAATGATTAATTGCTTCCCTTCCAAGCACTGTATTAGGACTATTAATTATTTGAATTATTAGTGTATCTGTGCTAGAATGGGTCAGCACACTGTGCTCCAGCTGGAAGCACTTTGGGACTGCCAAGAGCTGAGAAATCCCACTGGACCCCAGGATTCTCCTGCTTCCAACCACTGAGTGCAAGTGCTCACATTTGTATTTCTAAGTCCCATTTTAAGCAGGGAATAAACCCAAGGCCCTTTTTAAAATTCAGTTTTATTTATACATAGAGTTGGGAGTTGTAAAACACGTCCTGTGTCAAAGTCTTCTTTGAGTCTTTGCTGTTTAAAAGCTCCAGAGCAGGAGCTGGAAATGGCACTAAATAGAAACTAGGTGATTTGGATAAGACACTCCTTTAGCTTCATGTTTAATTGTTTTTTAGCTTTGTCTCTATTCTCAACTTTAATTTATGAAGAGACATGGAAATACAAGAGGAGAACTGACCATAAACCCCACCAACTACAGCAGGAACAGGAGGAAACTTCTGCTAGGCCAGCAGTGCCAAAACACCCACATGATTTTACAGCCACCTGAATTTTTGAGGTTTTTCATATTATTTATATCTCATGATTTTTCTTCTCCTCCTCCTGATCAAACAAATGAGAGGTATTTTCAGGTCTTCTCAGTGACAAGAGCTGTTCATTCTGTTTTCCTGTATTGCCCTGGGCTCAGAGCAGGAGCTGAGCTGCCCTGCGGGATCTTTGTGAAAATGCACCCTGAGGAGACTCAGATGCTCAAAAACTGCCATGTGACACCTACCACAACACAGCTGAGAGGTGAACCTGAAGGAAATAACACCCAACGAGAAAGTAAAATATGCTTAAAGATTTTGAAGGGAAAACCAGAAAGAGGCAGGGAAATAATCGGTATTTTTCTTCTGAGATAAAACAAAGTTTCTCACTTAGTTGGGATGGCTGTTCTGCCCAAGTTCCAGCAAGACAACTTTGTTTAGAATTATTCAAAACTCAGAACTCAGCTGTCCCACATTTACACCAATGTGTGAAAGCATTCCAGAGAGCAGTGGAATGAGGGCTGAGCTGTGCCCTGTCCACAGCTCCTCCCAATGATTAAATAAACTCTTTGTAATCAAGTCAAGCATCCGGTTGGTCCTTAGGTGCTGGATTTAATTTTACTTGATGCCTTTAGTCTCTAGCCAGGTATTAACTCCCCTCTGAAGGTGCACAGGAGTTTCCAGCACATCCCTGTAAATCAGCAGCCCTTCAGAAGGCTTTAAAAAAAACTGCTGCCTTGGTCAAATATTGCATTTCTGGATTACAGGGGTGCCTGAGGGGAGGAAGAGAGAGAAGGGACTTCTGAGGCTGCATGGAAAGCCCAGACAGCAAACAGATTATTTTGTTCTTTGAGGGATGTGACTGTGAGACAGGGCTTATCAACAGAATTCCCAGTTCTCATGTGAAATATCTTGATAAGTCTTGAAGTACAATCTTGCCATAAGCAGCTTTTCCTCTGGCAGCCGGAGTGAGCAGCAGTGATTGAGCAGTCAGGTAATCCTGCCCTGAGCTCCTGGGACAGGGCTGGCTGCACACGGCCTGCAGAGCATCCCTCACACACCTGTGCTACTCTAAAAAGGGGGAACTGATCTCCTCTTTGGGGTTTTTTGGTGTTGTTTGAAAGCTTAGAGGGAAAAAAGAACATTTATCTGGGTTAGAGAACAAGTGACCTTGAGAGAAATGTCTCTGTAGGTTGGGGTTTTTAGCCCAACCCAATATTATCTATTTAGCCAAGCCCAATATTAGGCTGTCACTTATAAAAATCACGGAATAGTTTGGGATGGAAGGGACCTTAAAACTCATCCAGTTCCAGGGCAGGGACACCTTACACTGTTCTCAGGCTGCCCCAAGCCCCAGGGTCCAATCCTTCCAGGGATTCAGGGGCAGCAACAGCTGCTCTGGGAATTCCAGTCCAGCCCCTCCTCATCCTCACAGCCAAAAATTCCTTCCCAGTATTCCATCCATCCCTGCCTTCTGGCAGTGAAAGCCATTCCCTGTGTCCTGCCCCTCCATGCCTTGTCCCCAGTCCCTCTCCCGTGGAAGAGGTTTTGCAGTGACTTCTGTGAGCCAGAGAGAAGTTTGATAAGAGAATCCATGATTGACAAGAGGATCCATGTTCACTCCTGAAAGAATGGTCATTGACATAGAAACCAAGAAAGAAAGAAGGATAAATAAGAGAAACCTGCAACTGCCTGTTCCAATGAGCACTTTGTTTGTCTTTCCTGGCCAATGCGTAAAGTGTAAACTTAGAAGTTTTGTAAGAATGCATAAAAAGCATGCATGGTAAAATAAAACCAGTTTGAAAGCTTCTGAAGATGGAGTGTGTTGCTTTGTATTGTCTCCATCTCAACCATGACACTGTCCACCTCTCCTGGAACCCCTTTAGGCACTGGAAGAGGCTCTGGGGTCTCCCTGCATCTTCCCTTCTCCAACTGAACATCCCCTGCCCCCTCAGCTGTTTCCAGCTCTGAGATCTGGGAATGCCACCCACCCTCCAACCCCAAAGAGCATCAGGGACAATCCTGGTGGAGGATCCTCACTCACCCACCCCGGGGAGCTTCAAGGACAGTCCCTGGCTGGGACTCCCTCACTCACCCACCCCGGGGAGCTTCCGGGACAGTCCCTGGCTGGGAATCCCTCACTCACCCACCCCAGGGTGCTTCAGGGACAGTCCTTGGCTGGGATCCGTCACTCACCCACCCCAGGGAGCATCAGGGACAGTCCCTGGCTGGGATCCCCACTCACCCATCCCAGGGTGCTTCAGGGACAATCCCTGGGTGAGGATTCCCCACTCACCCACCCCAGGGTGCTCCAGGGACAGTCCCTGGCTGGGGATCCCCACTCACCCACCCCGGGGTGCTTCAGGGACAATCCTGGCTGGGATCCCCACTCACCCACCCCGGGGTGCTTCAGGGACAATCCTGGCTGGGATCCCCACTCACCCGTCGGAGCCGGGCCGGGAGGGAGTGCTGTCCGAGGAGAGGGAGCTGACGGAGGCCACGGAGAGGGGCCGGGATGACGAGGGCATGGTGAAGGAGCGCACCATGGAGCGCGGCCGGCTGCCCCGCCGCTCCTCCAGGCCTGGCAGCTGCAGCCAAGAAAGGACAGATGTCACTGCTTCATCCCAAAAAAACAACACTATTGTAAAAAGCAGGCAAGCCTGACGAAGGGGAGAAATGATGCATCTGACTTCATTGATATCAGAAGGGTAATTAATTACCTTATTATAGTATATTATATTACACTATATTACATCTAAACTGAACCTGCCCAAGCACTCAACCCAACTGCCCAGAGTCTTGTGACTGTCAGCTGACAGTCCTGACACACACACATGGATTCAACTGGTCAGTGAATCAAAACACACCAGAATCCAATTCCCTTCGGGTAAACCACCTTCCACAATGCATTCCACTTGTCAACAACAAGAGGAGCAGCAACTGAGATAAGAATGGTTTTTTCTTTGTCTGAGGTTCAGAGAATGTGAATCCCTGAAATATCCTTGGGAAGTTGTGCCTTGCTTTTCTCTGTGAAGAGAAATGTGGCTACAAATATCCACACGCCAAAGGGAATGGGGGAAGGTTCTGTGGATTTTCTTCCAGGTAGAGTTTGGTAGCATTAATGAATTAATAACAACCAAGACCCCATGTTGCCAACAAGGAAACAGGTTCTAAAGGAAATCCACCCAAAGGACTGGAAAAAAATATTTAGGTCCTCACAGGCAGATGTATACTTTGAAGCATATTCCAAGAATTCCTTTGTTCCAATGGTATTTCCATGCTTTTTTATATCTTGCTTTTAAAAGACAATCTTTTTACATATAATTTTTTAATCCATCTCTGCCGTCATTGTGACTGCCTTGTCAATATATTTCAATGAAATGGACTTCATAAAAACCCAAAAAACCCAAAGTAAAAACCCACAAAGAGAGACTTTATGTTGAAAATATCAGGAGAGCCAATTTACAGAGTGACACCAGGTTAAGAAGAAAATATATTAAAGTTTTGGGTTTGTTTCAGACAATTTCAGAGTTCTGAATATTTCTCCAAGCTTTGTTAGTCATTAATAACTGATATATGCATAAAATAATTGAACTCTTGCAGTCAACAAATAAGAATCTCATGCTGTTTAATTACAGGTATATTTTCCACCCTGTCAACTACTGGTAAATTGGCCTTGTACAAGGAAGACAGAAGCGATAAAACTCCATCAATCCTGAACATTCTTACTGGTGGGTAGAGTGAAATTAGAGAGATAACACCACTTTCCAGTCATCTCCTTGATGATGTAAATGGATATTACTGAAGTGACTGACATGTAGGTATCATTAATGTTAATTACTTCTGTTCTCCCTGGAAATAAATTACTGTTTGAACTTTTCCCTGAATATATAAATTCATAAGATGGGATTTGAAGGACCACAAACAGAACATCAGTTAAAGGATACCACAAAGGCTGGAATGTTCCCTGTAAGATCTGTGTCCCCATTAAAAAATAGATGTCATTGCTGCAGACAGAATCCCAGAATTATTGAGGCTGGAAAAGTCTTTGGAGATGGAGTCCAAGCTGTGCCCAGTCCTCACCTTGTCCTCAGCCCAGAGCACAAGTGCAAATCCAGTGATTCCTTGGACACCCAGAGGGATGGGCACTCCAACCCTCCCTGGGCAGTTCCAAGGCCTGATCCCCCTTTCCATGGGGAATTCCTGCTGTGCCCACCCTGAGCTGCCCTGGCCCAGCCTGAGGCCGTTCCCTCTGCTCCTGTCCCTGTTCCCTGGAGCACAGCCCGACCCCCCGGCTGTGCCCTCCTGGCAGGAGCTGTGCAGAGCCACAAGGGCCCCCTGAGCCTCCTTTGCTCCAAGGAAAATAGGATCTCATAATAGCACCCACCTATGTATTTTTGACTGAATTATCAATTCTATCCTGAATTAAAAAGCTGTTTGCTTTGTTTGTTCTGACCTTCACACTCAACACTCAAAAGCAGAACGAACATCCACTGGAAACACCATGAAATTTTTGGCTTTCCCTCAAGGATGAAGCAGCAACTGGCAATAAGTTGCTGGAATGAGAAAAGCATGAATTTCAGTCCTTTTAAACTCATGAAGTAGGAGGTGTGGCTTTCTTGCCTGCCTACGTTCAGTGTAGGTACAACTCAACCATAGAGCAGCACAGCCCTCCCTTCCCCAAAGGAATTCCACCTAGGGAAAGGCGACATTCAGCTCTGGAAGTGCCCATTTTTAAACTCGTTTTTGTAACCCAAATCCTTCAGAATTGAAGGATTATCTTGACTTTCAAGGAACAGACTCGGGCAGTTTAGAAATTGTTCCCATGCTCGGACATGAAAGCACCGAGGCTTCCTCAACATCTCTCATCTGCTCAGTATTCCATAACTTGATGACCACAGGGAACAAGCAGGAACTCTGCATCTACACTGCTCTTTTAAATCAATGCAACCATCACACAGGAATAGAGGTTGTTGTAACTTAAGGGAATTTCTGATATGGGGAAAGGAGGAACTGGGAGGGAACTTACGATGGCGCGGACGCCGTACTGCTTTTCCACCTTGTCCTTCAGCTGCCTGAAACACGCCTCCATCCTCTCGTGGAACGGCCTCAGGGCCTCTGTCACCTTCTCCCCGTGGATCCGGATGCCTTCGGCCAGGAATGGGATCTGGAAAGCAGAATTTGGCTGCTCCACCCTGCCTGGCCCCTCCCGCGCCAAGGAACAAGGGAAGGCTGCCACAGCAGGGAAAGAGCTCGTGCAGAAATAATAACATTAGCAATAAGAGCACTAGTAATAGCAATATAACACTGATAACAATCATAAAAATAATAACAATAATAATATTAAAAGTTACAAGAATTATTATTATTATCATCACAGTGACCATCACCATTCCTTGTATATGATACAGGACAGGATCTAACCCCTGTCCTCCAGGATTTCCTTTTTTTTTCTGTTAAACCAAGTCCTTCACATTTAATTCAGCCCTAATTCTGACCAGAAATCCCATACTGCATTTGTCCCACAGCACAAACCCTCCTGTGATACTCCATTCTCAAGCCCCCACAGATGCTGTACTTCAAAACAGCAAACTGATGAATGATGAGTCTCACACCAGGTTATTAATATCAAAACCTTTCCCAGTTCCATGAGGATAAAACCCTGAAGATGAAAATAGTTTGTTTTCTTTAATAAATGTTCTTTCTAAAGCTGCAAATGAGCTCCATCCTTGGACAGATATATATTGCAGAGCAATATTTATTAATAAAACATACAGTTTTAGATGCTATATAGTTCTCCTTAGAAAAATTATTTTATTTTCTCTGGGAAGAAAACAGAAGAGGCAAAAATTAAATTAATTCTCTTTTGTAACTGAAAATAATCATTTATCTTCAAGGCTTCTGTCACAAAATATCCATGCCAGCACAGGATTATATAATCAGTTCCTAGTGTGGAGGTGTAGCTGACCTTTGGAAATGTTTTAAGAGAGACATTTTCATTCTCACAGCTACCCAGACACACCATTAGAGTTTTCTACCTCCAGCTCAGGAAAAATATTTCCTTTTCCAGGTCCGTTTCAGCCCACACAGCGCTCTGATTCTAACTCAGATATTCTCTGCAGCAATCAAGCTAAGAGGCTTCTTCTTAATAATTCATAATTAAATCATAATACTGATTAAAAACAGATTTTTCTAATAAGACTGAGCAGCAATCAAAAGCAGCAGCTTTATTAGTAAGGAGAATAATAAATACACAGATGAATTACAGATGAACAAACTCAAGAAATCTTATCAAGATGATTCCCTGAGATTTGGCACTATGTAAATGGACAGAGGTGCTCCTCCTAAAAGACTACAAAGAGAAGAATAATGACTTTTTTTTAATGTAGTGGCTCCTATTTATAAGCATATAGATTTGCACTTGACAAAAATTAAACATGAAACCATAAAGTTTTCCCTGCTCTCAGTAAGAAAATGGATTTCTAAATTTACATCATTACCAGGCCACACTGTGACCCTCCTGTTTTGGAGGGATAAGCGGTCACTTGGCTCATTTATTTTAAAGAACTGTTGACACTGGAAATGGATTTTCTAAAAAAACACTGGAATTACCAAGGTGAAGCATATGAGACCATTTTATGAGTAGAAAATGCACTGAAGAACCTGTCTGGGGGATCAGCCACATCCAGGCTGGAAAATCAAGAACAGGAAGTAAATGACATGATTTGTAGGAAAAAAATGTGGGGGGATGGAGAAGGAGAAGAAGAACAAGAAGAAGAACAAGAAGAAGAACAAGGAGAAGAAGTACAAGAAGGAGGAGAAGAAGAACAACTAGAAGAACAACAACAAGAAGGAGGAGGCCAAGGAAAAGGGGAAGAAGAAGGAAGAGAAGGAGGAGAAGGAGTGGTTTGTTAATCTTTTAGAAGCTGAAATCCATGAATGTCCCATGGCTTTGCCACAGAAGAACGTGAGGCTGCTGAATCAGGATGTTTGGCCTCCCTGTTAAAGACCACTTAATCTTTAAACATTTATCAAGTGCAGGAAGAACTTCCAACTGTGTTACCGTTTCTGTTTCACCTTCTACCAACTTCCACACTCCTCCTGTGTCTCCTTTCCAGACACAGGGAAATGTGCTGATGCCTGACATGGAATCTGACACCTGTCAGAGGCAGAATTTTGCCACATTCATGATATTCCAAATTAATTTGGCCTTGCAGAAAGGGCATTTTCTTATTTCATAACTCTATTCTTGGCTGACTTTAAAATTTTATAAAGTTCCACTGCAACCTGAAATTATTCCCTGATTTGTTTCCCCTTTTTGTTTTTTATAAAATCTCGATCTGCTCAGCTGAAAAGACTGAAAAAAATGACATTGATTTGAATTATTAAACTAATCTTTGAAAACAATCTTTCAGAGCAAGGGGATCATAAAATATGAGCATAAAACCTGAGTTTGGTATGCAGCAGTTCTTTCATCTCTGTAGAAGGAGCACAAGAGTTTGATTTGCTGTGGTGTTTTTCTGTTTTGCTGTGCTGTAAATACTTTAGCTAAATTCAGAGTGACTAATGACATCAATCATTCATTTCTCTGCCTTAATTTCAATCAATCATTTCATTATCTTCATGTTAAAATGAAAGATCAGCTTGAAATGGTGCAGTTGCATGGGAACATTTTTTTGCCTAAGCTGGAAAAGCACCAAAAAGGACAAAAATGGACATTGCTTTGCTAATGGAATTTATCTGAATTAATAAGAGACAGAAACAAAATGTACACTTGAAGTTCACAGGAATTATATGAATTATGAATTCCACAGCACAGTGGAGAAAGAGGTAAGGAGATGAAAAAAAAATTGAATTTAACTGGTCAGCTGGTAATACAATTGTCAGGCTCCTATTTCATCTACCCAGATTGATTTATGCAGCAGGGAGAAAATTCCATGTGATTACAGAACCCCAAGCCCCACATTATTGAAAAATGAAATCTCCTTTTGCTTTCCACCCATCAGCCCAGGGTGAATTCAGCCCCTCCACAGGCTTCCATACTTCCATACACATCCCTCTCCCAATATTTGGGAGCTGACTCCCATCTGGCTGGAAACTGAAGTAATTTGAGAGGGATTTTAAATTTTAGGATCCCCTAAATGTGTATGAAATATCCAAGGCAATTTAAAAGCACTGAAAGGGCTTTTATGTGACTCTTATTTTCAGATATAAAAATAAATTTTGATCCCTTTTCTCTATTTTCCTGGTTCCTGTTGTTTCTGAAGTACAAAACTGATGGGAAATCATGTTTTTTAAAAGCCCTGAATAATTACAATACAATGTGATCAGCTGCCATACCTATTTTCAAATTGTAATATTATTTTAATACACAAGTGTCACCAAAGTGAGCCTTTGCTGAGGGGAAGTGTGTTTGGAATTCATTTGAAGTATCACTCTCAGAGGCAAAGACACAGAGCTGACACCAAGTCAGTCTCCTGGGACCAAATTATTTTCCTCTATAAAACTTAAAGCTTACAAAATCTAATCTTTTCTAAAAGCTCAAAAGAAAATAAATTAAAAATGCCTTTTCTTTTTTTTTTTTGTCAGACCAAAAGAGTTTTTTTACTCACTGATAGTTTTAAGACCTTCAGAGGATATTTTATTTTTGAATTCTGTAGCTTTGCTTCTACTACCTCTAAGACTGAAATCTAAGGAGATGTAAATTATTCCCTTTATTATAAAGACAGAACTGAATATGAAAAGACAATGATTCACTTTCTTTTTCAGTGGGAAAAATAAAACACTTCCAAACAACCTAATATCTTTTAAGTTATCATAAAATTATATTGAGACCATAGAAAAATGTCCAGTATGTGACTATGGAGCAAAACTGGAATTGTCTCTTGTTTGCCCTGAAAAATATTTTATCATCTGATAGAGATGGGGGATTGTCACTTACTGTGTTTACAAAAAGAAAAAAAAACAAAAAAAAACCAAAAACCACACACAAGAAAAAAGAAGATATCTTGATCATATTTGTTCTCTGCAAGTTTATCAAAATGAGCAATTATGTCAGATTTGAAAAGATGAACTTTAACTCAAGCTCCAAGACAGATTTAAATGGCAAAGAAATGTACCCAAGGTGAGGATAATGTCTGAATTTCCTCCAAAGTGACACCAAGCTGTCTTTGCACAGCAGCTGCCTCTGCCAAACCCGACTTCAAGTTTTTTACCTGCCAAGCAATCAGATCCTTCAGCTTCTCAATCTTGTCATGATCCTCTGGATGCTCATGCATGTATTTTTCAGTAAAAAAAGCCTAATTGAGAGAGAGAGAAATGAGGAATTATTGCAGAAAATTAAAGACTTATTACCAGAGGAATGAGCTACAACGAAGATAAATTGATCAGCTTAAAAATTCTGCGAAGTAACAGCTACAAACACAAAGTGAAAATTGTGGAATCACAGAATCACATTGATTTGGGTTGGAAAGGAGCTTAAACCCCACCCAGCAGAGCTGCTCCATCCCTGCTCCGCCCTCTCTCCACATCCTCCCTGTGCTGGGCTCAGCTGAGGCCCAGCAGGACAGGGGATCCTGGTGGAATTGAGGGAATCCTGGTGGAATTCAGGGGAATCCTGGCAGAATTCATGGAATCCTGGTGGAATTGAGGGGAATCCTAGCAGAATTCAGTGAATCCTGGTGGAATTCAGGGAATCCTGGTGGAATTCAGTGAATCCTGGTGCAGTTCAGGGAACGCTGGCGTTACCTTCTCGTAGTTGGCGAAGCCGCCCATGACGGCGGGGTCGACGATGCCGTTGAGCAGCATGGACAGGGGGTTGATGGGCAGGTTGGGGTCGTTCAGGTGCTGCTGCACCATGTTATTGATCTTGTCATTGGTCAGCTGCATGGTTTCGATGGCGTTCTCCAGAGGGCTGATCTCCACCTAAAACCCAAGCAAAAGCAGATTTCAAACCAGGGGCAGAGTTTTTCACCTGCTCAGCAAAACCCCAGGGGCAGAAACGCTCCAGGCATTTCAGAACCGAGGTTATTGGGAGATTTTTGACCAATAATTACCAGAAAGGGTGATTGAGGTATTTGGTATCTCTGTGCTGCAGTAACTGATATGATGATGGGTATCAGTGGAGGAAGTTAACTGCATCTTGCTGCTGCAGGAGGGATTACATCCCAGCACAGCATCCAGAAAGGCTCTGGCAGCAATCACGTGAGGTTTTTTGGAGGATTATGGAGAACATCAGAGATTAAGGGTTGGTGAGTTTTAGCAGCACAAAGAAGATCCAGCTTAACGTAACAGTAAGAAAGAAATGATAACTTTAACGTGGATTTTCTGATGGAAAATGTAATCCTAAGCTGCTCAAAAATCAGGAAGATATTTTTGCACTGATTATTTTGGTGTGTTTCCAAGGACATCGAGTTGAAATGTTGATGAGATGACATCTAAACTATCTGCTGTGCTTTTTCCCAAGAGGTCACAATTTCTTCATCTGACCATTGAGAACTGAAGGGCAACAAATTTTCTTTCTACCTGGACTTCAATGAAGAGTCTTCTTAGATGCCTTCACAGGGTGAATTAGCTCTTATGCTGTCTAAAACTTGCTTTATTTTAATTGCTGACCTCCAGCTACTTTTTATGCCCAGCTACCATGCCTTTCAAAAAGTTCATGTTGAAAAAAACAGTATTAAAATATTTTAAACATTAGTGAATGGGCTGAAAATCAGTAACTTGCAGTGACCCAGAGTGTGGAGAGTCCTCACTGGAAGCCACAGCCTGCTTGTATTAAAAAAAATGATGTGGTAGGGAGAGGAAAGGAAGGTTAATTGAGGCCTGTGAGGAAAATGCAAGTGTATATTTGATTACAGCCTCATTTACATAAATGCTCCATAAACAAAGCAGCACTTCTACCTGGCTATCAGTTGCTTACCCTGCTTCTGAGAACCACTTATAATCAAATCTCTTTAGTTGTTACTCTTACACCTGCCAGCTGATTACATCAAGGATGTTTTAATTAGCATTTTGAGCAGCCTGCCTGCTGAATGATTCTGGAAGGCAGAAGGAGCCTGGTGTCTCTGCTGGGAACAGGGAGCAGGCCAGGCTCGGACAGAGCCCAGCGTGCCACGGGGGAATCTGGACTGGGCAGTGGAGCCACATCCAGCATCTGACTGGGCAACAACTGCTGGGAGCATCACTAAATGCTAAATTTAGCATTCTGTCACTTGTATTAATGGCCTTATAACTATGCAATAATGTGTTGATGAACCATTGCTTTTAAAGCTCTTGAGCATCTCCAGAAATTAGCACTCATTGAGCTGACAGCTTTTTGACTTTTCTGTAGCAGCAATCATGGCTTTCTTTCTCATTCTCCTTTCTTTTACTACTCTTGTAACACTCCCTCTAATTTTTTAAAAGCAGATGGAGAATTGCAGTTGCCATCTCACTACTATAAACTGGGCTTTGGAACCTGGTGAAAGCTATTTATGATAAGTGTAAATTCTGAGCCTTGTTCACAGTGTCATTCTGGGCACTCCTCACTCTATCCAGGGAAAACAGGAATTACATTCTCCTGAGACATTTGCACCAGTACAAATTCCAAGATAAAAACAAAGCAGAGATTAGCACTTGTGCTTTTAAAACTCAAGTGTGATTCAAAATCTGATTTCTAATTCCCTGGCTGGTGTCTCTCCCCTACAACTTCTTGTGCCCAGCTAAAGCAAATCAGATACAGAATAAGGAATGCTGGCTCCAAATTCCTTGCAGATAATGAATAGATTTCAAAGGTTTAGGTAAAAGTACTCAGAAGGAATTTGAAAAGCCAGTAGATTTAAAGCAACTCTGTATGTTCCTATGGGTTATGTAACATAATACACTGCATTTATGAAATTACTCCGTTCTCTCAGCACTGATTTGATGTAATCTCACCTCTTCCTTTAACGATATCCCAGTTCCATCAATAAAATATGAAACATGCAGAGCTGCTGGAGTATCCTGGTGCTTAGCAGGGGATCAATAATATCTGTATCCATAATCACAATTTAGCATTACAGGGATGTAAACCCTGTGATCCTCCTTGCAGCATTTTAGCTGACAGAGATCTTGAGGAAAGTCAATACCCATTTTGTAGGAACTGTGCCAGAGGAGGTCAGAAGTTATCTGTAGCAGTCTTCCCACACGTTATTAAGTTCCATTCTGCTATCATTTCTCAGCTCTGTAACTCATACAATCCTTGCTCCCAAAAGGCTGACGGGATTTGTGCCCATTTGGATGCCAGGCAGAGCAGGAGGGGTGAACACCAAGTGCCTGTCAGGCTCTGCTCTCTGCTCATCAGGCCTGGCATCAGATCTGCCAGCCTTTACAAACAGCACTTCTTGCCATCATGAAGATAAATACAATCTTCTCCATCAGGGTTATATTGAAACTACGAAATTCATTAAAAATTCAATGTGTTTTATTCAGCTGCCTGTTACTGTCACACATCACATTCATATTCTGTTACTATAGATACCATAGTAATTTTCTGCATTACTTCTGTTCATCCAAATACAACTGTCCAACATAACCTCAATGGAGCAATGAAAAAGGTTTTAATTAATCATATGCAAATTGTTCTTTTCCTTTAAAAATAAGCCTCACAAGAGAGATTTCAAAACCGCAGTAACAATGTTTTTATTGCTACTTAAAAATTACAGCTGCATAAGAATAATTTAATCTTAAAGGCGTTTAATGGATATGTCTTATCTAAACAGTCTAAATGGTTGAACAGAGAAATGAGTAATTTGGAGTTACTCTGTGAGGTTGCTGAGGGTATATTTAGCTAAATATGGAGAAGAAACAAAAACAACCTTTAACCACGAGTGGTAAGAACTGCAGACATACAATGCCTTTGATTATTGGGATATTTTGAATTAATGACAATCAAAATATCCAGATCCTCTTTGATAAAGTTCAGGCTAGATTCTCTGGGATGGAGCAGGGTTTCCCTGCACCACCTCAGGTCTCTCTTCGTTCTAAGCACCTGCTGAAGGACACCAATGCTTTCTAAAAGGGCTGAGAGCCGTGGAGGGCTGGCTGCATTCCCTTCCCTCAGGAGTGGAAAAGCATTGCCTGAGTCACCCTCAGTCAGCAACCAGCACCCTCAGCAGGTTCCCTCAGGATGTGCCAGGTACAATCCCATGGATTCCCTGTTCACAGATCTAAGCACAGCCACTGAGACACACAAATGCTCCCTGGCTGTCTAAAAACCCCATTGTTTTACACAAGCTCAATACAGCCAAGCTGATCTTACCATGAAAACTGATTTGACTTCAAACCACCTGAGGATCCCTGGTAATTTATAGGCTGTCACGTAGATGGTTCTCTCAATCCACATGTTCTGCAAAGGGAACACAAGTGTCACGTTATCAATGGACAGCTGGGACCCCGAGCAAAGCCCTAAAACATCAGCAGCAGGACAAGGACCAAGGTATGGCAGATGTTACAGAGCCAGGGGGGGATTCCAAGTGGAAGATGGAGCAGCACTGATTTAAATCTGGTATGTGACGTAGCAGGGAACAACTGTTCCCTTTCTGAAGAATACCATGGAAAGATCCCCTGGTTTTACTGGATGTTCATAGAATGGTTTGGATTGGAAAGGACCTTAAATCCCATCAGGTTCCAGAAGCAGGGACACCTTCCACTATCCCAGGCTCCTCCAAGCCCCATCCAACCTGGTCTTGTGCACTTCCAGGGATCTGCACAGCTGCTCTGGGCACCCTGTGTAAGGGCCTCCTCACAGCACTCATTCATTGACCAATAGATGAAACAAATGGTTAAAAAAAAACAAAAAGGCAAAAAAAGCAAAAGGTATTAGTGACCAAAGATTTTTTCATATGCCTGACTGGAATCTTCACGGCAAGACAAGTTTCAGGTGTAACAATTTAAAATCCTTTCTCAGAAGAGCTGTTTTTACAAAATAAATACAGCATTGCCCATTTTTTTTCCTATTGGTATAAACGAGAACATGATAAATTGCCTTAATTAACTTTCTATGAAAAATAATCCCTTTAAACCTAGAATTTATTTCTCAACAAGCAAAAGATAATGAATGGCTCAGATGCTCAAAATAGAGGGGGATAAACAAGCAAACCAGAAGTGGTTTATTTTCTTCACAATTTCTTACTGCAAATTCGTTGTCTGGGTTTTTCTCTCCTTTTCGAACAGGGCGTGAATACTCAAAACGTTGGACTTCATTCACCCTGTAGAAACTGAAAAGAGGGAAAAGAATCATGGAATCACAGAATGGATTGGGCTGGAAGTGACCTCAAAGATCGTGCGGTTCCAAGCCCCAAATGCACAATGAAAATCAAACGCTGTGTGTTTAGGAATAGATACTAAATTCTAATAGTAGAGGAAGTTATCAACAAATATGGGATCACTATTTTCCAGTGGACTGGAACATGTGTCAATATTAAAAATCACCATTAAATGCCCTCACAATGCCCATGCCCTTGACTGTGCACAGATTCCTAATGCAACAATAATGTGCTATAAAGGGGACTGAGAAAACAACAAAACCTAACCCAAACTCACCTCACAATTTGCTCTGACACTGGCCTGTGAAATTTTGAGGGTAAATCCAGCTTGGGCTTTACAGTGAAGCACTGAATATCTGCATTTCCGGGGTTAAGAAGTGAAAAGAGAATTTCAGTCACAGGGAGCAAACAGCTCAACAGGAACACACACACAAAAAATGACAAACCAACAAAATCAGTGCGTTACACCTGTCAGGGCAGAAGCACAACAGGTTGGCCATAAATCCCTGATCTGAGCTGCTGGATGCACTGGTTGTACTGGTTGTAGTGGGTGTACAGCCCAAGGATACACTGGCCAGAGGAGGATTTGATGTCATCGCCGGGGGGTGACGTTGTCTTCATCTTCTCGGCGTTGGGGAACTGCGTCAGCAGCCGCGCCTCGAAGTCCTCGCGGCGCTCGTACTCCTTGCCCCGGTAAATGAACACTTTGTTCTGCAAACAGACAATGCCTCAGGTTTAGCTTTTCCATTTTTCACACTCTGTGCTGCTTTAGTGTGTGGGGCTGGGTTCACATCAGGGATGGTGAGCTCTGTGCACAGAGCAGGGACACAAAACAATTCCTGCTCCAGCTGGGCACCAAGGACAAATGATCCCAATCTCAGCCCAGGAGCACAAAGCCCGTGGGCTGCAGAGAGAAAAACAAGCAGGGTGGGACTGCAGGGGCTGCAGTGGGATTGGACACTGAACTGCAATGTGCACATGGAGCAGAGCTGAGCCCAGGGAGAGACCCCGGCAGCGCTCGTGCATTTTGGGGCCATTTGGGTTCATCCTGGGGGCAGCCCTGGCTGGGCTCTGGTGCTGCCCAAGGGGCATCCATGGAGGAGATCCTTTGAGTAAATCCCTGCTTTATTCTGGAATTCTGTCCAGCCTCCCTCTCAAGGCATCACAGAGGCAACCACATCTGGCACCAGCACCCCCAGAGCTAAAACCAGTGCTCCCAGTACAGAACTGGGGCCTCAGAAGAGCTGACACCAACGCTGTTAGCACTTCTCAGCATGAGAGGAATTTCACTCTCCTCATGCTGTGTTGTAATCAATACTTCATCAATATCTTTTTCTCACCTCCAATTTCATCCTGGGATCATTAAGCCCATGTTTACCTGTAGGTATTTTTTTAAGCCACACTAAAATCACCTCAAAACATGATTTAAAGGATCTGTAACACTGGTGGCCATTTAAAATATATTAATAGAAATTATTACCAAATCCAAGATGTTTTCTCCACCTTCCACAGCTAATGATGGAATGGATGTCAATCAATAAACTGAATTAGGCTTTTTATACATAAACATTTTTTTCAAAGGTACTCAGGTGAGCAAAAAAGAGTAGCAAAGAAAAACAGAAACATAATGCATATATAAGGAAGAATATCCAAAAATACTGACTCTTATAAAAAGAGTCACGTTAATGTATTAGATTTTTGCCATTATAACCTTTAAAACTTTTTATAACTTTAAAATTAAGGACATTGTATTTGTAAGCATTGATTTCTTCTTTGCCAGTAAAGAAAATGAAGTGGTATTTTATACAGCCCATTTACATGCTGAGTTCATTAAATTCTAAAGGAAAATGTAAAAGACAACTTGCATATTTTTAACTGATCAAACATATTAAAGCAAGTTTGGATAAAATTTGCATCTGAATATGCTTAACCTCATTACTCATCTAAAAATGAATACTTGGTGAAAAAATTATACAGCACTTATAAAAAAAGGGTGTTTTGACTGGGGGTAGGAACCTGGAGTTGTTCACATTTGCCCAGTTGGGTTTAGTTCTGCAATGCTGCTTTTTGAAAAGCTCAGCAGGGGAAAGAAAGGTAATAATAGATGGCTCTGTATAACTGTAATTTATGTATATACATTTGTAATTCTCAAGGAATGCTGGAATAGAGGGAGAAGTGAGGATTTTCTCCAGCAGCAGGACACTCAACAGCCTGGTTTTCAGAGGGCAAATTGGGAAGGAATTCATTCTGTGAGGGTGGTGAGACCCTGGCACATGATGCCCAGAGAAGTTAACGAAATAATAATGGGTTATTTCTGTGTCACCAACTGCCAAGTGCCAGAGAATCATAATACAGATGCAATTCAGACATGTTATAGCCCCACTTTCCTTTAGCCACTAATTCAAGCCATAAAAATCCTAATATTAGTGAAAAAAACCCTTAAAATGTCACTAAAGCTATGATCCTGGCATCAACCGAGTGACACATGTCTCAAATTGGCACATGAGACACACAAATCAATGATAAATATTGCTATTAAAGGTGTCACACACACCTTTGATAGCCAACTTCATTTTAGTGACAATGCTGGAAAGGACACTCACCTGAAAACATGGTCATGTACAAAAGGCTTCTCTACCATGCTCATATATATATATTATATATATATAAATATATATTAACCTGCCAGGCAAAAATGTCACCATTTCAGATGGTTATGACCCCGAGTGATGGATTGGGTCATTTATCTTCATTTCTAGTGATACCCTGAAGTAACAGAGAGTACTGAATACGTTTGAAGAGAAAGTTTTTCTACTAAAATTCAACTATTCCATCTTAGAAACCAGAAAGGAAAAACCAGTGTTTGTTTTGTACACCTAAAAAACACCTGTCAGTGTCAGGAAGGTTTTTCCAAGCAAAGGGAAATTTCCAGAGCAAGAAAAGTCTCTGGAAACAGGTGACACTTACCCTTATGAATGTTGGGAATCCCTGGCCATAGTATCCAACAGCAAAATAATCTGGTTTTGGTCGTATCACCTTCACAATGTTTTCATAGAACTGGGCTTGTTTTCTCTGCAAAATAAACAGGAGGGATTTGAATGACCTGAGCTTTTAGGAGATTCCTTACACTTAAGATCTTGTATGCATCTCTAAATTAAAGACCTTTCATTCCCCTATTTCTCCTCAGCTTTATTTCAGATTCATGGCGATATTTGGAAAAACCAGACTCTGTAGCCATGATTTTTCTACTCATCACGGTGAATCTGACTGGTCCCTAAGGAATATCTCAGTTTTGATGAATTTCACCTTATCATGGTGAACCTCACTGCTCCATATCCAATATCTCAATTTTGATGGACCTCATGTTGGTGAACTTCATTGTTCTTTATCCAATATCTCAATTTTGAAGAACTTCATCATTGTAAACCTCACTGTTCCATATCCAATATCTCAATTTTGAGTGCCTTCATCTTGATGAACGTCACTGCTCCACATCCAATATCACAATTGATGAACTTCATCACTGTGAACCTTTCTGTTCCAAGTCCAACATCTCAATTTTGATGGACCTCATCTTGGTGGACCTCACTGATTCACATCCAATATTTCACTGGCAGTGAAGGTCAGGAATTTGCAAGGGAATCTGAAATTCCAGTTGTGACACTACTGACGCCAAAACACCAGAAGGATGAAGCTGCACACAGCTCATCCCAATGGTGCTGACTTGTCAGTTTTGGGCTCTTACACCTCATTACATTTTTCTACTACTTCTCTTCCATATTTACAACCATGAATTTGCATATGGAAAGCAGGCAGTTGAGAATTGCAGGAAAATGTAAATGTTGGAATAAACACACGCATGTCAGACGCCATCTGCTTTCGACGCCGAGTTCTTCTTTATCTCTAATGATGAAATAATAGCAAATGAGCAGCTTCAGAAGATCTGTTCATTAACTTATGTTTAGTCTATTATTTCTGCAAAGAGAATGACTTTTGATCTGGGGGAGGTTTAGTGCTGCTCCCACACGACAGATAACAGAAAATGGCACCAAGACTACAAAGACCCAGATCTGCCGAGTATTTCTCAGCTCGTCTGGAGCAAAACTATTCTGTCATTTGTGAATTGTTTTAGAGGCTAATATTTAATATTGCTTGAAGAAAAGAGACAAGAGGGAGAATAGAAAGAACAAAAAAGTTCTAAATTTAATTGTGGGAGAAAAAAAAGAGCTGTTCAGCAGCAGCAATAAGAAAAGCTGATGGGGTATGTGAGACCTGACTCATACAGGAGAGTGAATTTTGATCTCTGTCTTGTGAGGGAAATGTAGACCAGGACTAATACTGTGACATCTCATCTCTTGGCTGATGAGCAGATAAACTCAATTGTCTGATGTGAAGTTCTGGGTCTCCTTTCTTAGAAGAGGGAGAAACTCCATGGAAATATCCAAGGCCAAGTTGGACAGGGCTTGGAGCAACCTGGGACAGTGGAAGGTGTTCCTGCCCATGGCAAAGAGGGTGGAACTAGATGAGTTTTAAGGTCCTCCCAACCCAAATAATTCCATCACTCTGTGATCATTGACTACAATGAATAAAGTGCAAATTCCAGCTTCTCCTTCAAAAGGGATCCAGTAGGGTAATTAAAGAGTGGTTGCCTCTGTGACAAACCCGTTCACGTTCCCATGTGCAAGCAGAAAGGAGATGGAAAATTGAAACTGAGGGACTCAGAGTGTAGCCACCCCCTGGTGAAAAATCACCTCTGACAACCACTTCTAGCTGAGGAACAATCCTACCCAATTCCTTTTATGCTGAAATGAAGAATATTCTGTGTCCATCCCACCAGGAGCAGTGAGCTGGGGCTGTGTGGAGCTGAGTTCAGCACCACAGGAATGCCCAGCTCAGACACACTGGGATAAAGAAAACAGATAAATAATTCAAAGAAATTGTCAAAAATGTACTCTGAGTGCAAAAGGGATCAAAAACTTTAGAGTCGAGAATTTTCAGAAACAAACTGGAATCATATCCCAGCTCCTGTGGAAATGGTTGGGACCCGAGGAGGGACAGTGACAGCTGCCATTTATCTCTTTGGAAGAGAACAGGAGGAAAAAAATGGTGCAGGAATAATGAATGGGTAACGTCAGGGCAAAAATAACTGACTGGAGACATGAATGCTTGGGGATTATTCATACCTAAAAAAAGAAATGTGAATATAGAAAGACACTTGAGAGAGAATGGGATTTTTTTTTCATGTCCCCATTTATATTTAAATTCAAAATTTCCTTTTATACCCCAAATAAATCAGCTTAGCATTACCAAAATGTTTTTCTTTCAGCTAAAAAAAAAATAAAATTCAATGTTTTTCAGACAATCCAGTGGTAGCCAGTTAATTGACAGCAATTCAATGTTTTTCAGACAATCCAGTGGTAGCCAGTTAATTGACATTGGTCCAACAAAACCATGATGGGTATTTGTTTCTGAATTTTACTGTCATTGCTTAAATTTAAAAGTTTAAAAATTCAACTCTGAAATAAATTATTGCAGTGTCTATGTCATTAAAAAAACCTACCAGCAGTTCACTGAGTTGTTCATAATCAAACATTTCATTTTCATACTGTTCTGCAAGTTCTTTACCCAAGGCAATGGCCTCTTCCCACATCTGTTGGAAAAAAAATCACAAAACAACAAAAAGAAGCTGAATTACATACCTTGGTTAAACATCAACATCAGAATCAAATAAATCTGAATAAAGCAACCAAATGAATTGCGTCACGTGCCTGAAAACACTGAGCATCTGACGTGCCAAAGAGCTGTGCTGGGCTTATGAACGTCTCTATTAATGGAATCATGGAATTGTTGAGGCTGGAAAAGCCCTCCAAGTTCACTGAGTTAATTCCCCAGCCCCTTCCCAGCTCCATTCCCTTCCCTGGACACACTCCTGCACCGCCAATGACATTTTTATCATTGAGGAGCCCAAAACTTGACATGGGATTGGAGATGCCTTGGCAGTGCCAGTACAGAGGGACAATCCCTGCACTGGTCCTGCTCCACACCACTTTTAACACAACCCAGGTGCCATCCGCCTTCTTGGCTTGGTGGCACCCAAGGTGATCTGCTCCATGACATTCCCTGGCACAGGATGCAAATTTACTGGATCCAAATCAAGTCAAAGGATCAAAGAGCTACAGATATGAAATGATTCCTGCCAGCCCATCCAGTAATGTGTAAACACAGCCTGTCCATGAAGAAACCCAGGACCTAAGGCTTTGGAGTAAGGCTGGTGATTGATTATATTTCATAATCACCTCTCTCCCCCTCTAATATCTGTAATCTGTATTAGACAGGACAGGCAATTTGCAGATATTGCTTTGAACAAATACTCATTATATTTCCATTGGTTCTTCTTCTTCTTGTTCCTCAACCATGAAATTCAGCAGTCGTCTCAAGTGACCCAAAGAAATTTAACAATATCCTTCAGCTCCTCAGAAGGCAACAATCTTAATGAGGAGCAGCAAGAATGGTTTTAAATGTGCATTTTTCATTTGTTTTTTCCACTCCAAAGATAAAGAACCACTCAAACCCAAAAATATGCTTAAATTAGCACACCAGGCTATCTAAGATCAAACTTGATGATCTACCTCTACTGCTGAAATTTGGTTGGCATTGCTGACCTCACTTTATTATAAAAATGAGTTTCAGAATAAGTTAGAAATGCAGATTTTATCAGCCTGCATCTTAAATTTAAATCCTCTGGCCACACCACCTCATTCTCCTCTCAGCATCAAGCCACACGTTCCTTGCCCTCGGGATGGGGATGCAGCAGCCAAGAGCAGGTGGATGGAGGAGGGCTGAGGGGAAGGGCTGAACACACAATTCCCCGTTTTCCCCAAAAATATCCACTTTTAGGGACAGGGAGTTTGGGATGAAGCACCACAAGTTCCAAAGATGGTGGGAGGTGGATGCTGGGGAGAGAAGAGGAAAAGCGACCTGGGGAAACCTTCACAACAACTGATCCCTGTATCCATCCCATAAAAATCCCTCAATCCCATCCTCTTCAAAACATTGTGCAAATAAGAGATATTTTACACCCCAAACCACACAAATGAAATTCCACACTCAAAGCCCCAAAATCAGTGCCAGGTAAATTCTAGTTGTCTACTGATCTGCAAGGTGAAACTGCATTTCTTAGTATATCTGGAAAACTTGGGAAAAATAAGACTTTTAGAAAAATTCCTGGTTCTACACGCTGATGTGAAAAATAAGAATAAAACAGAATAAAAAAGAATCCTCAGCAGGTCTTCACGTGGAACATGCCAATGTCACAAAAAGCAAGATGGGTCCCATTGGTTCACTGGCCATCCCTGCTCCTCTCTGGGAAAAAGGAGCCAATTTTCAAGGAGAGGGATGGACTGAAAGGTTATCCTGGCAAAATGAGTGGGAATGGCTGGAAAGCAGCAGCCTGGAGAGGCAGGGAGCTGCTGATGGGGCAGGAGATGAGCAAAACAGAGGGAAAAAACATGGGAGATCGCATGGAGAAAGGAGAGATTTCTGCCCTCCAAATAAAGACAAAATAAGGGCTAAAATCTGCACTGTGGGGCTGAGCAAGGGGAAAGGAGCTCCTGAGTCCTGCAAAAACCTGATGGGGTGATGTCTGGACAAAGTGGTGACCTAATTTAAGATAAAAAAAGCCACGAATGCTCACAAGGAGCAGAATCTGGTTCTTCATTAACCTTTCCTTGCAACTCCTCGTGATATTCGACCCCTCCTCTTAATTTTACTTATTTCTCCAACAAGGTTCAGAATGTTATTTATCTAGGGAAGAGGCCTGGAATGAGCATGAGTTGCCTCATGTTTGTAAAGTGCCTTGAAGGTGAAAAACGCATCAGAAGGACTAATTACAATCACGGTAATGAGGGATCATGTCTGCAGGAAATTACAAGGCAGCCTGAACGCTCTGCAACGCGATTTTTGCAAATGGAAGGATCTGAATGTTTTTATCCATATTATGGATCTAATCTAGCATGATGATACAGAGCATGTTTTTATTTTTAAACAAAAATTAACATGAATTTAAGAGTAAAGGCACAGTTGCAGAAGAAGGGGGACATTTTCACATACCAAGATGAGTTCATTTTGATTCAGAAGGGCAATACAGCTCCAATGATGATACAGAGCATGTTTTTATTTTTAAACAAAAATTAACATGAATTTAAGAGTAAAGGCACAGTTGCAGAAGAAGGGGGACATTTTCACACACCAAGATGAGTTAATTGATTCAGAAGGGCAATACAGCTCCAGTTTATAGAACTGAACTAATATTCGGGTGTTTGTTAAGTCAGCAAGTGAAAGCTTTCAAAATCACTTAACCTTCCCTCATTTTGAGTGCCATTTTCTTCTGAACTTCAGTCATCCATAACTTGTGCATATTTTCATTTCAAAGACAACGGTGTGACCATCACTTCCCTTGTCCTGCTTCCCTGCTTGTGTGCTCCAGATTTAACCAGTCCCTCTCCAAAATGAGACTGGAAATAAACTGAAGCCTAAATAATTTTTGATTTGCATCAACACTGTAAACAAACTCCTTTGGTTCTTCCCACTGACTCCTGCATGAGCAGAGATGTTCCCAAACCATGTCTGGGAATGCAAAAGGTGGGTGGGTTAAGATGGGATATTGGGAAGAAATCCATCCCTGTGAGGGTGGGCAGGCCCTGGCACAGGGCGCCCAGAGCAGCTGGGGCTGCCCCTGGATCCCTGGCAGTGTCCCAGGCCAGGCTGGAGGAACCTGGGGGAGCTGACAGATGTCCTTGCTTGTGATGGGGTGGGACCAGGTGACCTTTAAAGGCCCTTCCCAACCCAAACCAGTGATTCTGAAAGCAGACACTCTCTGCCTACACATCACTGCCTATAGGTACCACAGCACTGTGCTGATTAAATAACAACTTCAGCAGAATTAAATCTCCTTTGATTTTTTTTATTCACCTTCCCACCCCTGTCTGTCAGCACCATAAACACACCGGAGCAGAGGCTGCTTCCACTGCACCTCCTCTAGCCTGAACAAAGCCTTTAGATGTTACTGAATATTAATACTAATAATGGATTCTGTAAATGTTCCAGAGCCTGAAAAATGAATCCTCAAATTAAATGTGATCCAGATTTAGTTCATGTACAACAGACAATAATCACATAATCCTTGCGTTCTTCCTAGCAAGGAAGTAGAGATGAACAGGAGAAAACCAGACCATGGAATCACACCAGAATGATCTGGGTTAAACATAATCTCATTCCACCCCTGCCATGGGCAGGGACACCTTCCCCTGTCCCAGGTGCTCCAGCCCCAGTGTCCAGCCTGGCCTTGGGCACTGCCAGGGATCCAGGGGCAGCCCCAGCTGCTCTGGGCACCCTGTGCCAGGGCTGCCCACCCTCACAGGGAACAATTCCTGCCCAATATCACATCTAAATCTACCCCTGTTCAGCTTAAAGCCATTCCCTGTGTCCTGTCCCTCCATCCCTTGTCCCCAGTCCCTCTGCAGCTCTCCTGGAGCCCCTTCAGGCCCTGGAAGGGCTCTGAGCTCCCCCTGGAGCTGGCTCCTCTCCAGGTTAAACAATCCCAGCCCTCCCAGCAGACCAGTTTCAATTAGAACATTTTTTTTCTGGCTTAAATTACTGGAATTCCTTTAAAGTTTCTCTAAAAGTCAGTTTACAAGTTCTCCTGCTGATACGGTGTCACATTATCTTTAATGGAACACCTTCAGGAGTGTACTGAAAATCTATCGTACTGCAAGTACACAGTAAAAAAGGGAGAAAGGGGAAAAGATTCCATTTTTCCAGTCTAACTTTGTCCCTCTCCAGCCAAGACATCTGTCTAAGAAAAAAGCACCCATGTTTTGTTTCTACTGCCTCTTAAAAACCTCACTGTGCCCCAGCATCTCTGTTTGGAATTCCCAACAGTCCAGTTGTTCCTTCAGAGGAACAAAGAGAACTTGGATTATTATTATATTTAATTTCTTGAGTGGAGAGAGCCCTGAACTCCAGAGGCACAGGAGTCCATAGAATCACTAAGGTTGGAAAAGACTTCTGAGATCATCAACCCTTACCACGTTAAACAACAAATCCTGTCCTCAGGTGTCAAATCCATACATTTTTTGAGCAATTTTAGGAATGGGGACTGCACCACTGCCCTGGGCAGGCTGTCCCTCTGTCTGTCAACCATGAAGAAACTTTTCCTAACATCCAACCTAAACTTTCCCTGGTGCAACCTGAGGCTATCTCCTGAACTACCCGGCTGTTCCCTTGTGCAGCTCAACCACAACACCTCCAACATCACAGAAAACCAACTTAAAACTGGAGATTTTCCCACCATTTTCAAAGAAACAGGGACCGTGTGTGTCACATCCCCTGCACAACCCTCTGCAAAATTCAGCTGTTTGCTCCAGAGCCAATTTATTCAGGTGAGGACAGCACGGCTGTGGCCCAGGATCCTGATAAATGAAATCTATATTCTTGAAGGTCAATAACTCCCAATCTGCTGCCTCGCAGATTTCCTGCCTTGGAAGCTTTCCCAGCTTTGCCCAGGACATGGCAAGCCTTCTGGAGAAATGAGTTGTACAGGGAGCTCCTACACAGGATTTGTATGAGGTACAACTCATTAATGGGAGAAACAATTTATCTGGAGAGGGTACCAGGGAGAGAGGCTGCTGATACTGGGAGGAAAACACTTCTTTTGTACTCAGGGGGTAAGAAAAATGTGCAGAGCCTAAATTCAGTCGTGTGGACACGAGCTGCAAATTGTTACGGGCAAGACTTTGCAGATTCAGGAGATCTGTTTTAGGGAAAAACCAGAGATTTAATTTATTTTTCAAGCTGGATTGCTTGTTGGCCAGAAAGAACTACAGCATTCAATTTAGTTTTTGAGGTTAATAGCAGCAAAGGAGGATCTCAGGGTATTTCTGGGCTCCTGCAGAGTTAATGGTCAGGAGCAGTGAAATAGTCTGGCATAAGAATATTATGGTGCCATGTTCTGATGTGTGAGGGACTTTCTAAGCTGGTTAAATTTCAGGTAGTGTTAATTAACCAGCATGAAGGCTTAATATTTTAAATAAAATGCTAAAACTCAGCACTTCTCTATTGTTAGCACTGCATTCAAGATAGAGCCAGGTTGGAAACTCTTTAAATAAATAAATAAATAAATATATTCATTTGGAACATGGTCAGACTCTGCATCCTCCCTCTCCCCAGTCTCTCTGTCCTTCCCAGCTCTCAGGACGGCTCCGGGGCTGAGCTGGCCACGAGCCTCACACAGATTTTTGGCAGACAGGTGAATTTCACCACTCACTTGTTAAGACGGAAGAAAAAGCCATTTGATGTCATCCCACGAGCCAGAAAAAAGGCCTTTTAAGCCAAAGCATGGCATTTGCTGTATAATTTCAGATATTTTCTGTTCTGTGGCTGCTGTAAAGCAGTAAAAGCTTTTTTTTTTGGAGGAGGAGGGGAGAAAGGAGGAGCAGAAATAAATGAGCAGTGTGCATTTGTTTAGTTTTTTTTCTCCTCAGGACCAGCACTTTCAATTTGTGGAAGAGCAGAGGCAAACCTGTCCTGATTTATGAGCAGCAGCAAACCTGAGCCTGTGGCTGCTCCCACATTTCAGCAGGCAGGAACAGGAATGCTGCTGCTTCCCTTGTGGCTCCACAAACAAACCTGGTTTAAAGCAACACTTTATTGCATTCCCTGGATTCAGGAGCTCATCAGCATTGATTTCCATCAGCTCCTTCCCACAGGAAAAATGCCACCCCTTTCCCCATTCCTTTAGTCCCATCACTATTTCCCTTCTCACCTTGGGACATTCTAACCCAAGAATTTCCAGCAAAGTCCCTGCATTAAGGGCTTTGCTGGAAATCACAAAGCTTCAGGGAAACACAGAGAGAGCAAACACTTGAGAGCAGTTCAAAGGATGGGTCGGACTGCTGGGATAAGCCTGAGGATCAGGATTTTAAGGGCAAAAGCCAAGAGAGATGGAGAGGAGACTGCAAAGTGCAGTGCAGTGTAGAAGCATGATCTAGGAGAGAAAAGGATCCCTATGCCAGGGAAACAACTTTCCTTTTGCAAAGAAGGAGCTTAGTAAAGGAATGAAGGGCATAACTAACCAGGAATCTAATCCATAAAGTAGAACAGCTGCAAAATGCAAAAGTTGTTTCTGAGAAATGCTCCTTCCCTAAAGGTGAAAGTTGCACTTCAGCTTTATAAAAGGTTGGTTAAAGGACCAAAAGTCAAATACAAGTAAAAAAACAAACTTCCTAAGAATAACAGATTAAAAACAGAAATCAAAATGAGGAACCCTGAATGGATCTTGAACTGCAAGTACCAGGGATACCCCGGTGAGGGCCAGGATTTTGTTTCAGCCCACATGAGGTGCAACATTCCTGCCTCCAGGGCAAGTCCACGCTCCCTTTTCCTCACTTACAAATTTCTCAGGCACTTCTGGGCCAGAAGTGAAGTGCTCACTCCATTCCAGCCTGTGTGTGGAGGATTAAATCTAAATTCACCTGCCCATGAATGCCAATATTTAAGGGATAAGCCTCATGGTTGGCTTTCAATAGACAAGAAAACTGCCAAGACCCCCGGGAAATTACTCTGCCACATGAAAGGGATCCTGATTTTTGAGAGGCTGAACTACACCAGCCTTTAAAAAACAAAAAGCCAATGTTTTAGACACAATTTTAGGAAATCCCTCTGCTCCATTTCCTCTACACAATGTTTCTTAGTCCCACATCTCCCTCCCTTCCCAAAGCCACAGCTTGCCATCAGGGGTGGGAGAGGCACAGGCTCACAGATTGAAAACAAAACGAAAGGGATCCTGATTTTTGAGAGGCTGAACTACACCAGCCTTTAAAAAACAAAAAGCCAATGTTTTAGACACAATTTTAGGAAATCCCTCTGCTCCATTTCCTCTGCACAATGTTTCTTAGTCCCACATCTCCCTCCCTCCCTTCCCAAATTCACAGCTTTCCATCAGGCAGGTTGGGGTGGGAGAGGCACAGGCTCACAAGTGGAAAACAAAACTCCTGAGCTTCTGGAAAAGCCTGGAAGTGCCTCCACAGCTGCCCAGTGCTGGTGACCTCCTTCTGACACCTCTTGTTAACTCAGTGGGAAGGGAAATCAAACAAGGGGGATCTGGAGTGAGCTGCAGGGACCCAGCTGGGTGATAGTGGCACAAAAAAAGCAAGAACTGGTTTGGGCATGGGTTCAGTGTCCCAGAAATGCACAGCAAAGGCTGCTTCAGGTGTGTTACTGATCATGGAGAGCTACAGCAGCTGCTGGGCTACATTTGCAAACTGCTCAAGGAATGCAAGAAGTTGATTTAATTTAATGTCAGAACATCCCAAATGAGAGGATTACCTTCCATCTACACTGGAAACCTCCACTTGGAGCTTCCTGACATTTGCGAAATCACACAAGATGAATATTCTCAGTGTATATTGATTTTTTAATTTCCCTTTTCATGGAGTAATGTGAAAAAATATCACCAGCTTGAGTGACCAGAAAATGAGAGGAGGAATATCTGTAAGTAGGAGAGAGCAGTTTGGAAATAAATCATCTCCTCACACACACAAAAATCACACAGGAGTCCTGGCACTCGAGTTCTGCACAGAACTGGTGCTCAGCAGAACAATTCCCAGTGCCTGGACACCAGAAATGACCAACAGAAAGCCATAAAGACAAACACAATAAAACTAACAAAATAAAATAAAACCAAATAAAAACAACAAAATAAAAACAGGCAACTCCTGGTTTTACTTCCAGACAGGAATGTAAGATTAAAACAAGCTTTAAAATAATCTGTGGCCCTCATTCAAATGAGGTTCTTCTCATTCACCCAAAAAAAGCTTTTTGGACAGAAGGAACTGTCACCAAGTCACCTCCAGCAGCCCCAGCCCCAAACAGCCACTTGTGCACCACTCCAGAATTATAATTTTTACAACTTTTATCCCAGCCTAGAATTACAATTTTTACCACAATCCAGAATGACAACTTTTAGCATCACTCATTAACAACTTTTAAGTATTGCATTAAAATAAGCTATAAAATTTCACTTTTTAAGCAACATTTCTGAAGAAATTCTAGAAATGAGAGTCCCTATCACATTTATCCTAGGATTTTAATCTGAATCTGCTAGAAACTCACCTGGAAAAGATGGGCTGGCTGGATAATATTCTAATTCTACCAGAAAACACCACTTCTGTTCACTTTTAAACCCCAAGTTTACACTTCTGAACTGTTCTGACACAGAGATTCCTACTTCTATACTGGAATATTTCGTGCCTGAAATATCCAAACACTGATCCATCCCTGCCTCCCACATTAACCCCCTTCCTCTCCAACACCAAGCAATGCCAAATGCAATTTCCTTCTGCATTAAAAGATGCAATTGCAATGAAATACCCTCATCCCAGGATATTTATGATATCAACCACAGACATCCAGGCCCTGAGGGAATTAGTTTTGTGTACATGAGGAAAAACAAGGGGAGCTGAAGGATTCTCTCAGCTCTTGTAACTGCCAGAGAAAGTCCTCCAAATTACATGCATCACTTTTTTATTTACTCCATGGCATCATATGCCCATATATTTACCCTTAAGAGATGAGTTATAAATGTACCATTGATTTCTTTTGACTTTTTTTTTGTAATATCATTATCTGTAAGTGCTTCCTGAAGGTCACTGGATGCAAACTATGTTTACTATTAAATTTATAAGTTTGAGAGAAAAGCAATGAAATACATTTGCAGTTTTTTTCTTCCCTTTTTACCTTGCCCTTGTCAAAGTAATGGATAATTTCTTGATAGAGCTGATCTTTCAGCTGTCCTTGAGTAGCAGCTTGGTATCCATCCCGCTGGGTAAGATGTGCTGCACATGCTTCTTCTGACCACTAAATCATAAAAAAAAGGGGAAAAGTGAAAGCAAATCCAAAGCTATGAGATCTGAAGTGAAATAAAAGAGAGGGGTTTTATTTAAAGGAGTGGTACTGCAGTTAATGCACCAACAAAGGGTTTTTTCACAGCTGTGCCCTTTGCTTCCTTGGGCACAAGGAACATTTATTTGGATGCTGTAATTGGAGGCTAATTACATCCATCAGCTGGAAGGGAGCTTCTGGAGGTGGCTTCCTCTCCTCAGTGAGTTTGATGAGGGTGACCTTGGCCTGCTGGGGACACAATGAACACTTCACTTTGTGTGGGAGAAACCCTGGAGCCCAGATCCACCAACACAAAGGTGATGCCTCAGGTTTAGCTTTTCTATTTTTCACACTCACATCATTGGGAAGGGCTGCAGGCAGGGAAATGAGATGGCTCCAACTCACTGAGGATCTCTGGAGGTAGGGAAAGCATAATTAACTTTATCCAGCCTGTCTGCAATTAGCAGCCCTGGCTTTTCCAGAAAATGCCTGATGGATGAAGGGAAAGGTATCAATCATAGGAATCATGGAATGGTTTGGGTTGGAGGGGAGCCTAAAGCTCATCCCATCCCATCCCATCCCATCCCATCCCATCCCATCCCACCTCTGCCATGGGCAGGGACACCTTCCACTGTCCCAGGCAACTCTAACCTGGCCTTGGACACTCACAGGGATCCAGGGGCAGCCACAGGTTCTCTGAGCAGCTCCCAGATTCACTTGCAGAATTACTGATACTTTTCCTACTATATATTATTAAATTTCACCCAATCACTTCTTGATTTGGCCAAAATTTTTGTTTGGGTCATGCAGACACCTCTGACAGCTCTGTTCTGAACTCTGTTTCTGATCAACACAACCCTGCTGAAGCCTGCAATGTGATAGAATTCTTTTCAGCATGCTAACAGCTGCTATCTTCTGTTAGTTTTGAACACGTCAATTTTGAGAAAGAAGGTTGAAAACACAACAAAAGTCTCTTTCCTTGAGCGTGCTTCATCAGCTTGCAGTAATTTGGCCTCTCTCCCTTCACAGACAGAGCCTTCTTGCAGATTTAAAGGTGAAATTCTCACCCACTCTCAGTCTTGCCCTCGATGTGATCCCATTAAAATCACTGGGATGAAGTATCTGCCCGTGATGAGTGTCATTGAAAATCCTGTCCTGAGGCTTGACAGAAAAACTCAATTGCTCAGTTACACACCCCCAGTACTGCTGCTCCTCAGGCAGCACTGAACTCCTCCCTCCACGAAGGGCTGCAGGGGCAGGGACTGAGGTACAGACTGACACACTTGGATAATAAAGTAATTCCAGCCTCTAATGAAATTATACTTACAAACAAACATCCACTCAGGGATGAAAACCTGTGACGAATTCTTCCCTGGCATTTACCATTGATTTGCATTAGAGGGAAAGTAAAATTGGTATTTCTTCCCATGGAGTTTTTCCACTGAATTCAAAGGAGCACATTAAGAGAGACACTCACCTGCTCTCTGAACACATCCCCCAAGAAAAGCCACAACTGGCTAAACTGCAATTTCAGGTCAGAGGAAGTAAATTGTCTAACAAGTCCAAGCCATGCCAGGTGAAGTTTGAGTGAGGTTTTATGGCATGGTTTATTCCATCATTTATTCAGGAACACAGCCCCCATGGAAGGGAATTAATCCTTCATCCTGTCTAAAAGGTTCATCCATGTGAAGTGGGCACAGTGCTTTTGCACTCCAGATGAATCTTAGAGATGTTTCCTTGTGTAATAACCCTCTAATGATTTTAAAATACAGTAAATACATTTCAGAGTGTCTTAATTTAAATTGCACATGTACACTCTGCATCACATTTAATCTTTTTATGGCTTGGATGCAGTTTACTCAGCTCTGAAGAACGAATAATTCTCAGTGCATCCATCAGAAGGATCTCATTTAACACCTTCCCCTTTTCAACTTTTCAAAATAGATATTTGACACTCACACTTTGCTGGGGACTGCTGAAATTAAAGGCAGGATTGCCAAGAACAGTTGGCTGCTGAGCATGAGCTGCATTTCCTGGATGAAGAGGGGCACCATGAGCACAGCAGGGTGCAATCACTCAGTCCCAGGCTGCTCTGGGTGGGAAGGGACCTTAAAGCCCATCTGGTTCCACCCCTGCCACGGGAAGGGAAACCTTCCCTGGACCAGGAGGCTGCAATACACTGGAATGAGCAGGAGATCAAGGGAAAAAATGAAATTCTCATTGATTCTGTCCCTGACTCACTGCCCCCAGTGGGGGTCATGTCCTTGATGGGGGTGGAAAGAGATCCAGCACTCCCTGAGGAAGAAAGATTTCACTGTAGGTTGTGAGATGTGAGGAAGACAAACAGGACTAAATCAAACTCTTCCAAAACCCCTAACTCTTATCACATTGAGATTTTTACTTTTCCCATTAACAGCTTTTCAAAATTAAAACATAAACCCAGGAATTCAGTGATGATTCAGCTGTATTAAATGTAATTTCATGACACAAGTGTCTGCTGGCAAGAGCAGCACCTTCCTAAGTGATAACCAGGAGAGCAAAGTGGGTACCTGCTCCCACATTTGTGACATCAGCATGTTAGAGACAAAATCTACTCTCCAGAATGTTTTCAGGAGATTAATGCTTCTGAAGCACAGCTTCACTCCATTTCTGGCTGGCAGTGGGTAGTGTTAAACACTCAAATGCTTTATTTCAGGCACTTTCTGCAGGTAACATGTTATTTGTGCATATTGCAGGCTACACCACACATTCCTTGAAGAGGAGCAATATTGTTGTGCCTCTTCAAATGTGCTATAAACTGGGTAACACTGCATTCAAATTATATGCACCTTTTAAAGGCATGACCTTGGAAAGAAGGCTATTTGATTCTCTCTGCAATTTTCTGAAATCAGTTACAGACACCCAAGAGCACTCGAGCAGGGGCTCCAGCACTCCTTGCACAAAAGATCTGTGGAGAGCTCATTTACTAAAATATCTGCTTAGAGGCTTTCACATATTGTACAGTCTGGATATTTGCAATTTGGGTTTTGTGGTGCTGACTTGACCACATTCCCTTCACTCCAGTTCCAGATCCACCTCTGCCACCCAGTGCTTTCCTCTGGGGATGAATTCCACGTGCAAAAGAGAACCCAGAGCAGTTCATCAGCTCCAAGTGCAGATGTTCTGAGTGCCAAACACCGCCCTGGCTGGCTGCTGCTGGCATTTCCCATTGTTAGGATGTGTTTTGGGGTTTACCTTGAGGAGCTTTGCGTGCAGGAGTAAGGTGTAGGCAGCCTCTGTGTAGTTGTCACACTCCTTGTGCAGGTCACACAGCTTGTACAGGTACCTGCCAGCAACAGAAACAATGGCTCTTAAAAAGAGTGGGTTTAAGATGTCACTCAGTCATTTATTTTGGAGATTACAAGGGTTCAAGTCTATCTTCAAACAAGTAAGTATTTGTGGGATTGGTTAAAGTTCCCATTTCTGTGTGCAGACAACATTTAGAATCATTTGCATTTCCACTGTGCTGTTTTTAAGGGACCCTCAGGGAATCATGGGGTCATTGAGGTTGGAAAAGTCCTCCAAGATCATTGAGTTTAATCTTTGACTGAACATCAAGAGAATGACCTGTGGTGAGTAATAAATCCAATCCAGATTTCGAGCAAGACAGAGCACTTTTACAGTTCAGCTATGGGGACAGGAGTAAATTTCATTATTTACCTTCAATAGCATCACACCTCACTCAATTCTCTTAATCTGTTTGATGATTTTTACACTGACAAATTAAAAAATCCCCACAAAACTATTAAAAATTGTATTTTGAAAAAGCCAGAGAAAATCCTTTCAAGTTTGATATTCGTTACAAGCTTGTTAACAGAAATTGGAGATAATTTGGCTGGGGGTTTGGCAGTGAGAGACAATTTGTCTTGATAGAGATGCTGAACAGGGCAGACCTAAATAATAAGAAATCACTTCATGTGTTTGTCCACAATTATCAATCCTGCCATTTCCTGTTCTTTTTGCAAACTTCTAAAAGACCAATTAAAACCATTTAAACAACAGGAAGAGACTTGACAAGTGAAAACTCTTCCACAAAGATAACAAGCACCTGAGAATGAATAATGAGTCACATTTAGATACCTAAAATAGCAGTACAAACACAAAGCTCATCATTTTAACACATCAGTGTAAGCAACAGTCAGCCAAAGCACAAATGGGGGGCAGTGAACCTTGAGGTTTACAGAAAGCACAATATTTTCATGTTTACTTGGTCTGAAAAGACATTTTGAAAGCTTTAAGTTTAAAATAAGTATCAGTCAGGCATTATTTAACAAATTTTTTTTATTCCAAGTCACATATTTTGTACCTCACTAGGAGGCAACATCATTTCTTGCTCAGCTTATTTGTTTTCTTCACCAGCAGAATTCTGGCTCCTGAGTATTTCAGTGCTCATTGTAATGGAACTGAAGGACATGGAGAAAGGGGACAGAGATAATCTCCTGACTTTCACTTCCAGCACTCTGTTCTCAGTGCAGATAAGCTTTTGAATTACTTCAGGTTCAGCCAAGGTGTGATTTTTCATTACTCCTCTCTTCCAGCCCCCAAGTGACTGCTTAATATGAACTTAATTTCCCCAATTACAGAGCCTGTGTCAGGCAGTTGGTCACCAGTCATGTTTACAAACCTTATGTACATCTCTTCCCTCTCGATCTCCTTGTAGAAATTCTGAAAAACAACATAATTTGGTTACAAAGTCTTTGATTTCACACTTTGCAATGTACACAGAACACGCTCCAAATTAAAAATTCATAATTGCGTAACGTCAACCTCCAAACTGCAAAATGAAATTTGCCTCCAGTGATGGAACACAAGTTATTTAACTCAGAAAATCAAATGCTGGGATGTTTCATGTTGCAATGTTTTAGGGCTGCTGTCTCACTGCAAAGGTTAAGAATTTGCAAGAACAATACTGCTAGAAATTTGCTGCTGGCATTTGCAAGTCACACATCATTAACCATTTTCAGCTGAAAATTTTCTAACATACAACAAAACCGAAATTTTAATGCAACAGTTGTTCTGTGGATTGAAAACTCTGAACCTTAGTCCAGCAATACAACATCTGCTCTTGAATTCTATCAGTTTCCTTGGAAATACAGAGTTAGATTAGTGTTATTTGTCTGGTTTCATATGTCACACATTAGCATCACTCTCCTCTGAGTGCCTCCAGCCTTGAGATAAACTGGTTAACAGTGCAAATATTGTAAATGCAAAATATGATAACTGGGGGAGAGATTCAAGACATTTCTGAACCTAATTTTAAGTTTGCCTCCAAAATTTAAAATGTATCTAAGAAAACAAAATACCAAGAAAGTCCTTCTTCAATGAATTAAATATATTTCAATGCTAAATAAAAGAAGTTTGAGGAGGCACTAAAAGAGCACAAACCCAGTACTAAAAGAGGGACAAATCCAATACAAAAGTGATCTTTTAAAAGAGAACTGGAATGGATAACAGAATTCACATTTCACAGAGGAATGCACAAACCCAGTACTAAAAGAGGGACAAATCCAATACAAAAGTGATCTTTTAAAAGAGAACTGGAATGGATAACGAATCCACATGTCACAGAGGAACGATGGGTTATTCCAGGGGTATTTCAGTTGCTAAAGCTGCCTATTACTTTTGGCTTCAATTCAGAAAACAAACTGCCAAGGCCACCACTGCCCCATGTCCCCAAATGCCACATCCACATGGATTTTAAATCCCTCCAGGGATGGGAACACTCCAGGACTGTCTGGGCAGCTGTGCCAGGCCTGGACAAACCCTTCCATGAGGAAATTGTTCCCAGTATCCACCCTGAGCTACCGTGGCCCAGCCTGAGGCCGTTCCCTCTCTCCTGTCCCTGTTCCCTGGAGCACAGCCCGACCCCCCGGCTGTCCCCTCCTGGCAGGAGCTGTGCAGAGCCACAAGGGCCCCTGAGCCTCCTTTGCCCAGGCTCAGCCCCTTCCCAGCTCCCTCAGCCCCTCCTGGGGCTCCAGAGCCTTCCCCAGCAGCACAGGCATAAATGCAGATCAAACCCTCCCAGTTAAACCACCGTCAGTGCAGATAAATTGAATCCCAGGAAAAGCTCGGGATCAGCCAAGTCCCAATTAGGAACTCTTTGAGACCTCAGGTGGGAATTGTGCCGGGTTTCAGCCGTGGGTAGGATTTTTGCAAAGGCATGAATTTCACTTCAGGTACCTGGAGAATGATGAAAAGGCTGAGTGGGCCCTGGAGGGGAAACGGGAGTGTAAAATCAAGGTAAGGTTTGAAATCATGGTGACCGAAAGTGACGGAAAATTCCGCCCTGCGCCGCTTCCCGGGGATTCCAGCGGCTGCAGCAGGCCTGTGCTTGGTGTCTCACTGTGATTGCACCTGACAGCAGCAAATCACCCACGAAATCTATCATCTGCAAATTCAGCTGCCCAGAACCAGCATCAGGAGATGCTGTTGGGAGACACCTGCAAAGAACAAACCCCCAAGGGTTCCTCAGCTTCCCCACGGGGATGGCGAAATTCCTGGGAGGAGGCTCCGAGTGCTCTGATGAAGGGAAGGAGAAACAATTTCACCTTCCCAAGGGAATGTTCCCAGTTTGACACAGTGTGTGGTGACTGTGTTGTGTTGTTTCCCATCCTGCTTGGAGACCTGGCAGGATTTCCCACCAGGGTTCTGCTCAGGAGGACGCTGTGACCTTTCTGCAGGCAGCCCAACAGCACTTGCTGCATCACCAGCCTGTGACAACTCTCCAAGTCCCTCCTCTTTGCCCATTTCCCAAACATTCTGATGCTTTCTGATGTGCAGAGAGGAAAAACAAACTAAAAATAAGTGCCCAGTTTTGGATTTGATGCCTCCATCTCCTCTCCTGCTCCAGTGGGCACCGTTTGGTTCACGGCTGATGAGATGGAGCAGTGTAAATGTTGCACTGCACGAGGCCAGGACTGCATTAGATACAAAATAAAAAAGCTAAAAACTACATTATATGCAAATATAAAAGAAGTTGTGAACTATTTACTCTGCTCTTTCCTGAACAAAGTCCATCAGCCAGATCACATAAATGATAAACACTGGCTGTGCCTCATGTATTCGTGCAAAATCAAAGCTTTGATTATGATATGGGGAGCAAAGCTTGGAATTCTCAGTGGCAAACAGTGGAAATAGCAAATTTAGTTCACGTTATTTTGGGGGTCTCTGAAAGTTATCATTCATGGGTGCTGATTTTTGGGTTGTAAAATCTCATTTTCTGAATCTCCACCAAAGACCATGATGTGTGTGAGTACAACTGGAACAATTATTGCTTCCCACTCCAGCCCAAACAGATCAAGATTTGTGTATGGGGTGGACACTCCAAAATGTCAGGGTCTAAGAGGAGGAAATTTCCCATCAGTGAGGAAAACAAGCCAAGCTTTTCCTGCTGTGAATCAAACAGTACCTCCAATTCCTTCAAATAATTTGAATAAAGGGGCTGAGCAGAGAGCAGAATATAAATGAGATTGCAAATCCACAGAAATTTTGAGAGTAAATGGCAGAGAACTCCGACATTCTGTATGTCAAGTGGTTTTCAGCACAGAGTTGTTTATACATCAATTGGAAATGTCAATGAACAGGCCCTCTAACATTTCTCCTTAAATCTTTCTGTACAAACAATTAAAGAAGGGATAGTCCATGTTTTCACAGATTTGCCTTCACCAAAATAGGAAAAAAATAGGACAAAAACCTAAAGCATTCCAAATTTCCCCAAGAATCCCAACAGACACTCTGCTTGACACAAGCCCTCTGTTAAAGATGAAGGATCCTGAGGGTAATGGGGCTTTGGGTGATTTTGTGGTGATTTTGTAGTAGTTTTATGGTGGTTTTGTGATGACTTTTGGGTGATTTTATGATGATTTTGTATTGATTTTGTGGGGATTGTTGGCGGTTTTGTGGTAGTTTAGTGGTGGTTTTTTGGGTGGTGTGGTGGCGGTTTTGTGATGATTTTTGGGTGATTTTATGATGATTTTGTATTGATTTGTGGGGCTTGTTGGTGGTTTTGTGGTAGTTTAGTGGTGGTTTTTGGGTGGTGTGGTGGTTGTGGTGATTTTTGGTGGTTTTGTGGTAGTTTTGTGATGGTTTTAGGGTCATTTGGTGGTGATTACGTGGTGATTTTTGGCAATTTTGTGATGATTTTGTGGGGCCTTCACGGTGATTTTTGGTGATTTTGTGGTGACTTTTGGCAATTTTGTGATGATTTTCTGGGACTTCATGGTGATTTTTGGTGATTTTGTGGTGACTTTTGGGTGATTTTGTGGTGATTCTTTGGGTGATTTTGTGGTGATCTTGTGGTGATTTCGCAGTGGTTTTGTGGTGGTTTTGTCACGATTGTGCAGTGATTTGTGGTGATTCTGTACTGGTTTCATAGCAAATTTGTGGCAATTTTGCAGTGATTCGTGGTGATTTTATGGTGATTTGTGGTGGTTTTGCAGTGATTTGTGGTGATTTTATGGTGATTTGTGGTGGTTTTGCAGTGATTTGTGGTGATTTTATGGTGATTTGTGGTGGTTTTGCAGTGATTTTTCTGCTTACCAGCACGTTGACAGTGCAGCTCATGCGGTTCTCCTTGTTCTCATCGTGCATGATGGTCCTGTAGTCCAGCAGCCTCTCCATCAGCCTCACCACCAGCTTCACAAAGGTCTCCCCACTCTTGGCCAGGTATTTGTGCTTCCTGCAGTGCTCCAAGAGACTGAAAAACCAATTAAGTTCGCCTTGTTAATCACACGCAGAGAAAAACCTTGACTCAGGTGCAGTTTTAAATATTGCGCATCGTTAACAGATTTTAATTATTTCTGGGCTACAAAGTTCATTGTAGTCTAATTGCTCTCTCTCCTGACTTCTCCGTGACATAAATTCTGCTGCTGATCAACACTTACATTTTGTCAAATAACACTTTGTACTGCTCATCTCCACGGCCTCCTTCCACTTCGTGATCCAGTTTGGTGATGATCTCGTTTTCGAACTGTAATTAAACAAAGCAAGCGTAAATAATCAGCTGGCAAATATTTCACTTTATTACTGTAGCCTCAATGCCTCACAGATTGGTTGGGTGCCTCGATGAGATGTTTAGCCCCTGGTTTAAAGCCTGATTGACTTTTAAAGTTTGCAGTCTCTGGTTTTTTTAGACTCTCCACGATGATCTCCTGCCCTACAAGGACTTCTTTGGTTAAAGGAATCATTGGTCGTGCTGTTAAATGAAGTGTAAATATTTGCATTATGGAAAACGAAAGAAGGAGATTAATGACAGGAATTGAGGGCAGGGAGAAAGGAGACACAGAATGTCCCCAGCAGCAGAACTAAACACAGAAATGCTGGAAGCTCTCAGAGAAGAAAGGCAACACCTGAGGCTGGATAACCCTGCTGGGTGCACCCCCAGCATCCCTGACACCCCTTTTTAGCACACAGACATTGACTGCAGGACACACCCTGAGCAAGATGTTAATAAACCCTGCAGAAGGGAAGGGAGTAGTTTCAAAAACACTCCAGAATAATTTTATTGGGCAGTATTAAAAGGATTTAAGCTTAAGTGGCCAACAGAACGTGTTTTAAATGCAAGCTGGGTAATGTCATGGATTTTTTATGATTACAGAGGGTTTTATCTCTTGTTGCTAGAATGGATGTGAACTGTTAGTGGAGGAAGGCTCACTCCAGGCCTGCTGCTCTGTCATGAATCAGTGAAGTCACTTAGTTCCTAATTCTTCATTAAATAAGCACAGACAAACACAGAGATCTCAGCAGGAGAGACTGGGTGAACTGGGAGCCCGTGGCAGGGGAATGGGAGCCCAGTGCTCCCAGTGGGAGTTGGGTGACAGAACACTTGTCACCAGGTTTTTTCACTGCTATTTCCTTAAGCCACCCCCAAGGATGCTGAGGAGAAGCAAAGGGCCCCTGCACAAGAACAAAGAGTACCGACACTTTGTAAATGTCAAGAGATGTACTTTGCATCTGCAGGTGATATTAACAGCACATAATGTACCCATGGAGAAAGAATGGATTGCCTGGATGATCAAATATTCTGGGTTGGAAGGGACCCACAAGGATCATCCAGTCCAGCTCCTGCACAGACACCCCAAAAACCCCACTGAGAGAATTGTCCAAACCCTCCTGGAGCTCTGGCAGCCTCGGGGCTGTGCCCATTCCCTGGGGAGCCTGGGCAGTGCCAGCACCCTCTGGGGATGAACCTTTCCTGATATCCAACCTAAACCTCCCCCTGACACAGCTCCAGCTGTTCCCTCAGGTCCTGCCCCTGGTCACAGTGAATACAATGAATCCATTATTACAATAATGACAGAAGATGAGAAAAGGCAGGATAATGCAATCCACCCCCTCCCACAGTACCAGAGTTGAGTAAAACACTGAAACAACACAATGATGAAACTGAGAAGTCACAAAAGTCCTGTTCCCTAATGAGCCAGAATAAAACTGACTTTGTAACCCAATGTGAAAAATGACACTTGCTGCCAGCCCCAGCCCTGCAGGTGATGTATTTTTTAGGAAGAGATTACTCAGATCAAGAAGAGCAATTACATTTGTCATGCAGGATCTCCAGGATCTTCCCACTATCAGTTTTACTTAAACCTCTGTAAATCCATGCTTTGTTGGGCCATTTCCCCTAACAGCCTCTTGGGCTGAACAGAGCCAGGATTGTGGCATTTTGGGGGTTTTAAGGATTATTAACAGTATCTTTGCTCTTCAGTCATTCCTGGTATTTCTCATGGAGCTGCTGTGGTGCTGATCATCTGAGCCAAATGAATAAATGTTATTTAACATCAGTTAAAATTCCTTCTGTGGTCTTTCCATGGAGGAAGCTTTTAGCAATACCAGCTGAGGTTTATGGAGCTTTGGAGGTTTATCACTCCCATGATGGGAGCAGCAATGTGCCCCTGGAGCTGCACAAGCCAGTGGCTCTGGGACATTGCACCTGGCATCTGTTGATAAACTCCATTTTTCCTTTTCTCTCTCTTTTTTCCCCCTAATGCACTGAGTTTTTATAAATGCATTACATTTAATTTAATGCATAAATAAGCCTGCAATTATTGTGATGGGATTTAGGCTCAAATGAAGAAGTGCCAAATCTCCAATGTTTCCATTAGAGCCAGTGCCACTTGCTGAGGCTCTTTCTGGAGGCTGAGGGGGAATATCTGCACCATCAGTGAGCTTCCTGTTGACACTGAAAGCTCGAGGGGTGATACCAGGATGATTACAGGACATTTTTATCCACTCTTCCTCTCCGCTGATCAAGATCTCAGCTTCTCTTTAGGATGAAAATTTGAACTTGAGCAAAGAACAATTCCAGTGCTTCCTCTGTCTGTGGCAATCTCCCACCTGGAGCAAATAAATCAGGGTGAGCCATCTCATGTCAACTCAAGTGATCACTTCTGGGCTTGGGTTTACCTCAAGGAAGGCTGAATTTGTAGCACTGGCTGACAAGTTAATTTTGCTGTAGATGAGGAGGACTTCCAGCCCTCCAAGCTGCTATAAATTCATTTTGATGTGGGCTAATAATAATTTGCCATATAAAATTCAAGTGACAGATCACACCACCAGAAATTAGTCCTAGTGCAGAAATGGCACCCAAGTACAGCAAACTTTGCTCAGAGGTTTCTGTGAAAGTTGGTGGCTGTTCCCAATGGTTTCATCCTTTCTCTTTCCTATTTTTCCACAGCATTCCAGCAGGGAAACAGATCTGGAGCCATTCAAAATTATGGGATCATCTTGGAGGCCACTGCATTACCTTTCTCCCTTGCTCCCCAGGTGGAGTCAGAGAGGATTATTGATATTTTTCAAAAGGCCAGAAGCCAAGAAAAACTTACACATTTATACTTCAACTGTAGGTAATTAAAAAATGTTACTTATTGAAACCAATCCTCTGTGGGAGATTAGTTATTTGGATTTGAATATTCAGTGGGATCACAGGAGCTGGGAGAGTCATTCATTTGTGTCCTGTCTGAAATCCACAGCACAGGGAAAGGAGGTTAACCCAGGGCTCAGAAGTGGCAAAAAACTTGAATAAGGAATTGTAGGTTCTGAAAGCCAAGAGAGATTCTGATAAACTAGGGGTAACTTCTGACTAGGGGGAATTAAATCCATCTGAAATTCACCAATAACCAGCACGTGAAAATCAAAATGCTGGTGTGACGGTTTGGTGATACTGAGATTTATTGTTAAATGTAAGAAATGGGCTCAACTCCAAACAAGCAGAACGTGGTGTCAGCAGTGACACAGGCCCAGAAAAGGTGAGTTAAAATTTAGGCTGGTAGGAAATGAGGAATAAAGCCACAGGTGGGAGCAACAGGCACCAACACCAGGAGCTTTCCATGCTCCAAATTCCACATTCCAGCTGCAGGCTTGTTTCACCTGAAGTTTTCCCTCCTGTTGGCACCACGGGATCCATCCCACTCACCTGAGCAGGCTCTGAACAATCAAACCAATTCTCTTTCATCACTCCTGTGGCTCTCACAAATTCCCTTTGATCCAGAGGCTCCGCTCCTGGAACTGGCCAAGGGAGAAGCCAAGGGGAGGAGGAGGAGTTTCCTGCCACAGGGAAGCTTCAGTCCCACACTGGTTTTGGGATGGGATTCCTGCTTTGAGCTACAGGCTACTTTGAAGTCTTATAAAGGCTTCAAAGCACCTTCAGAGGGAGAGGACAAAATGGGCAACTCCAGCTTTTAAATCAGTCGGCCTTAACATAGTTCTGACAAAACAAGGGGCATTTATCTTGTTGTGTCTCTAAATACACTGGGAGAAGAAAAAAAGCCTCTTCTGTCTGTTCCTGGTTTTACCAGGCAAACCCAAATCCTCCTGAAATGAAAACCACCACAGGGAAAGCTGCCTGTTTATCACACAAACCATCACAGCATCAGAGGCCTGCAAAAAACTGAAATTCCTCCCCCACAAATCATGAGGCTGATACATCTGCTGGAGAAGTGGAGCCAACCTAAACCCTTGTTGATGTGACTAATAAGGTTAGATAATTGGATTTCTGGCAGATTAGTTTAACAGCAGCCAACCATGCCATTTGGAAGTTCTCTCTGGAAGCCGTGCTGGACAAGGATAATTGGTACTTGCATATAAAGGATATAAAGCAGAACATTACATTGACCCATTAAGCATCAAAGCTTGCCTAGGTACTGGTAATATTAATAAAAAATAGATTTTATGTATTTCTATCACTTCAACACAAAAGAAATAAAACAATGAGTGAGGAATCTACAGAGCAGGCATCCCCACTTCAGTTCCTGAAGAAACCACAACCAGGATCTCATGGAGGGTTTTTCCAGGCACACAAAGGGCAAGAAAGTGACTGGAAAAAAAACAATTTAACAAGCTGAACACGAAAAAAAGTGTCCCCCTTCAATGGAGCCTAAATGTGTCCTGGATTGCACCAGCAAGAGCACGGCCAGAGCAGCAACAGGACTATTGCACTTCATGGACCATGGCTGGAATTCCATGTCTGGTCTGATCCACCAGCTGAGAGAGACCCTGGCAAGCTGGAGATGGCTAAAGGAGGCCCACCAACACGGGCAGAGTGCTGCAGAACCTGCAGAAGGAATTGGGTTTGCTCTGCCCAGAGAAAACCCAACTCCAACATTCCAACACCTGAAAGGTGCTCAGAGGAGATGGAAGCAGAAACAGGCACAAGCTGACCCAAGGAAATTCCACTGGGAAATAAAAATCAGAGTGTCTAAATCATAGAATCCTGGAATGGCTGGGGTTGGAAGGGACCTTGTATCATTCCAAACCTCCTGCCACAGGCAAGGACAACTTCCAAAGGCCAGGATGAAACACTGGAATAGCTCACCCAGAGAATTGCTCAAACAATCCTCACTGAAGATACTCCAAACTGAGCTTCAGGTGGTCCCAGATAACCCAACCTAATGCCCACATTAATTCCAGAGGTCCCATCCAGCCTAGACTTCCCTTCAACCTCTGCTCTTCCCAAGCCTGTGATCTTCATTCCCCAAAGGCCAGCCTGAGATACTCAGCAAACTCAGAACTGCATGATCAATGAACAGATTGATTATTCCTTGTAGGATGTGGCTGGTTCTTCCAAACCCATGGAAAAGGGTTTTTTTCTCCTCTGCACCTGTCCTGTCAACGCTACATCCATAAAGAAGCTACACTGCCACAGGAAATATTATGTCAAGTACAGTCCCAGACATCTCTGACTTGAGGATGACACATTTTTCTTAAAATGCAAAAAAACCTCCCTAAGTGAAATATTTAAGACATTCATTTATTAAAATCAGCCAACTATTCCACACAAAGCTGGTTTCCTTCTGTCAGGAAAATTGAGGGCCATAAATTTAGCTATAAAGTCACCCTTGGATTTTTCATGATCTATATAATTGTACAAATAAAAAATGACAAGCAACAAAAGAGAGCATCTGACAGGAAACTGTTTAAATGGCATCCCAGTGAGCATTTCAATCTTTACAGTAGCACTGGAGTCAAACATGAGAAAAAATGATTATGCAGTAATTGGATGAAGCCAAAACACAGTTCACAACCTCTCCACACACCATCCAGCACAAAACAAATCAAAGCAATAAAGCTGATGCCATTTCCCTTGCTTAAGTCTCACCACGCAGATTTTCATTTACTCTGCCTACAGATTTATTAAGAGCTGCTTCTCAATAGCAGCTCACAAGGAAAGTATGGAAAAGGATAAGGTTTTTTATCCAAGAAAGAAAACTGCCAATACAAAGGGAAAAAAGCAAACAACACATGTCAAGCTTTATTGCAAAATTCACAAGGTCATACCCTGAACTGACAGAAATCTCACAGTGGGAAGAAGCTCCACTGGCTTAGTCCAAACCCCACCTGGCCTAACTAGTCTTAAACTCAATCCATAAGCAAAGTTTCAAGGGAAGCAATGTCAGATGAATGATATCAGGAAACTTTCTCTCACTCTACTTGTCTTTCAAAAGTTGAAGCTATCAGGAAAAGATGGTATGTGTATATTCAAGGGCTCCCCTCAGCAGGTTCAAATCAAATAGAATAAAAATGCTCCATTACTATCTGAGATTTTGCAGTGCCTGTAGAGCAAGAAGCAACACTGACAGTGCTGAATTGCTTCTTTCCTCTTTAAAATCCATAAAATGGTAAAGGAAATCAGAATTATAAGAGAGAAGAGATGATAAATCCTTACAGGTTATACTTTTGCCACATTATCAGGCTTTCTTTATGTCCAATTTATCTCAGGACCAAATTCCTTGTGTGAGTCACGGTGACAATTTAAGACATCTGTCTCTGCTCCTGTGCCATAACCAAAGGTTTCATTTACTACATGCAAATCTCTCCTTCAATAACCAATTCAAACCAACAGATGAAAGCCCCTCAGGACTTGTAGGAAATAAGCAAATCCATAATTATGTTATTCCTTAGAAAAATGAGAAATAACAAAACTCCTTATGTTTTGTCAAAGAACAGCCAAATCTTCCTCTTTAAATGTCTGCAGCTCTGTGCTTACCCTCTGGAAGCTCCTGGTGGAGTGGAATTCACACTGCATCATGTCAAAGAAGATGGGGATGGTGGCTTTCCGCAGCTCCGTTTCTGGGATCAGTGTCATTTCCAGGATAGGCCCCACCATTTCTGGGATGAACTTGATTTTATGCTGACCTTTAGGAGAAAAGATGCATTTCAGAGTGAACAACCCCTGGCTTTGGCAGAAGATGCAAAAGCTGTACTCGTATGCTTATGGAGCATAACAAAGCATGTTTTAATACCTGGCTCTACTGAAACACTTTTTTATTATGCTTATTTATTTGATGATAATATGATCACCACCATTATAATGATTATTATTAATTTCATTATTATAATTATTAGATTATTATTAATATTAATTTAATTATCAATAATTATTACCACAGGAGAGGAGGCATTGTCTAAATCCAAATCAAGAGTTGTTGAATCAGTCGTCAAGCTGGGACTCGCCACATTTCCCACTACATATTTTCACACCCATATTTCCAGGTTTTATTTTAAAACACAATGTGTGGCTGGCAGGGAGGGAGGCTAAAAGGCACATCACTTGTATTAACTTATTTAGACTCCTGTGTGAACAAAATGTTCTCGGTGTCAGTCTATCAAAGTGTCACCACGAGTGCAGCCTAACAGAGCCTCGAGACATGAAAGCACAGCTCAGCCAGCCCACAATATGTCTCCTTTCCTCGGAGCTGAGCTGCCTGCAAAACCTGATTGCAGATTTAGCTTCCCAAGAGGAAGCTGCTCCTCCCCCCATCCCTGCTCTGCTCCACACAGGGAAGGGAAATTAAAGCTTAGCAGGAGCGTGGCACCTAAAACATACTGGAAAAAAGAGCAGGTTACTGTTTATGTTAATGGCTAAATGGATGCACAGAGTGTGTGCTGCAAATTATCTGGTGAATAAGTCCAAGGAAAAATCATCAGGATGGTTCGAGTTGGGTGTGACATTGAAGTTCATCCAATTCCACCCCTGCCATGCAGGGACACCTCCCACTATCCCAGGTGGCTCCAGCCTGGCCTTGGGCACTGCCAGGGATCCAGGGGCAGCCACAGCTGCTCCGGGCACCCTGTGCTGGTATCCCATCACCTCACTGTACCATGGTGCTGGAGCAGCACAGCCCTGAGAGCTCCAGACAGAAGTTTTGGAAACACAAACACATTTCTCCATCAGCAACAGGCTGGGATCCACGGGGAGCTCAGGACAGAACTGGAGATGTTCCTCACAAATGCCCTGTTAGGGACATTTACAACCAGGTTCAAACACTGTTTCTATACCCAGTATCGTGCTTCAGACCAGATTTTTTGGAGTCCAGTCCTCAGTTTCCTCTAGCTCTCAAACTCTTGCTTCCCACTGCAGTTACCAGTGGTACAGGGCACAAACAGATTTCAACTCATTTTTATTCCACTGCACTACACCACTGTGACAGTAACCAGTGAAGTCTTTAATTGGTAGTTTCACTTTGACCAGAACTAACATAAATCTCAACAAATGTAATCAAGAAAAATCCTTTACCACCAAAACACGCTCCTTTTTTTAGCAGATATAATTTAAGCCCCTTGATTTGGCAAACTCCTGAATCCTATTAGCATTAGCAATCGGATCAGGGCAAATTAATACTCAAGGAAAATGGTGATTTTGGGTGCTGCTGCAGTGCTGGGGGCTGCTCAGGAATATCAAGTGAGAAGCCTAAACCTTCCCTCAGTCTCCTACAAGGATGATTACACTGGATCTCTCAGGTGACAGATTTCTTGTGTTATGCCTGAGGAGTGCCAGAGCCAGGACTGCAGAAAACAAATAACGGTGACAAAAGTTGTTCATCACGCGCTCTGCCAGCTCTCCCTGCGCCACAGAGGGCTCTTCCATTGCCTCAAGCACAGGAACTCCCTCAGAACAGGAACATCTTTTGAACTCGGGATGTGAACATTCCACACAAGATTAGAATCTTCGATGAGATGATGATCTGTTTGCAGCTCTCTGGGGGAAGCCCCTGGAGCGAGAGCCCTGGGTGAGTCCGTCCCACGCGCATCCGAGGTGACACACACGGGTTTGCTGGGACAGAGTGATCCTGGGAGATGCTGGGCTCTAAAGAAAGCATTGGGAGCAAAACAGGAAGGGAAACAATCCTCCCCTGGCCCCTCAGGGTATCCACGACCCTGTCTGATATACAACCCAGCAAGGATTCACCTTTTTCCTCCCCGCGGGAATGTGGGAACTCCCACGCTGAGACTCCAAATGTGACAAGTCTGGGAGAAAATTGAGGAGTCTCTTCTGAAAACCAACTTGTGCAGCTGCTTTAGGAACCACATGCAAAAAAAGCCCCTTCTGAACATGCAAAACCTTCCCCTTGCAGCACCTTGTGCCTGGCCATGGGACGTGCCCACACAGCAGGAAGGGACCTCACCCCAAACCAAACACAAGGTGCTCTCCTTGCTGGACAAAGTGTGATTCTGGGATTAAAGTGTGATTAATGGGATGCTCATCTCCCAGATTGTTCCCATTTCAGTTTGGGCCACAAAACGCTGTGAGTAATTTGCCAGCAGCCTCCCTGTGCCCTGGGCAGGCTGGGAACACGCCTGACTAATCCAGAGAGGGTTATGTGCAATGACTTCTATTTATGTAACACCCAAAGTTCAGGGTTATTTTTAACCCTGGCCTTCCCTCCAACGACAGCGAGAGCTCTGTCAAGACACCTTTGGTGACGTCAAGCCCTGGCAGGGATGGTGGCACTCGCTGGAGGACACCAGCAACCATTGCCCTTCACCTTGAGGAGCTTCTCTCCTCCATCTCCCCCCAGCTGGCTCAGACGTCACCAACACCTCTCTGGCCACCTTTCCCACCAGGATGTCACCTGAAATGTCACTGCAATTCCCCTCCACACAACTGTGGGTGCCACCAACCAGTGCACCCTGTGCACATCCTGGCAGAGCCTTGGGTTCTGTTGGCTAAATTGCATCACAAAACCCTTTCCACTGTGTGGCTTTTGAATTCCTGCATCTCCAAGACAGGCCACGGCCTGTTTGATGCTTTTTTGATGCTTTAATGTCTCAGCAAAGTTTAAGAAGCCCCAGTTTCAACAAAACACTGACTCAATGTAACACATTTTAAAGTTCAGATTGTGGAAAAAAGCCTCTAAAGTGCTGTTCAGCACTATAAATGTTCTTTTATTTTTTTTTTCTGCTCATAAAAATAGGAAGGTGTGATTATTGAGGCCTCCCCTGCATCAGGAACAGGCAGCCAAGTGAAAACTTTAAGAACTCTTATTTTACTATTTAATTTCAGAAAAAAAATTATACTTTTAAATGTTCATTATAGCTGGAGGACTGCCTTGCTCCCAGCTGGGGAATTTTAACTCAGCAGGCATCGTGTGTTAATCATGGTATTTAGAAACAAAACCTGATGAGACTAAACATTCATTTTTGAGGCTTTTCTATACCCTTTAATCCATAAATCAAAAGTCAGGGTGGTTTGGTTTCATCACATCTCATGCACAACGGCACAGACATAAAAACCTGTGCTCAAGAATTCCAGAATTCCAGCCTTTCACTTCTGATTTGGTTTCTGAACATACACATGAATAATTTGATTAATGCAGTGCAGCTTCCAAGATAAAAGTGTCAGGCACCCCCCAATCGATTCCCATGCAGTGAGAAGTTGGAATTCCTTCTTAATTGATGCTGTGACACAGATGAGATTGGTGAGGAGCCAGAAGTGAAACGTGATCCATGAGTGTAACATGGACTCTCTGTGTGACAAAGGAGATAAGGAAAATCAAGGTGCTGCTCAGGAGAAGCACAAAGGCTGCCTTAGACTGGGGTCCTGCCTCACATTTACTTTTCTCTCCCAGCTTTTCTTGGGAAGAGCAGCAATTTCCTGACTCCCTCCACATGTGGGATTTTGGCATTAATGATCCCATTAATGGATCTTGGAAAATCACAAATATTAGAGCTTGAGGAGGTCACAGAGGGATCTTACCTGGATAATCTCCATTTATAAAAAATCCATTAAAAATAAAAGGCTTTCATGACAGCATAGGAAGAAATATTGAAGAAAACACTACCCCTTGAGCCAATCGATTCCCAAAACTGCAGGGGAAATTATTATCCTTGTTAATGGTGAGAAACTGAACCCTGGAGCAACTAAATAACCTGTAAAGAGCAGCCAGTGACAGCAGCAGCAGTGAAAGGCACAAGGCACTCCACAAAGCCCAGCCTGGATAAAACAACCTCAGGTAACACCAGCTGGATGGGAAAGTCTGCGTCAAACTTTCTACTTTCAGTCCAGTAAATTCTGGGAAAAGTTTAAGAATCCATAAGAATCCAAAGAGGCCAGAAATATTAGTGAGGAGGAAAGGTGGCTGAGGGAGCTGGGAAGGGGCTGAGCCTGGAGGAAAGGGGGATCAGGGGGCCCTTGTGGCTCTGCACAGCTCCTGCCAGGAGGGGACAGCCGGGGGGTCGGGCTGTGCTCCAGGGAACAGGGACAGGAGCAGAGGGAACGGCCTCAGGGCAGGCTCAGGGTGGATTTTGGGGAAAATTCCTCATGGGAGGGTTTTTCCAGGCCTGGCACAGCTGCCCAGGGCAGTCTGGAGTCCCTGTGCCTGGAGGGATTTAAAATCCATGTGGATGTGGCACCTGGGGACACAGGGCAGTGGTGGCCTTGGCAGTGCTGGGCTGGACTCGATCTTCTCACAGAATCACAGAATGACCAGGTTGGAAGAGACCTTCAAGATCATCGAGTCCAACCCAGCCCGGCCAGCTCCCTCAGGGGCTCCTCTCAGGGTTTGTGTTCCCAGCCCCTCTCCAGCCTCGCTGTCCCCTCTGGATGTGCTCAGTGTCCCAAGGTCCTTCCCAAGCTGAGAGCCCAGAGCTGGGCACAGCACTCCACGTGTGCCCTCAAACCTTACCCATTATCAACCTTCCCAACCTTCCCAATTCCATGACTCCATGACTGTGGGGCTGGAAGAGGGATGGATTTGGCTAATTACTCACCCAGAGGCTGCCAGCAGCCCACGCTGGCTGATGCAGCAGCAGGCACGACACTGATTTTATTACCTGCCTGTCAAGTCACATCTCAGCCATGCACTAAGCTCTAATCTGTTCTCCAGACACTTAATTCACCGAAGATGCTTCTAATAAAAGTGAACTCAGCTGCTCTCTGAAGCCTTTTCTCATCATTCCAGCAGATAGGATGCAAATTCTGCGATATCAAATACTTATGAACCCTTGGCACTCTCTTCTCTTAGAAATGCTGGGGTTTTTCAACTCCCAGCAACAACAGCTCAGCCAGAGATAGAAGTGAAGTGGCAAACGCTTTATTTCTGATCATTTAAGGAAGTTTTGATAAAACTCAGAAGAGCTGAAGTGTCTGTGCTGTTAAGCTCAGGAAAATGAAATCTGGCAGACAAGTACGCTCAGGTCACAGTAAATACTCAGTTTCTCATGAAATTCAATCCCTGTACAGGCAAATTATACCCAGGGAGCAGCCCAGGCTGGAGAGAGGCAGAGCTGCCTCACTTACCCACGAGCTCCAGGGAGCTCCAGCTTCCCAGGCTGTCCTGAGTCACTGATGCTGCCAGACAAGGCTGAAAAGCAGAGCTTGAGCAGAATTCCAGGCTGAGGTACTGAGAACCCTTGGACACATGCATTTTGCTACAGTTCCAGGTACTGCATCCTCAAGTGAGTTAATATAAATATGTGTGTATATAGATATTTGTAAGGGGAAAAAAATCCCCATTGAATAGGTATCACCATGACAATGGGTTTGTGTTCAGAAGAGACCTAAACCCACAAAAACCACAAAACACATAAATATTAACAGGAGTGATATGTCTACCCAGATGGTGAATTAAATGTGCAGATGTGGCTTGATTTTTTAAATCACCAGATTTTTAAAAGCTCTCTGCAGGCACACTTTTGTTGTGAAAGGAAAGCCATTTTAGATAATTGTGGGATGGTTTGGGTTGGAAGGGGCACCAAAGACCATCTCATTCCATGGGCAGGGACACCTTCCATGGACCAGGTTGCTCCAAGTCCCATCCAGCCTGGCACTGAATTTTTCCAGGAATATCCCTGTAAATGTTTTTTTGGGAACACTGAAGGGAACACATGCTTAGGATACTTACCCAGGTTGTACCACATGTCCCTGATCTCAAACCCAATCTGCCTTCTCATGTCCCCGTACCTTGAAAAGGAAAACAAAACCAGCATTAAACCAAAAGAAATCAAAGACCTACAAGCAGATAAATCTCATTTCAAAGATTCACAGCCTTCAAAAAGGGAAGAAACTCCAGAACAGGTTCTCAAATGGGACCCACACTACTGAGATTACCTGGCTACCCCCACCAGCTCAGCAATGCCTCTGTCAGCATCAAAATTTGGGGAAAGAAGGTTTCCAGCCTCAACAATTCCAGCATTCCATGGTGCCAGGCAGAGGTGGGAGCCACCCACCCTAAAGCTGGTGCACCAACACCTCCCATGTGCCATCAGGGACATTTTCCACTCCCCTCCCTCTCCACAGGAAAGCTTTAACGAGTGGAAATCATCCCAATGCCTTCATTAACAATGGGATCAGAACCCTAATGAGCGCCAAGGATGCATTTGCCCCATGGAATATTTGCAAGTTAAAGATTATTACTTAAATAACAAGATGAGCCAAACTGTAATATCTGGCAACTTGTAGGATTTGTGGGGGATAATAGTGAGACACCCAGTCATTAATATGGATTAAAGAGAATCTTCTGCATCATTAAGAATCTGCTATTATCTAATGCTTAAATGCAATGTTTAGCAAAACCTACAAATTACAATAATTAAATTTTAATTATTAAATATTTGACGTTTTAATTGAAATATGTACTTAAAAAGATGGGTGAGTATGATATTGAATTAACTGATTAATTACATCCCTTTTGACACAGAAGTGCCTTCACACAGCAATGAAAGTGCCTCCAGACCATGCATTTATTGAATCTCAAATTTATTGTCTTGATTCCTGTCTCCAAAACCTGATTAAACTGAAAATAACAATTTGCAAATTCATTATAAACAAAGATTTACAATTTTGCAAACTTTATTAAGCAACCTCTTCAAACGACTTAATTTATTTACTGATATTAGCAGTGAGAAATGCCTGTTGATTCCTTCAATTCCTTCAGCGAGATAAACTGCTCTGTTTATTATAAAAATCACTCAGAGAAAATTTGTGCCTGTGGTTTCCATCCTGACAAAGAGGAATTATCAGTCCACAAATGTATTTGACAGCAATTTCCAGCCCAATTCCAGCTCGGCTTTTGGCTCTTTGTTCAGGTCAGGAGTCTGAGCTGGACTAAAATGCTCTCATAGGTTCTCATTAACACTGAGCAGAGAGAGGAAAGGGATTCTAAACTTAATTAAATAAAATTTACCTGCAACACCATTTCAATTTCCTAAATAAAATATACCTGCCTTCACAATACCAGCTCAATTTCCTTGAATAAAATACACCTGGCCCTGCAACACCAGCTCAACTTCCTTAAAAACCCTTTATCTATAGTGTTATTTCTGGTATTTATAGCACAAGCCCCAAACCCTGAGCTCTGCTTGACACCACTTTTCCACTGAACTTGTAAATATTCCTGTTTCATCAAGGAAGCCCCAGGTAGAGCAGATCCTAAAGTGCTTTAAAATTCTCTTTCAAGGCTCAGGTAGAGCACAGCTTCCAAAGGAAACACCTCAAAACTCAGGAGGGAGTGGTGGAGTTTGCAGGGCAACTTGGTTCCCTTAAAAAGGGATGGAATGTGGAGCTCTTCCTGACTTTTCTGGTCAAAACCCAAAAGCCACATGAGCAAAAACCTTTAAAACCAAATCACTGCAGCAGCGATGAACTGTCCCCAGTCCCCCTGGGATTTCTCTTATCACAATAACAGACAAAAAGGCCTGGATTGGGAAGGTGAAGGGATACAAAATGCATTTTCTTTCTCTATATAGACACATTTTATTTATTGTATACACCAGGAGCCAGAGCCGTGCTTGTTCAGGGAATCACAGCTTGGAAATTCCCCATTTTTGTGACCTCACTGGCTGTGGGAACACCTGGCTTTTCCAGATGCTCTTCCCAAATAGAAAAAGAATCCACACACACTGCCTGAAATCACAACATTAGCTCTTTTCAGAGCTTGGTGTTTGGTTAAGTAATAATAAGGTCACAACAGTGGACCCCCAATAAAAGGCAGGAGAAATATCAGCAGGATAAGGGGAAAACGGCTTCAAGTTGTGCCAGGGGAGGTTAAATGGAGAGTTGGGACAAATTCCTCACTCAGAGGGTGGTCAGGCACTGGAATTGGCTGTTCAGGTGGAGTTTCCCACCCCTGGAGGGATTTAAAAGCTGCAAGGATGTGGCATTTGGGGCAGTGGTGGCCTTGGACTCAATGATCTTAGAGGGTTTTCCACTCTTAATCACTCTGTTTAAACAGAATCTTCATGTTCCCCTCTCACTTCCAGGCTTTTTCCCCTTTTGACAGCTTTCCTTTGCTGTGGGATTCTGGCAGCGGGTGGCTGGAGGCAGGAATGTGATCCCTCAAAAGGAGGAAATGGCTGCACCCACCCCAACCCATCCTTCAGGGATAGCCCAGTGGCAAAGGCTGGAGCACCAAAATTCCCTCTCAACAAAGTCAAGGATGAACCATAAAGAGCAGACAAAAAATGAGATTAGAAGAAGTACAAAGCTGAAGTGCTTTCAAAATGCAGTTTTATAACATGTTAACAGGAGAATCTTGACTTTCTGAACATCCTGCAGCAGCAAACACTGAATTCATCCCTAATGAATGGTGAAATTCAGATCTCCATGCCAGGGCAGAAACACACACAACACTTGATTCACGTTTTTCAACCCAACCTTTCATTATCCCCTGATTGCATCTCAATTTGAATAGATTTAGCAAAGAAATTAAACCGAAATTATGGCAATAGACCTCGAGTTCCTGGCCATGATTTAGATGACGAGCAGGACTTACTTGTTAAGGATTTTTGCTCTTTTAGCACTTGAAAAATTCTCCAGTTGTAAAGACTCTTGTGTGAGAAAAGCAACAGCCAGGTGGAAATAGTTGTTCCAGAGCTGAAAGCCCCCAAAATGACAAGAAGAGATTCCATTAATTCTCTGAAATGTTTCTCTACATATCTACAAAACAACTTAAAAAGTCTCTAAATTATGCACATAAATATTTCAAGGAGAAAAGAACAGACACCACAGAGATGGTGTTTCTTGATAAATTCTTAATACAGCTCCTCGTTGCCTTTATGTTTCCAACAAATATTTCCCAGCTACAAATCCCAATTCTTTGTGTTTTGATGATTCAGGCAGAATCCCAACCCAAACCCTGCTGTGATTCCGTGATTCTGTGACAAGACCCACAAGTCAGGAATGGATCACAGCACCTGCTGAGCCTGGAATGATTTAACTGGGATAACTGGGGTTCACAGCCACGAATAAACCATGAACAAACCCACCAAAACTACACAGGGCAGAAATTTGTTACATTAATATCATTTATTCCATTCAAACTGGGAGTTTTTTCTTACCTGTAACTCAAAGTTGGCTTGATCAAGGAATTTTTTGTTTAGCATATCTGCATACTGATTAATTGCTCGCAGGAAGACTCTGAAAGATCAAGAGAAAATTACATAATTACACACTTCTGGGGTACCTTTGTATATTTGGCATCCCAATTAGACACAAAATCTGAGTCTGTCTGGAAAGTGAAATTTGAGGCTGATACTTGAAAAGCAGTGTGATCTCACCACTGGTAAGTGTACAGAATTCTATGCAGATGTTCTCCAAATTAATCAAGTAAATTAGCATATGCAGAAACAGAGGGAGTGTTTGGGATAAAATCACTTGTCTTTAAAATATCTTTTCATAATCAAGAGATCATTAAAAATTCAGTTTATTAGCACTATATAGACATAAATTTTTAAAGTTACAATGTTGTGTCTAAGCCAGACGTGCAACTGGTTGTATTTTAAGTTTAAGGTCAAGAAAAACACGTTTTCAAACACATGAGACAAAAAAACCCCCTTCACTTATGGCACAACAGAAATGTTGGTAAAGGACAGTCTTTAAAACATTGTTCACTGCTCTATTTCCCAAATGGTAATTCAGTAATTCAGTACCCACTGTCGTTTACAGAGTTTCTAGAACACCTCTTAAATTGCAAAAGGACTTGGCCTGACAAGCTTGAAAGAGAAAACCAAATGGCACAGGAGAAGTAGGGCACTACATATTCATGGTGCTGAAAAATAAACTGATTATTCCTTGGTAGCCTGATCTCCATTTTCAAAACAAACATGAGATTCCCCCTGCAAACTCCAAATTTATGCTGTGCAGCTGCCAGCTAATGCCCAGACAAATGAGCTGCTCCTTGGAGCAGGCTGGGAGAGATTTGCGTCTCCTCAGAGTCCCCAAAATGATGAAAACCCCTCCTGACATGTTCTGGGTTTGTTTCTTCCCCACCCCCAAAAACAGAACTGAAAAAGAAAGTTCACTTCTGCAAATAAAAAAATTATTTTCTTTCAGGCTGGAAAAAAAAAAGGAAAATTATTTAAAACAAACCAGATAGGATTTGTACTGAATTTAAGATACTTAGCAATTTCTCCTGAAAAAAATTAATATTTAGCTGCAAGTTTGGTATCCAAGAGAAAAGAAGCCTCCAGATAATCCAATATGATGGAAACAGACATTATTTATAAATATTTAAATATTTATATATGGGCAATATGTTGCTGAGTGATTACTTATGAACATATTGATGTATTTATATAAATATATCAATATGTACATACATTCATAAATATATCAAAATGTACATAAATTTAGCAGGATGCTAAGAGAGTTTATTTATTTATATATTGAAATAAATTAATAAAGGGAAAAATTTGATGCCACTGGGATGTATCTGTAGTGTAAGGTCAGATCATCCCCATGGCAGAATTATGGAGGAGAAAGAAAGGATCTAAACGGGAAAGTTAAAATTAAATTTAGAAAGGAAAGTACAGGAATAATATAAAATATGGAAGTATTTTTAAGATATAAGCAAATACACATAAAAATCAAGTACATACATATATACAGGTGTGTTTTGTAATATTATTCTTTATAACTAAGATGAAAGAGACATCTCTGCACTTGCACACAGCACAGCCAAGGAGGAATTTCAGCCCTTCAGTGTCTTTGTCAGTGTTTTGGGAGAGCACTTCATTAAGAGATTTTATAAATGAGCTGAATCCAGCACACAAATGAACACCCTGCACTGCTCCAAAATATATGGATTGGAGATGTGTGATTCAATTACTGAGCTGTAGCACAAACTAAGATTGAAATCGAGCTTATCTGTGCGATCAGACAATCACCAGTTTTATCCCCTCCTTAGCCCTGCTTTGCCATGTGCTTCTGAAACCTGATAATAGAAGGAGATCTGTAAATCTTCCCCCAAAATTAACAACTGAACGTGGTGCAGGGGCCATCCCAGGCTGCTCCCTCATGAACACAAAACTGGTTCCAACTCAGGCAGGATTGTGCCTCCAGCTTAATGATGCTGCCTTAAGACATCACTGGAATGTATTCAATCTGCTCCATCTAATTAAGCTTTGGCACAATCTCATTACTTCATACACCATTATTTTTCTTAAAATTGTAACACTCATTTTTCCCTTATATTAATTCCAGGGAATATCAACAAAGAATAAATAATACAAATTCTGCTGTGCTTGCCATTGGAAAAGGAGCAGAGCACAGAACACGTGTTCAACTGGAGCTGGAATTAAACAACCCCTGGGCATTCCATTATTTTTCTTAAAATTGTAACACTCATTTTTCCCTTATATTAATTCCAGGGAATATCAACAAAGAATAAATAATACAAATTCTGCTGTGTTTGCCATTGGAAAAGGAGCAGAGCACAGAACACGTGTTCAATTAAACAACCCCTGGGCATCAGGGGGGTTCAGGAAGCCAGAAATTCCTCCAATTTTCCATAAAGGAACATCCCAAAGAAGAGATGGAGCGACTTCATGTTGATTTTTGAGTTACTGAAATCCCAATTTATTTTCGATTTGATCAATTCCTCTGTGACTGGATAAAGCACTTCCTGCATAGGTCAGTGGAGAAATCCCAGTGACAGTCCACAGAACATCATCATCATCACCAACATCATCATCATTAGTAGTATTTCTTCTACTGCTATTCCTACTCCCAGTACTACAATTATTACAAATCAAATGTCATGGCAAACCTCACAGCACTTTGCAGGATATTTCAGCACCTCCAGTGCCAAGAGCAAAGAGCAAAATTAAGATGTTTTTTATCTAATGAAGTTAATTTTTAAAATGTATTTATTAAAATATTGACAAGAAGAAGTAGCAAGATCACTACTCTGAAGAGAGAATTTCCATAGTAAAAATCATGCTGGATGAATTCTTGGCTGGATCCTGGGCAATGCTTTGTTATCACCTGGGAAGTTGCTGCAACTCATGAATATAAAAACGGTTCAGGTTTATGCCCAAATAAAAAATGAAAGAGGAAGCTGAAACACTTTATCATTCCAGGTGTTAGTTAAACCCTCCTCCTCCTCCTCCTCCAAAGCAGGTCCTGACAATTTTCAGTAACTTCACTGTCAAAAGGTGGAGAAAACGAAAAATGAAGCAAGAAGTGGCTCTTCAGAATAAGGGGAATTAACCCAAAAGCAACAATTCTGTACTGAAGAACAAAGGAATTGGCTGCTGGAACACTCTCAAGGATAAAAGGTGGACTTGGACATCACTGGGCCAAGGGATAAATAATCAAAACTCTCAGCTGGAGAGCATCCCTTGCAGTGCCAGTCCTTATCTTGCTGTAATTAATAACCAAGATTGGCTCCCAGTTGCGTGTGCATAAAAAGAAGTGCTCTTCTTGAAATTCAGTTTCAATGAACAAAAGAATTTATTATCCATGTCAGGAAGAGCCACAGAAGTTAAACTTTGAAAAAGGAAGAAGTTCAGAGCCTGGAACCCAACACAATGGACTCTGCTGCCATGTAAGACAACAAAACCTAATCCGAATGTACTGGGAAAGATTTGTGAGACAAAAGACTTTATCAACCCAATTAAAAGCAGGAAATTAACATTTTCTATGATGTGATTGGAATAGAAGGAATATGATTACAGAAGGAAGTCACTTCAGGATATGTGGAAGAAAGAAGGGTGTAAAAATCCACCAAAGAACAAAATCAACTGCCTGGAGAGAGGAGGTTTTGTGTGAGCTCTGGGGAAGGAGGATGGGGATGGCTCCAAGGGCATCCAGAGATTTCTGCTGTAGCTTCATCCCCTGAGGCAGTAACTGTCCTCTTATTCTGTGTTTAGAGACCTTCCAGAGAGCAGCATCAGAATCATTTTGGTTGGAAGGGAAGCTTAAATTCCACCCATTCCCACCCCATCCATGGGCAGGAACACCTTCCATTATCCCAGGCTGCTCCAAGCCCTTCCAACCTGGCCCTGGGCACTGCCAGGGATCCAGGGGCAGCCACAGCTGCTCTGGGCACCCTGTGCCAGGGCCTGCCCACCCTCACAGGGAGCAATTCCTTCCCAATATCCCATCTAAGTCAACCCACTTGCAGCTTAAAGCCATTTCCCCTTTTTCCTCCCTTGTCCAAAGTCTCTCTTTAGCTTTCCTGGAGCCCCTGAGAGAGGCTTTAAGGTGTCCCCAAAACCTTTTTTCTGCCACCAGGATTTTTTGGCAGTTGATCCCTGTTTTGCATTTCCTGATCAGATCTGTGTCAGCTCTCCATGATCCAGCAGGAAGAGTGATTTGCCCACCACCTTTTGAACGTGACATAAAAGTATGGCTGGGAGCTCAGGTGAGAGAAGCCAGGGAAAAGGAGATGGAGGAAACCATGGCAAAACCATTTCAATTAGGAAATACGCATGGCTGGGAGCTCAGGTGAGAGAAGCCAGGGAAAAGGAGATGGAGGAAACCATGGCAAAGGTCAATTAGGAAATAGAGGCCATAAAAGGCAAAAATTCTCAAAAAAAACCCAAACCAAAAATCCAGGTGACCAAATCTCAGTGACCAGCTTGGGTCCATTCACCTTGCCCTGCCTCAGGCAGTTCTCATTTCTCCAGTAATTTCTCCCCTTTATGGCTCTCACTCCAGAGTTCATCCATCCAGGAATGTGCTGCTGGTTCATGAACTGACTTCAATTTCAACCCCTGACTCCTGGGAATGTTTCCTGTTATTGATTATTATTCACTTCCACTGGGCCCAGAGGTGCTTAATTGGTTTGTGGATGCAGAGATTGCTTCACCAAACAGAGCAAAAATTAATGGTTGGACTGTGTAGTTTTCCAAAAGATCCTTTTTTCCCTCCAAACAACCTCAGTGCCTCCAGGAGGTGGGAACATACATCAAACCCTGACTTCCAGTGGCAATTGTAAATGAAGGAGGGACAGAGGGATTTGAGTTATAAATGGAACAGGAGTCACTGTGCCAAACAACTCATTTTTTTTTAGCCCTTTCTCAGGTTCAGTCACTTTTTATTCGGCCCTTCTCCCTCCTAATTAGTCAAGTGCCCTGATTTGTTCATGTTTAAAAACATTTTGTGCCCCGTTTTCTCTCACTCAGTTCTGACAT